GATATCCAGAGAACACATTCTGCTGTATCAGTAGAGCACTACGCAAAGTTCTATAAGAGAGCTTAGTGACAGTCAGCCCTTCATTGGATGCTGTTGGACATGCATGGTACATCCAAGCGTGGAGTGGAGATTTCCTATATACACTGCAAACATACCCAATTGTGGAAATCTCCTAGCAACAACTCGTTTCAATCAAAGCCATTTTTGACTAATAAGTGCATGTTTGTGTGCCTGCCAACTTTTGGCCGACAAAGATAAGAGCATACCTACCGTCTTCTGAACCCTCATTGGCTCTAATCTTTTTGCGCCACTCATAGCCTTTGCGAAATAATTATACTGGGGCAGGCATCCTTATACCTGTGGTTACGAGCTTATAGCTATAAATACAGAGTCAGTTGGAGAGCCTGAGTTATTGCTGGCTAATTCCCTTTCAGTGCGCTTTCAAATTATGAATCTTTTCGACCAGTCGAGACTGGTCATACACAATCACGCACTACTTGGACGACACGAAAAACATCTTTCAAAATAATGTAGGTATAGGCTCAGGAAGGAGTGGGGCATTATGGTGAGTGCCATTCAGGTCCAGTTATGAGTTCAATGATTTCGAAATATGGCCCCAAAATGCTTCAGAAACAGACGAGTTTATAAACTTTCGGTCGAGGCTCTGTAGTGAATTCTTCAACATATACGTATTAGTTAACGTATGGGCGGCGAGGCGGTACAGGATATATATATATACTCCGAGGGAGTTGACTACACCTGACGAGGGCAGAGCCCGTGTACGCGTCGGGACGCCTGACGTTAACTGATTTGCAGTCCAACTAGCCAATCACAATGCTGAATTTCTGTTACGTCATCCTGCCGCACGCACCGAATGGCTATTTTGAAACTTTGGAAGCCAGACAATTTGCACTACGCTAGATGTTGTGATAAGGACTTCCTGTCCAATACTGATATTGGTCAGCCAACAGCTCATATATTCCAAGCTTTGGAAGCCAGACAATTTGCACTATGCTTGCGCTAGATGTTGTGATAAGGACTTCCTGTCTAATACTGATATTGGTCAGCCAACAGCTCAGAACACAGCTTATATTCCAAGCGCTGCATTGTTTTTAAGTTGGACTACAAAGCCCCAAATGGGATAGAAAGAATGCAAGATTGCTAGATTTCAGTGGGGGTCCAGTAATATTATTAGACTACATCAGTGCAGCACCGCATGTCTGAAATTGTCCATTTTGCTTACAAAGAAGATGAACGAAAGGAAATTGAATTATGGAAGAATGATAATAAAGACGCCCATGATTGGAGCCCTATGTATGTGTAAATGAGATAAGGTTTGAAAGGAGATGCCGCATGGCAGGAGAGAGTAGCATTGCTGCGTTCAAAGATAACCTGCATTGTAAACTGCAATATCTTTGATGAGCGTCCAATAACTCCAACTGAAGATTCATTTTCTATCATATCGTGCTTGAGGTAGCTTGTACCACCCATGAAGATTTCAAAGCTGCAATAAAAAATGTTGTGAAAATGCTGCGGCTTGTTGGATATTTTGTAATCCTATTTGATGAAGACGAAACCTTCTATTACGTAAGAGGGAGTAAATGGGCTGTTCTTACAGCACAAGTGCAAGAGGCTTTGGAAGAAACTGGTTGTGTTGTGCTTATGACTGAACGTGATCCCATGCCTATAGAGTCCATTGAAAACCCAATCTTCTTTGATGGAAAGGCTCATGTATTCTTAGTTGCATACAAGGTGAAATGACTGCACTTTGTGTATCATACTGCTGATGTATGCTTAGTTGCATGCAAGGAGGAACTTGAGTATGCTTGTAATTATTGTAATGACTACTTGAAAGCAATGCGCAAGGTGCTGCCAACAATGTTGTGAGACACAGATAATAATTATTGCGTGGCAAAGTCATTTATGGCATGCAGTTGGCAATGTTACACTACTGTACCTGATTGTGCCATGGCTTCAGTGAGTACCGTTCAGGGGTACAAACAGCACAGAAATCTATAAAGTCTCTGCGGTTAACGCTATACACTCAAGCTTACATTATTATACAAATCAAAGTGTAGCTACATGTATACAGTGGAACCTACGTGATAAGGGACCTTCCCGAGATAGGGACGACCTCTGTATAAAGGACACTTGCTTCAACCCCATGCTAATACTTTGGTGTATTATTTGACCTCTGAGATATGGATGACCTAGCTCTCTATTATAAGGGGCAAAATTGTTAGCCCTATAGTGTAAGGTTCTACTAGTGTATACTTTACTTGTTTGTACAGTGGAGTCTCGTTATAATGAATTGATGGGAACCTAAAGAACTTGTTCACAGTAAGGGAAATTTGTTTTAATTATGTAAGTGTGGCGAAAATGTACAGTTGTCTATAGGGCTATATACATAGGCTCCGAGGATGTGTTTGTAGTATCCAGAATTTCGTATATTATTATACTATGTGTGTCTTTTATAATGAGACTCCACTGTACATGAGACCTGATCAACTGTCCCATATAAAAGAGCTGTATATATTTTGCCCTTACACAATGGGGTATATATAATATACATACTTGGGAATCAAACTTGTCTTTGTGATTCCTTCTGCTGTAAGCTATTAATTGTTCCGGCAAATCCACATCTATGATGAAGGCTCGAGGGAGGATAAATAATAGTCTTGCACTTCCATTCCTTCACATAGCTACACGGTCAAATTCAGGAGACATAGTTACTATAATTATTCTGCTATTGCTAATGTAGCCATGGCCTCTTTCTTTCGTGTTTATACACAGCCAATTTCAAGAGACGCACCTGCTTATTGCTTCACAGTACTATTATAATAATTATCTTACATCAGAATAACGGAGCATTAATATTATTATTATCCACCAAATCTATTTCCCTAGCTGTCTCAGTATGTGTGATATGAACTCGTAGTAAGAGGTTCCATTGTCTGTCTTCCCATCCAGTAGCCTCTCCACAAACAACAGATGATTTTGGCTTCGCTCTCTGCAATAGTGAAGCCAACAGGAAACTTAATAATCTACATATCAAGGGCCCATAACCATGCAACGGACATGGTGGTAATAATTTGCTAAGGTCAATGCACACTTAATGAGAAAATGGTGTGTATTTTAGATGCATTACAGAAGCCCGTCTCACTCTTCTCTTTCTCCTCTTTCTTTCTGTAAGTAGCATGTAAGTCAAGCGCGAACTGTTATATTAGCTACATGTAGCTACCAACAGCACTAGGTACTAGATGAAATTACATAATATTCAGACAGGGAGTCCGTGAAGGCTTCGAACACGAATGTATTTCAATGGATGAGATACCTAACTTATGTCATACTTACTCCAATTGACGCACACTTTGTTAGGCGTGAGACCCTCCGAGATAGGGACGACCTCTCTACAAAGGACACCTGTTTCAATCCCATTCTAATACACTTTATTACCTCCGAGATAGGGATGACCCCTCTACAAGGGACAAAAATAATCGTTGGCCTCATAGTGTCATTTGTCGACATGTTTCAGTGCAAAGGATTATCTTGAGATGTATTACTCCGACCAGGAAAAAGCAGAGTTTATAAACTTTCGGTTGAGGCTCTTTAACGAATTCTTCAAGAAATACAGCCCCAAATGGGATAGAAAGATGCAAGGTTGCTATGATTTCAGTGGGGGCCAGTATACTAGAACTATCGTCAGTGCAGCACCGCATGTCTCTGAAATTGTTCATTCTGCTTACAAAGAAGATGAACGAAAGGAAATTGAAATGTGGAAGAATAATAATAAATACGCTCATGATTGGAGCCCCTATATCAAGTATGTTGTGAACGAGATTGAAGATTTGAAAGGAGATGCCACATGGCAGGAGAGAGTAGCATTGCTGCGTTCAAAGATTACCTGCATTGTAAGCTGCAATATCTTTGATGAGCACCCAATAACTCCAACTGAAGTTTAGCCCTTGAGTCAGCTTGTAACACTTTCGATGATTTCAAAGCTGGAGTAAAGAAGTTAGTGCAAATGCTAAGGATGGGTGGTTACATTTCTATCCTATTTGCAGAAGAAGAAACCTTCTATTCTACAAAGGAGGGTAAATGGATTGCTCTGCCACTTTCCCTTCCACAAGTCCAAGAGGCTGTCGAGGAAGCTGGTTGTGTTGTGCTTATGACTGAACGTGATCCAATGCCTATAGAGTATGTACCTCGAAAATCCAGTCTTTTTCAATGCAAAGGCTCAGATATTCTTAGCTGTGTACAGGGTTAAATGACTGCATTTCACATTATTTTTGTAGCTGCTATTGGTGATTAACCACTCATTTTGAGCAGAGCAATGTAATTGGGCAGCCTCATTTTGACATCAATGTGATCGGTATACATCTTTTTTGAGGATGGGGCCAGGATTAGTGGTTACACAATAATAGCAACCTGCTGACTTGGCTACCTATGTTACTAATGGGGTAACTTTCATCGCGCGACCCCGCCCCCTTTAAAAGTACACGCCCACTTATTACGTAATATAACGCGCGCGCGAGTCGAGCAGCCCTCTTGCGCATGCTGCGCATGCGCGTACTACGTGTTGATGCAAGCATGCAATGCGCGCAGCCCTCGTGGGTGCGGACAGGCGACGCACGAAGAGCCAAAGCTAGCTATAGCTTAGTAAACTTACTGTGACTAAAGGTACGGTTTGAACTCTGAAGTGGTCATCTTACGCAAGTGGAAGCGTTGGCTAGCCAGAAAATTCCGGGACATTTTGCTATTTTGCCTCGGCCTGGACACGGTCGGGAGAAATCCCAAATTTCCGTGACTGGACCACACCCATCTGCGCCGCAACTCGCGGGCGTACCGCGCAAGCGTCGAGGCGATGTTGGCCATCACCAGTCAGTGAGACTCACCCGTCGCTGCGGCAACCAGAGAGCCCGATTTCTTGTCTTTAAATTATGAGTCTGCTCGAACAGTCGCAATATTCGACATGTTTCAGTACAAAGAAATACCTTAAGATGTATTACTCCGACCAGGAAAAAGCAGAGTTTATAAACTTTCGGTCGAGGCTCTTTAACGAATTCTTCAAGAAATACAGCCCCAAATGGGATAGAAAGAATGCAAGATTGCTAGATTTCAGTGGGGGTCCAGTAATATTAGACTATGTCAGTGCAGCACCGCATGTCTCTGAAATTGTTCATTCTGCTTACAAAGAAGACGAACGAAAGGAAATTGAATTGTGGAAGAATGATAATAAAGACGCCCATGATTGGAGCCCCTATGTCAAGTATGTTGTGAACGAGATTGAAGGTTTGAAAGGAGATGCCGCATGGCAGGAGAGAGTAGCATTGCTGCGTTCAAAGCTCAAAGTTGTGAGCTGCAATGTTTACAATGAGCACCCAATAACTCCAACTGAAGACGAAAATTCATTTTCTATCATATGCACAACTAATGCCCTTGAGGCAGCCTGTAAAACCTATGAAGATTTTAAAGGCATAATGAAGAAGCTTGTAAAAATGCTGAGGCTAGGTGGATATATTATAATAGTATTCGATGAAGAAGAAACATTCTACTGTGTAATGGAGAGTAAATGGGCTAATCTGACACTCTCACTGGCACAAGTGCAAGAGGCTGTGGAAGAAGCTGGTTGTGTGGTGCTTATGTCTGAACGTGATCCAATGCCTATAGAGTGTTTTGAAAACCCAATCCTCTTTGATGGAAAGGCTCATGTATTCTTAGTTGCATACAAGGTGAAATGACTGCATTTTGTATCATACGGCTGATGTATGCTTAGTTGCATGCAAGGTGAAATGAGTATATAATATGTAATAAGTATATAATAATGCTTGTAAGCAATACGCAAGGTGCTGCCAGCAATGTTGTCAGACGTAGCTATTATCTTTGTGGGGCAAAGTCATTAGCTATAATTGTATGGCATGCAGTCGGCAATCTCAATGCTGTTACACTACTGTACTTGATTGTGCCATGGCCTCAGTGAGTACCGTTCAGGGGTTCAAACAGCAGAGAAATCTAAAGTATCTGCAGTTGCTATACACTCAAGCTCACATTATTATACAAATCAAAGTGTAGCTACATGTATACAGTGGAACCTACGCGATAAGGGACCCTCCGAGATAGGGACAACCTCTGTACAAAGGACACTTGTTTCAACCCCATGCTAATACTTTGGTGTATTATTTGACCTCCGAGATAGGAACGATCTCTCTAAAATTGTTGGCCCTATATATATATATAGTGTCAGGTTACTTTACTTGTTTGTACAGTGAAGTCTCGTTATAATGAATTGATGGGGACCTAAAGAATTATTTGTTCACAGTAAGGGAAATTTGTTACACAAGTGTGGCAAAAATGTGCAGTGTTCTATAGGGCTAGGCTCTGAGGGTTTAGAATTTCGTATAATTATACTAAGTGTGTTCTTTATAATGAGACTCGACTGTACATGAGACCTTATCACATGCACTGTCCTAAAAGAGCTGTATAATAATATATTATTTTGCCAATGGAGTATAATACATACTTGGGAATCAAACTTGTCCTTGTGATCCCTTTTGCTGTAAGCTATTGTTTGTTCCGGCAAATCCACATCTATATAGGATCAAGGTTCGAGGGAGGAGAAATAATAGTCTTGGACTTCCATTCCGTCGCGTAAACGGTCAAATTCAGAAGATGCAGTTGCTATAATAATATTCTGCTATTGCTTATGTATAGTCATGGCCTCTTTCTTTTGTGTTTATACACAGCCAATTTCAAGAGACGCAGCAGTCACCATCTGCTTATTGCTTCACACTATATAATAGCCCTTTTCACGTAAAGGACTGAGGAATTCATTAGCTCATAATTGAACGTGACGCAACTCCCGGGGTACATTCCTCCGCCATTTTGTTCACGTTTCTATGCAGGTCTATGGAGATGATGTCACTTTTCCAAGCGCCGTAGTTAGCTTACTGTACGCGATGTTCTATTTATACGGTATTCCCAAAAAAATTTGAAACTTGTGCTATTGAATGGTCCATATTGCGTGTGCTAGGGTTGCTAAGGTCTATACTGCTAGTGAAGTGGCCGTTTCTGTGCCTGACTTACCGTAGCTAAGCTCTGTGAAGGCTGGGAACCTGTCTACATTACTATTGCTTGTGTTTATGGCCAGGATCCCGACGTTATAGTCACCGTCTTTCCGAGCGCGTATCTCTCTAGCCATAGCAATATAGACAGGTTCCCAGCCTTCACAGAGCTTAGCTATGGTAAGTCAGGTACAGAAACGGCCACTTCACTAGCAGTATAGACCTTAGCAACTCTTATACCCACCGTCTTTCCGAGCGCGTATCTCCCAAGTCGTATATATATACAACCCTAGCACACGCAAATTTTTTTTGGAATACCGTATAAATAGAACATCGTGTACAGTAAGCTAACTAACTAAGGCGCTTGGAAAAGTGACTTCATCTCCATAGACCTGCATAGAAAACGTGAACAAAATGGCGGAGGAATGTACCCGGGAGTTGCGTCACGTTCAATTATGAGCTAATGAATTCCTCAGTCCTTTACGTGAAAAGGGCTATTATTATAATAATATTTTACATCAGAATAACGGAGCATTAATAATTAATATTATTACTATCCACCAAATCTATTTCCCTAGCTGTCTCAGTATGTGTGATATGAACTCGTAATAAGAGGTTCCATTGTCTGTCTTCCCATCCAGTAGCCTCTCCACAAACAACAGCCGCTTTTGGCTTCGCTCTCTGCAATAGTGAAGCCAACAGGAAAATAATCTCGCTACAATACACATCAAGGGCCCATAACCATGCAATAGTCACGTGGTATTAATTTGCTAAGGTCAATGCACACTTAATGAGCAAATGGTGTGTATTTTAGATGCAGTACAGAAGCCCGTCTCACTCTTCTCTTTCTCCTCTTTCTTTCTGTAAGTAGCATGTAAGTCAAGCGCGAACTGTTATAATTATTAGCTACATATACCAACATCACTAGATGCTAGATGAAATTACGTAATACTCAGACAGGGAGTCCGTGAAGGCTTCGAACATGAATGTATTACCTAACTTATGTAATACATACTCCAATTGACGCACACTTTTTATGCGTGCCCGGCAGGGATATTGCGCCACATGGCGTGCACTTAGTAAACACGATGCGAATTACTACGAGATTAATTTAGTGAACACGTTTTCACGTGCGAGTTAAATATCATATCTGCACATTAGAAAAACGCATCACAAAACCACGCTGCTGAATTCACTACCTCTTTCAGTAACTCTCACATAAATCCCTGTCCACTTGCAACAAGCAACCATTACATACCTGATGAGTGCCCATTATCAACATGCTGCCATTACCAAAAATCAGTACCTATTTTCAATATGCTATACAGTGGAACCTCCAATAAGGGACCCTCCGAGATAGGGACGGCCTCTCTACAAAGGACACCTATTTCAATCCCATGCTATTACGTTGGCCTCATAGTGTCCCTTGTTCGGAGGTTCCACTGTATACCATTACCTAATGACTATTAGTGAGACATGGTGTTGTCTGGACAGAGAGATCTGTTTGAGGAGCATGTGGACTACTCTGGAAGACTCATTGTCCTGTACAGGGATGGTTGTCTATACGAGGGAGGGAGGGAGGGAGGGAGTGAGGGAGGGAGGGAGGGAGGGAGGGAGGGAAGGAGGGAGAAGAGATGGAGGGAGAGGGAAGGAAGGGAGAAGGGAGGAAGGGAGGAAGGGAGGAAGAGGGGAGGGAGGGAGGGAGGGAGGGAGGGAGGGAGGAAAAGAGGGGAGGGAGAAATGGGCGAGGAAGAGAAAAGGACGATAGAGAGAGGGAAAGTGCAGGTAAACATTATAACTAGACGAATGCCACGCAATTTTGGCAAGCAAGTGCGAGCAATATTTCGCGTGTGTTTTGCACGTATTTAGAATAAGATAGAACATTACAGTATGTGTAGCGTCCGTCACATATAATAATGAATAGAGCAAAAAATTCATACGGAAACTTCCTGCATTGAACTTGTTAGACTCGCTTCGCTCGCCACAATGAGTAGTAAAGAAGTGGGAGCGGAGGGGGTAAGTGGTCTCTTTGTAGCTATGTACAACCGCAGAGTTCCTACCATGTCTTCTGGGATGGCTTCAAAGTTGGTGACTCCCAGTATCTTTGAGACGAGTGCATCCGGTGCATCACTGCTCACCCATATGTACATACTCTGTGCAAATTTAAAGTTGGACGATAAAAAAGGAGAGAGAGAGAGAGAGAGAGAGAGAGAGGAGATGGAAAGTGAAGAGGGAGAGAAGGAGAGAGAAAGAGAGGAGAGAGATAAAGAAGATGGAAACAGACAAAGGAAGAAATGAAGGAGAGAAGAAAGACACAAGATAGGGTGAGAGAAAAAGAAAAAACCACGAGAGAGAGAGAAGATGATAGAGAGTGACACACGTGGCCGCAGTCCATGAGGAAGATGCCATATCGCGAGGTGTTCTCAGGACTCAGCTGCAGTAGAGGAGCCTGCACCACAGTCTCACCAGTCTCTGTCTCCACCACATTCTATATACCATTGGGAACAGCAAGCACGATGTTTTGTTAACACAAGGCAAGCGCATATCAACTATGTACACATGTACACACCCAGGGATATTTCAAAGAGCTGCTGTGTGGAGTTTGAACCCACCACCCTCTAGAGAGCTCTACCTACATGTACCAGCTACCAGGACAGCTCAGTATCATATTGGTTGCACAGACTCCACTTTCTATTCATATAAAAGTCCATTTTGAGTCTGCCATTTGCATATGTCATCAACGCAAGTCGAGGCAAAGAAAAGGCAAACAACCCAACCACACACCCAGGAAAACTATTTTTTCCCAAGGGAAAAAGAGCTTCTCTAGGTTGGATTCGAACCCACCACACTATGCACTCCAGTGCTTGCTTTGGAAGTATGTATGTAGTTGTAGTATGTTGGAAGCATGTATGTAGGTGACTTGTTTGCCTTGCCTTCCCTTTGTACCTCGTTACCAAGTTGTTGAGACATACACGCGAAGGCAAAATGATCCAGAGAATAGTGGAGAATATTATTACAAACAGAGCTAATACAAAGTGTGTACATTGTACATGCAGTGGTACTTATGAACCTGTTCAGTGAGAGAGTGAAGTGCATAGAGGGAGGGGTAGATGGTGGGCATTAAATAGGAGAGTGGAGTGGACTTTATCAGGTTCATGGTCTGCGCACGAACGTCGTAACTGATTCTTGAGCTCAGGGTGAAGGCAGGCTGTGAAGGAAGGGAGTATAATTATAGGCCAGTAAAAAATGTTGCTCAAGGTGTTTGCATGCAAAAATAATGACGGATTTTGTGGATTCAAAAAAAATAAAACAAGTGTAGCTACAGTACAGATCCCGAGGAAAAGCAAAAAAAAACAAAAACATTCTTATAAACTGAGTGGAAACCAAACTAAAATGGAAAGGAATGAAAAGTATAATGTACAAATGGTGAGCTGGGAGTTCTATTCTAGGTATCTGTTCAGTGGAATTCTATTTTTCCACGGTGTCTACTGCAGTAGAAGTGCTTATGACATGTACAGTAGAATACACAGTGTGTTATTATGTATACCAAGAGTCAAGCTCACGTTCTTGAGGAGACTGAGGACAAAGAGGGGTAGCTGGGCGAGGGAGGAGGGGAGGGTGAAGGGAGGGCAGTTGGCAGAGGCCACTTGAGAGCGGTACATCTTGGTGCAGTCTACCACAGTGTTCAACAGAGCCTGCAGGCAGGGTTGGCAGGGGAAGAATTGACACACGTTTCAGTAGCAATGGCTGCCATGTTTGAGGGCAAATCACGCAGCAAAAAAACACGCCGATTTGCCCGCAAAGAACACGGTACTTTGACTGCGCATAACCTTTGGTTTTAATTCAGCACAGTACCACATAGGCAATATTGATTAATATCTGCCTTAACACTTAACCAGCCACCGGCACATAAATGTGCCCAGAGACTCCATAAGTCTATAAGATTTTATATGGGGGCTATAATACTAGGCGCTAATACTTTATACTGCTTATTTAAGCAGATCCCCATGGTGTCCAAAGGGTTTAAGGATAAAGCCAAACTCCATACTCAAAACCCTCTACACAAAATGTGTTGTTAAAGTACAGGTCATAAGATTTCTTACATCCCTGGCATCTCCAATACTGGAGCTCGTAGCTCGATCAACAGCTGCAATGGATGACAAAAGACCACACATTGTTTACCAGTGATGATGCGTCAGAAGAATATGAACACCACATCACAGACTGCGACTATAGAGTACAGTCGCATCGTACTGTATGGTGCTGCTGACTTTTATTGTTCTACCTCGTAGTTTACACATAACTGTACAGTATTTACAGGTATACATACAGTATACCATAATAATATCAAGTTAAGCTCACTCATGTTAGCCAGGAGTCCAGTGATGGACATGACCAACAGTACAATGCATATATATGTATACCATACGTACATGTAAAGGTACTATTAGCATGCTGCTAATGTTCATCTCACCCATGTTAGCCAGGACTCCAGTGATGGCGACAACGTTCAGTTTGGAGTAGAGGACAGAGGGTTGACTGGAGACTGGCAGACACAGCGTGTGGACACGAATACGACGCTCTCCTAGGGAATAAACACCGCAGGGTAACTACCATACATTGTACTGTATATTGAAGATGTAAACAAGCACATGTACCACAGGACTGAGGATGCTAGGACGTGTGCTCTCTCTACAGTTAGTGAAAAAGAGGTTGGGACGGTGAGGATGCATTGCCATAGGCATGCCTACAGTAAGGGCATAGGTCAGTGACAGCAAAGTCAGTGGCAGTGTCCAGGGCCTACAGTAAGGGCGTAGGTCAGTGACAGCAAAGTCAGTGGCAGTGCCCAGGGTCTACAGGACAACTCTTCTTTCTCCACGGTGGGATTGGAACCCTGATTACTGATTTGATTGAGTGACACTACAGTCATGTTTATGAAGCATAGCAGAAGAGTATATACAAATTGAGCAGTGGAGGCAGACCTCGACTGCTGGTGTAGAGGAGGGCAGCCTGACAGCACACGGTGCTCATATCCTTGAGATTTTCGTCAATCGAGAGACTGATGGTGTAGCCGTGGTCCGGGTTGGTGTTGGGGAGGGAGAGGAGGTCCGTAGACCGAACAAAGAAGTTCCCGTGGAACGTGTGGAGACTGATACCTAGAAGGAGGAGGAGGAGAGGGAGAGAGAAAAAAGAAGAAAAAACAAACTAAAAACCCATGAGACAATATCGGAGGAACAGACGATACATGAAAACTGTAGCCGAATGTTCAGCGTAAATATTGAGTATACTGCCCCATCGCAGTTGCTGTACAATTAATGAGTTTATTTGTTCTTCATAGAGAAACATGTAAAAACACTCCATGTGTACATTTATTCATGTGTATATAATACCTCCTATAGACACAGTACACACAGTATACCTTCAGTGCATCGAATTCTCATGACAGCCTCAAACCCTATCTTTCTCGTCAGATATCGCCTGCGGAAAAGACAATTACTTGAAGTACACGCTCAGAGACCCGTGAGGAGGTGTCTTCTCACGTGAAGTCCTTCTCGTATCTGAGTCGACTGGTGTGCTGACTGTGGTGGAAGTCGGGGTAGTAGAACACCTGGCCTGCTGAGAACTTTGACACACACGCTGCACAGACAGACAGAGAGAGAGAGAGAGAGAGAGTACGTGTTGCTACGCACATCATCTATGTCTGCATAAATTGGCGTGACTTCCAGTGCAAGTGCACAATGTACATGATTTTTTCGCAGCTGCTACCGGTTGGGTGTGGTTTTACCTGCATCACTTTACACGGGGTGTGTGTATGTGTGTGGTGAGGGACGGCGAAATAGGGGTGAAAGAGGGGAAATTGTAACTACATGTAGGTGCAGTGAGATAGAGTATGTAACTATTCCATACTCCAACTATAGTCAAACATAGTAGGCATAGTTGCCCTGTCTCTTCTTCCACTAATGCTCATACAAAAAATGCAAAATCGTTGACACCCTCATTAGAGGTTGAGGGGTGGGCAGCGGCGAAATAGAGGTGAAAGAAGGATCATTGTAGCTAGATAGCAATAGGTGCAGCGAGATTGAATACATTACTATTCCATACTCCAACTATAGTCAGAGTGCTGGATATAGTTGGTTTGTCCTTTCTTCAAACCAAGTGCCAACAAAAAATGCAAAATAGTTAACACCCTTATTGGGGGGTTGGTAGAAAAGTAAATTGAGATGAGCTAAATATTGATAGGAATAGATGTAGTGAGATAGAGTATGTATTCCATCATCCAACTGTAGTCAGAATAAAAAAGAGGGAGGGAGAGCTTACAGATGGTGGAGAGGTCAATGAACTGGGAGGAGGAGAAGGCGAACAAGTCAACAGCTATCTGCTGAGACGACAAGTCCAGAGCCAACTTCTTGTAGAAGTCAGAGGCTGGGGCCATGTTGATGGTGTCCTGAGAACAGGAAATATTTATCCTCTTATTCAACGAGTAGTTAACAATGTAGAGAGTCAAATTCCTTATTATTTCATTTAAGACTAACTTTTGAGTCACGAAATATGTTGTTGGTTACTCAATGCATGAGTCACGAATGCATAGTATGCCATAAGAAGAACAGGTGGGTCACGGGCTAAAATGCTGACCTACAAATTTCGTGACTCAAAACTGAGTCTTAAATGAAGAACTAACGAAACAAAGTAACGAAAAGCACTAAAGTGAAAACCCTCGGCGAGCTGCGCATGCACGGTAAACACTCTACCATACTTGTATCTACGAATAACAATGTATTTACATACCTTCTTGGTGGCAGGAGGGTTGACGTCTCTGTTCTTGAGGGCTCCAGGTCCAGTGGTAGGCAGACACGTCTGAATCACTGTCACTCTCCCTCCTATGGAGTGCTGTACACACAAGATACAGAACATGGCAATCCAAAAGTGAAAATAATGAAGATAAGGACTAAAGTGAAAACCCTCATACGCATGTGAAAACTAGAGGTAGAAAGGCAAAGGCACAACAAACAAATCAACTATATACACCCAGGACAGCTCTTTTTTTTCAAAGAAAAGAAGAAGAGCTGCCCTAGGTGGGATTCGAACCCACGACACTCTGCAGTCTCTACTCTACCAACTGAGCTACCAGGGCTACTCAGCTGGTAGGGGTTCGAATCTACAACACAACACAACACAAGGCAAACCTCAAACCACTGTGCTATGGCATACAAACATTACTGGCCATGCAGTAAAAAAGATGACTTAGCCGTATACACCATTTCAACTCATCCATGGACACATGTGTCAAGGCAACGGCAAAACCAAGCAACAGAACGACAGACAACTCTTTTTACAATAAGTCATAGCTCACCAAGAGTTTCTCAGCTACTTGCAGGGCAGCCCCAAGAGCACACTCAGTGATGGGCGTCTCCGCAAATATACCAGGCATGTCCTCCAACAGCGTCCGAATCATCTGCAATGTGCATATCACTTTGTCAGTGCATGGAAAAAGTTATATTGTAGAGTGAGTCCATTCATTTGCTAACATTTTCATGTGCAAGTAAAGTGCATAGTAAAAGTTATAAAAAGTGAAAACTTTGGTAGTATGTTTGATAGTGAGTCTAGTGCATAATTGAAGAGGCCTGAAGGCTATAAATGTGCATGGCTTTCAGCTGCCTAGTATGAATATCAATTGTTAACTTATAACCACTGAAGGCACGCAGGCACCCAGACACACAAGCATGTATAATACTGAGTGCAGAAAATAGGGTGGCCTATAAAGCTTTCGTACTTTTCCTATGGAAGTGGGGGAAAGAACAGGCTAACCAACTATCCTCAAAACCTCGACTATAGTTGCAGTGTGCAGTTAGTACATGTAACTCATGCATGAGAGAGTGTGGAAAAAGGTGGCCTGAAGCTTTCGTACTTTTCCCGAGCAAGTAGGGGAAGAACAGGTAACCAACTATCCTCAAAACCTCGACTATAGTTGCAGTGTGCAGTTAGTACATGTAACTCATGCATGAGAGAGTGTGGAAAAAGGTGGCCTGAAGCTTTCGTACTTTTCCCGAGCAAGTAGGGGAAAGAACAGGCTAACCAACTATCCTGAAAACCTCGACTATAGTTGCAGTGTGCAGTTAGTACATGTAACTCATGCATGAGAGAGTGTGGAAAAAGGTGGCCTGAAGCTTTCGTACTTTTCCCGAGCAAGTAGGGGAAAGAACAGGCTAACCAACTATCCTGAAAACCTCGACTATAGTTGCAGTGTGCAGTTAGTACATGTAACTCATGAGAGAGTGTGGAAAAAGGTGGCCTAAAGCTTTCGTACTTTTGCTGTGGAAGTGGGGGAAAGAACAGGCTAATCAAATATCCTCAAAACCTCGACTATAGTTGCAGTGTGCAGTTAGTACATGTAACTCAGGAGTGACTGTGGAAAAGAGGGTGGCTTAAAGCTTTCGTACTTTTCCCGAGCAAGTGGGGGAAGAGAAGGCAATTTTACGTACTACCGTGCATATCTTGACTACCTGGAGAGGCATTACTGTTGACTATAGCTAGTGTTGCCTTTGCATAATAGCAAGCACATGAGAAAAGGGAAAGACCAACCAACTGAAAAGCAATAATAACAGGAGTGGCTCTCCGTGCAACAATAGGAGGCAGGGTATCAAACAGTAAAAAAGTAGCATACAAACTAACATCTTTTGACTCCTTCAAGTTGACAAGTAGAGAATCAGGAGAAGGAATAAAGATATCTGCAAGGCAGAAACAGGAACCATTTGTGCAGATTGTAGTGTGCAAAGAGCTGATTGCCGGGGGACAATTGTACCTCTAGCAACAAATTTAAGTAGAGTGTCTCAATAACAGTCCGTCTGGTATTTGGGGGTCAAAGTGTCCCCTGGGAAGCATATTCAGGGGGACAAATGAAGAGATAGAGGGGCTATGTCCCCCTGGTCAGTGGTGGAGCACCCTGGAGCCAACCTTGCCTATAAGTATACGGTCTTACCATCGACGTCAGAAACAACCATCATCTGAGGCTGAGAGTTCCCAATCTGCAAAAAAGGTATGTATATGCAGTAGATATTTCAATCTCTCAACCAGTCATTGAGCAACATACAGTACAGGTTTCATTGCACTTCAGTTTCACATAAACCTATACAAGTGGTAAAGAATGGTATATATACACGTACACTGAGGTTGTAGAAATGGAGGGAAGAGTCCACGGTGAGGAAGCCAACCAAGGTCCTGGCGTCGCCAGGGACACGACCGAGACAGTCCAGGAGGCAGCGACACGTCAAGGCCAACACTCCTGAACACAAAAACCAACGATTAAAGTAACTACAGGTCTTTAAACCCGCCACAGCAATACACTTCAGGGGACAAGAAAACTTTGTGATAGGGATGACATGCACTCATAGTCTTTAGCCAACAGTCCCAGCTCTCCGGGCAGGTGGTGTCCAACTCTCTTGCTATGCTATGTATAGTTGTATGGATGAGTATATACATATGTACGTACATACGCATGTGTGAGATTTTGCACTGAGATGCTCTTCGTAGTCAAGTACAGTATGTACATGGTGCCGTGTTGTGCATGCGGTATGAGACAATTCACCTGAATTGACCGAGTTGTAGGAGACGTCGATGATGAAATAGTACACACACGGCTGAGGTGGACGCAACTGAAGAAACATAATACACATATCCCATCATATATCATCGGAGGATGGGTAGCATGCTCTAAGTGCTAAGTACTGATGCAGTTAGCCCGAGTTCGTGTAATATAGAGAAGGGCTTTATGGACATTCAACCCTCAACACATGCACGAACATGCTCCTTTTCCAGGGTTTGCACTTTACAACTCTTCATTGGACCTGAAAATCTGACAGTACAGGGAAGAAGTATGTCTCACCATGTACTCGGAGGAGGCAATGTACTCTACAGAGCTCCTTTTGATCTCCATTCTCATACCCCTGTCTCCTCTCTTACCAGTCTGGGCGTTGTAGTCGAAATCCTCCGGGACTGTATATAGGTGCATATGTATAAGGCGGTAAGAACAGGTCAATGCAGAGAATGTGCAGGCGGAAAAGTCAATGCAAGGGTTTTCTACCAGCACCGTACATACAGAGTGAAGGCCGTTTACAGTACTTTCCGCAAATCTACTGTCATCTAGTATGCCAGATAAGGTACAGGTCTAACTGTAGACCGGTTCATAACACCAAAAAGCTAACAAACATATTGTTGTTTCTGCATGGGTTGCAATTTCCATGGCACAAGGGGGATTTTGTGTATTCCACAGTGCATGTTGACAAGGACAAGTTCAATGCTGTATATATGTGTGTATGTTTACACATACTTAAAATGGAGTGAGGCATTAATAATACAGTACAGTGGAGACGTACGTACGTGCATTAGGTCTGAAGCAGAGGTTACACCGCCAGTGACGAGAGTCGATGAACACGACGAAGGGATTGATGTAGGCTCTGCAGACCCGGCAGCGGACTATGGTACTGGGGTGAATCACCGGGCACTCCTACAGAGAGAGAGAGAGAGAGGAGCACTGTAGTTGATACGAACAAGAAACATGTATACAGTACTGCAGACAACGTACAAAGATATGACAATATGACTCACTCATATTCAATAACGAACGCTAAAATGTACACATTTTCCTAGGTGTCCTATTTGTTCCTTAGACCGCAGTCACGCGCAATTGACCAATCAGATTACAGAATTGCAGGGGGTTTATTTTTCATAGACACCTCGTTTCAGGTGTCTAATGGCGTTTGCAGGTGGTCTACAGCAATCTCCCCGTACAAAATGGCTATTCTCAAAAGTCGTTATCTGCGCAAACTGGCCGATTCCGCGTTCGGTATATGTAAGCGTAGAAGGCGCGACTGGCAAAGTAGCTCTTTTAAAATGCGTAGTGCACCTGCAAGAAGTCTGTGGACAGTCTCCGGAGCTCGCGAAAGTCAGATACATATACAGTACATACAGGTCTAGGTATTGTATATGGGATTATGCGACACTTTCCTTTCTTGCGGTGTATTACGTCTGTTTCGTTTGCATGTCGTCTTTTTTCTATCTCATAATATTTTCTTTCTCCGAAAAGCCGTGAGTTGTTAGTTTACGTGTACATTGTCTCACGTGCATGCTGACGTCCTTGTAGGGGTGGATGTGGATGGCCAGAGGTAGTTTCATCTTCCCCAGCAGGCTACTGGTGGTGGGGACAGCATTCATGGTGCAGCACATGATGTGCGGCGGGGGGTTGAAGACCCCCAGCCCCCCGGGGAGGCTGATTTTGGGGGGAACCAGGGGGGTCTGGGGCAGGACCTGACGGGCCTCCATGATGTTGACTGGCCTCAGCTCAGGGTCAGCCTAAAGCGAGAGAAAGACTAAATGTTAAATACACTGCGTGCTCGTTGCACACTGAGTTTAGGGGCTACCGTATCACTGAGTACCACAATTGGTTACCTCTATATGTATATGCTACATACGTAGAACATGACCGAGAGCTAGACACACACGTGGTATACACATGGCAGCGGAATTTCAACTCCGTCACAAAAACAACAAACACATTATAATGACAATTAGAGCTCACTCACGCTGAATTTCGTGTCTTCTAAATCCAGTAGATTTCACGTTTTCGTGTATTCTAAGGGCCCGGGGCGTTTTTTGTGGGCGCGCATATAGTAGGTGCGCGTTAATTAGAAAACCACGCGCTGAGTTCAACATAGTATTACAGGGAAAGGAGGAGAGGCGGCGTAGCTGGTCCCGTGCACATGCGCATGCTCGTCGTTAGACGGCGGTGGTGGCTGAGCCGTAGCGTCAGTTTCGTAGCTGTCACTTGCCTCTAGCAGTATGCGGTTAATTTCGTTGTGGCTGTCTTCTTGCGAGTCTTCCAACCACTCCATGATGTCTTCGCAAAACATCGCGTTTTGGTTTCTAAGGGCGCGCAGAGCCTGCGCCCGCTCTAAATAAGTAGGCAGGCTCGTCCAATGAAATCTACGCGATTTAGAAGGCCTCGGGCCCTTAGTAGCGTCATCGCTACGCTCGGACGCTACAGCCCAGGGCCCTCGGCCTTCTAAATCGCGTAGATTTCACAGACTCACTGTCCAACTATTATTTATACAGTGGAGACACATGTGCATTTGGTCTGAAGCAGATATATGTATATGTACACTTTGTATGATGACTGAGAGTAAGATCAAAGGAATTCCAGCTAGTCCAAACAACGTAGATGCGTAGTAGGCGCTTCCTGCCCAGTCTACGGGTATTTAGAACATAAAGAGGCCATACAATTTCCCCATACTTTAGCTGTATGTCAACTTATTTGCATAAACCACAGTGGGTCTACAGGAGTTAGACGATAGTAGGAAATTGGCAGCGTGGAATGCTTTTACACTGTTTGTGTGCTGCTATTTCTTTACCAGAAGGGAGTGTTTTCAGGCTAGAAATGCTCTAGTCTTATATACACGGTCTGAAAACTAGCGAAAGCTGCTTTTCCCGACGCGTAGGCTCCCGTGGACTGAAACAGTATTCGGTGACTTTCAGCTTTCTTGCTACTGCAACAGGATGCATTCGAGAATGCTGGGAGAGAAAGCGAGCCAGAGCGGCAGCTACAAAACTCGTGTGGAATCTAGCAGCGAAAAAGTATAGCTGACGTACCTGTAACGTTGAACTCTCGAGAAATGACCATGGCTTCTGCAGCTTGACTAAACTATAGCGCTTTATCGCAGCTGTCTCTCTCCCGATCGATTGCTAGCTAGCTATTAGCTCTCTCTCCGTCCGTACACTAGAGGGTGTGCGTTAAAAAGAGGGCGCTTTGAAAGCTTTTGCGCAATCTCATTGGTCAGAGCCTTACCGCCGGATGTCATCATACAAACACGTTATACGATAGCATTGGCTTGTGGTCTACTAATTGCACACTCGTGGCTTCAGTTTTGATAGACTACTCGGGCTACGCCCTCCTGCCCTATCAAAACTGGCCACTCGTGTACAACCAGTAGACCACGCGCCGCCATCGTATAACCTATACATATACAATGCCTGCCAGCAGGATAAAAGGAAAATTAAAGGGAAATTCCCCTATTCCCATGACTACATGTACATAAGTAACCGTGCTCTGCTTGCTATCACCAAAATGATAGTTCTTGCATGCTTTAGTACTAAACCAAACTGAGGTGGTAGAGCTGGTAAAAGCAAAACATGGTGCAGTAATATCAAGCCTTAATTAGCCAATGTTGCCAAGACGAGGACTCACTGGTACTGTGGGCTTCTGTGGTTGTGTAGAGTGAGGATTGGGAGGGTGTGCCATGTGAGGGTGAGAAGGGGGCGGGGCCATTGCCGACGTGGGTGGAGGAGGAGGCGGAGCTGTATATAAAATAAGAGCACAGTAGCTCCAAATGAGGAGTGAGGAGTGGTTCAGGCAAACGTGAATACCAGGAGGGTTAAAGATATGAACTAACACCAGGATTTCAAGGTTACACTTAAATTTTCACCAGAACTATAAATTTAAATGGTCTTGCCTAAAACCAAACTAATCTGTTTACAGGTAGCTTTGTCTATACTTACGTATGCACATTAATTTGTCAACTGAGAGTTAAAAAGGCAAAAGGCATAACAAACAAGTCAACTACGTACAACCAAGAAAAATAAGATCCACCGCCACTCGGCAGCCTAGCTAGGTAGGTGAGTGCACTACCAACCGAGCTACAAAGTGCCAACCTTGTCCCATCATCCCTCCTCCCCCAGTAGAACCAGGAGGAGGTGGAGGTCGACTGCCTGTTGACTCGGGACCTCTGTAGCTCCATCCAGTAGGTGGAGGAGGGAGAGATGATCCTGGACACATGCACAGTACAGTCTTCGTATACCAATGACATTTAATGACTAACTAATTCTTATTTGGTTTTTCCAACGTTTCACAAGGACCTTCCTCGGGGATGAGTACAAAGGTCATCGTGAGAGGACTGAAACGTTGGAAAAACGTTTTCACTCACTCTGGTACAAACAAGAATGAGTTATGTCCAGAGAACAAAGAAGTCTTCGACAATGACATTTTAGTGGACATCGGATTCATTACGTACGGTTTTCTTTATGTGGGTATATACAAACCAAATGCAAAAAAGGAAGAGAGGGAATGGTGCGGAACACATTACTACTCCACACTCCAACTATAGTCCAAGTATTAAAGATAGTGGTCTTGTCCCTTCTTCCATTCACGTGCCAACAAAAAATGCAAAACTGTCGACACCCTTATTAAGAGAACAGCAAAATGGAGGCAAAAGATAGGGATAGGTGCAATGAGCTATATAGAGGGTGTATATATAATATTCCAACTGTGAACTGTAGTCAAAACACTAAGTACAGTTGGTTTGTCTCTTCTTCAAATTATGCACCCACAAAAAAAGCAAAATCGTTGACACCCTTATTGCGCACTTAGTAATACATCATTAACACAAGCTCCTTTTGTACATGCTATTATGTGCTATACACGAGCTCCCTGTCTATTTGCAATAGATTCGCTTAATAGTCACCAGGCCCTCTTTTTCTCCTACTACAATCTCACCTATTCCAGTAGGTTGTGGTGGAGGTGGGCCTTGCCCTGATACTGTAGGAGGTGGTGGTGGGAGAAGTCCATGGCCTGGAGTCATCACTGCCGCTCCACTAACACCTGGTGGAGGAGCCATTGGGTACCTGCATAAAGTCCTCACATAACTAATTTCTTGTCGTACACACTAGAAAATAACTATCAACTTCTGCTCAGGTTCATGATACTTACATATATCTACAACTAATTGCATGTGTCTGGAGACAAGTAGTCTTTTAAGCACTGAATTTCTTCGAGAATAATGCACATACACAGGAAGGAAAGAATGACAGATGTGGAAGTGAACGGTAAAATTTGCTGTGGTGAGTAGGTGGTGGTTAAACATGCGCATGCCTCAACCAAGCTGTAGGAATGTACAAAGCTATAAAGTTATAGCAGCAGGTTCAGAAATCAGATGATAATATTCTGCATCTTTCCTGCTTGGCAAGTCAGAGCCTCCATTACTCCGAGTATAACAACAAGAACTAGCTAGCTCCTTTTGAAATGAAAAGCACTGAAGTGCAAACCCTCGGCGAACTGCGCATGCGCGGTATATTAGTATGCGATTACTCGCGGTCTCCCGCTAGTATATAGCGTCTGACACGGGCTAGCTACACTAGTAGATAGCATGCGAGAGTCGATACACGCCCTTCGTTGTGACTTCTTGTGCCTTCAAAATACACAGAGCAAGCAGACCAGGTCCTGTGCTAAATATAAGCGCATGCGCATTTTCCGCAGCGATAAAAATGGCCGTCTACGCATCAGCCGTACAATGGTGGAAGCGCTCTAGCTTTGCAACGGAGCGTTTTCAGAGAAAACCGTTCGAAATTTCTGACCTTCATTGCCCGTTCAGTAGGTGGTATCCTTTGTGAGACGAAAGAACACTCGAGAAGTGAGATGAAGAGTAACAGACAGACTGACACACAGACAGACAGACCCAACTACTGTAACCCTCGCTGCGCATGCGCGCCGAGGGTTAATTATGTGGGAACAACAAAAGTTAGAACGGAAGATACAATATGAGATCGGAAGAAATAGATATTAGAATTAGAAAAAGTATGAACACCTGCCAGCTGAAGTAGCTCCTGTCATGGGTGGATGAGAGGGGAGCTGTCCTGGTGCCGGCAGGAGACCCTGTCCTGATACCGGTGGCCGAGCTGGCGGAGGCAGCAAACCTCCCTGTCCTGCTGTCGGTGGAGGAGGGGTGGGTAGGATTCCGTGTCCTGAAACTGACGGTGGCTGCCGAGGTGGAGTTGGCAAGAGACCTTGTGCTGAAGTGGGCGGCGTTGGGAGGAGTCCTGGTCGCGGACCTTGTACCCCACCGGGAACGTGTCCTGAACTCGGTGGCTGTCCTGAACCTGGCATCAGCGGTTGTCCTGAACTCGGCGGCTGTCCTAAACTAAGAGGTGGAGGCATTCGCACGTTCGAATTATAGGACACCACAGGTTGCATTGGAGGTGGCAGAGGTAGCTGTCCTGAAACTGTGTGTCCTGAACTTGAGGGAGGGAGATTTTTCGGAGGCTCGGACGCCCAGGGAGCTCCATGCGACGATGGTGGCGGTAGCCCTGTCTTGGTAGGATGTGGGGGAGGGGGACCGGTGTGTCCTGCTAAATTTTGTCCTGGTAATGCGTGTCCTGAAGCCACCTGTCCTGAAGATGACAGCAGTCGTGATGGAGGCTGCACTGTTCCAGATCCTCCTAAAAACCAGCGGTATTATGACCGAATAACAACAAATTTGTTGAAAAAGCCTTATATAGTGAGATCACAAAAGATGATTTCGTGCTACACAAAAGCACTATAGATTAGTAATACAAAAAGGTCTTTGTCACATTTGATGGTAGCTATATTTGTACGTCATTATGTACACCAACTACTATACCACTACAGTTCTACAGTTGTGCATGCACTTTACAGTGGATATATACACAAGTCAGCTCAGCTCATGGGTCAATGCAGACAGTACTACTGTCATTGTATATACTCATATGGGTGTTGGTGTTGCTGTCACAATTCATGCCTAGACAAATCATGCATGATTGGCGAGCGGGAGCGAGCTAACCTAGTGGTTCAAATGGCGTGATTTTTCTATATATTTATATACGACCGCGCGCACGCTTCTTTTTATCCGAAAAACATTTCAAATTTTTACGAGGAAGCCAACCACACTTTCTGCGATGGATCGGTCTAGAGAAGATGCCCTTCGTCGACGAGAAAGGGAAAGAGAACGTCGTGCCAGTGAGACTTCTGAGCAAAGAGAGGCTCGTCTTTCTCGACGCCGACTGCGTGATAGGGAACGGGCAAGGCAACGCCTGGCCACGGAAACAGCGGAAGAAAGGGAAGCACGACTAGCGAGAAGTCGTGTACGAGCAAGAGCTACACCTGCTGCGGAATCAGAGGAAACGCAACAGGCAAGGCTCCAACAGATCCGAAGCTATCAGACAAGGCGAATTGCTGCCGAGGAGTGAGAGGGTCGACTACAGTTACTACACAGGAATCAACAGCTTTTTTGCGCATGCACACAATCGTTAGATTGCTCCCGCTCGCCAAAAATGCAGTGCATTCACCTACTAGTATAGTACACTTATGTATGAATGTGCTGTACCAGGAGGTGGTGGACGTATCGACATCCACTGCATCCCTGAGGACAGGGCATTACCTGTCGGCTGGATCTGCAACCGTGGGATAAGGAATAACAGTGTCATAATGTGCACCAAGTTTTACTGCTCCTCATAATGCTCCAATCCATGCTCATAGACTGTTAGACTCGTAAGACAAATTTCACGATTTAAGAGCCACCTGCGAAATTATATTCGCGGCTACAAATCTTAAATCATGACTGCATGGTTTATGGAAGTTTTCTTCCTCACGGCTCTTTTCCCCAATAGCATCGGCAGGGTTACCTACAGGAATTTTTTTGGAGGGGGGCACTAAAAATTTACTTACCTAGGCCTGCAAATGGCCACTTAGATTTACATTACCGAATGTGTACAGGTATATACACTCAGTCGTTTAGAGCACATGCTAGAAGAGCACAACCACAGAGAATTTCAAACTCTGTGGTAACTATAATAGAACCTGCAGAGGTATTACCTGAGCGGTAGGAGGAAGAGGGTACTGAGGTCCGTAAGGCATCCTCCCATAGTATCCCCCAGGACCTGGCCCAGATGGAGGCGGGGCTGAGTTGGTCACGTGACCAGGAGGCCCAGCTGACGGCGGCGGTGGCCTTCCACTATGCATAGACATTCCTCCCGTCCCCGGGTACACGTAAGACATCCTGGACAAAGCCAGTGACAAGATGTGCATAATGAAGTCATCACACAAGTAAACAAACTAGGATGTACAAGGCTTCGAGCTAAGCACGCAAAAAGAACAGGGCTACGGTATGTACAATCCCTGATCGCTATGATACAAAGTCTACACAGCTTTATACCAAAAGCAGCCAACTGTGCGAAGAATACACGGTAAAACTTACGGGCTCCCTTGCTGAAGCAGCCAGGAAAAACAGCACAGCGAAGCAAAGACAGTCAGTAGGCCATGTGGCAGCGACTTAGCATGCGGATATCACGCGCATATTGCGAGTAATCATATGACTTACACATGAATATCACGTGGTTTACCAACGTCGCCGAAATGACGTCACGCTCACATGTATCTTAGCCAACAAGCAAACAAACGGTAAAGGGAGCCGAAAGAACGTCCATACTGAAGAGGTCGGATCTTCAAGACCATAAGACGTAAGGCAAGCTTTACCTATTGGTGTTTTTGACGCTCTATAAGCGTTTGTTCGCGTTGTTTCTTCCAACCAAGCGCATTCTATCACTTTCTCGTAAGCTTTTGGTCCCCTCAAGTCATTGATAGAGACTCTAAAGCCTTTCTCTTTGTGTAAATTATCTAGAGCTATGTATATGTACCTCTACAGAGTGAAAGATTCAAAGATGTCTTTTGTTTGGGACTGGTTTTCTGGAGTTCTCAACTACCTTGGTACGTGTTTGCCAATTCACGCATAGACCATGCATTCAATATATGTACGTACCTCTCTAGTACTTTGTGTACATCCAGTAGCCCAGTGACTTTTGGTTCTCTGTTTTATTACTGCACATGCAACCACCAAGAAGAGTTATGCAATAATTGTATTTGTACTGTAAAGTGGCTGTAAGAAGAGTCATTCAATATCTCATTAGTGGCTAGGCTAGCATCTTTTCAAACAATCTCATTCTTTGTCTCTCTCTGGCATGCATGTTTCTTATCTCCTGTCTTAGGCATGCATGTTCTCACCACATGGCCTTGGGTACTATGGCGTTTACATAGTAAGAGGCTTCCAGATATCCCAGAGGTATATATACATACATAGTAAGAGGTATCCCAGGAATTATCTCAGTGTAGGCCTACTCCCTATGTATATACCTGTGGTATTGTAACTGAATTGGTATACAAAAGGAAACTCACTGCATAGGAATGTATGGACATGCCATGTGTGGGATAGCCTTCCAACTTCCTTAGTGCAAAGGTGTACAGTACATGTAAAGGTGGAACCTCTGAACAAGGGACACTATGGGGTCAACGATTTTGTCCCTTTTAGAGACGTCGTCCCCATCTCGAAAGGTCAAATAAAACGCTAAAGTATTAGTTTCCTTTTCAGAGAGGTTGTCCCTATCTCGGATGTCAACTAAAGTATTAGCATGGGGTTGAAACAAGTGTCCTTTGTAGAGAGGTTGTCCCTATCTCGGATGTCTAATAATACACTAAAGTATTAGCATGGGGTTGAAACAAGTGTCCTTTCTAGAGAGGTCGTCCCAATCTCGAAAGGTCAAATAAAACGCTAAAGTATTAGTGTCTTTTGTAGAGAGGTCGTCCCTATCTCAGATGTCAAATAATACACTAAAGTATTAGCATGGGGTTGAAGCGACTGTCCCTTGTATAGAGGTCACCCCTATCTCGGAGGGTCCCTTATCAGAGGTTTCATACGGAGTGCTCATTGTATTGCAATTCTCCAGGACTGTGGAAGAAGTCTGGGAAGCTGGTGTTCCTGGGCCTGGACAACGCTGGGAAGACCACTCTACTCCACATGTTGAAGGACAACAGAATGGGACAGCACGTTCCCACCCAATATGCCAGTATGTGTACAATATGCCAGTATGCCCAGACCGTTTAACAGTTTGCTGTGTGGTCATTAGTGCATGATGCTGTGATGCATGATACAAGTCACTTGTAAACTTATTGCACGTGTGCTATACATACTGTAGGTACTGTAGGTACTGTGTGTGTGTGTGTGTGTGTGTGTATTACATGTAATCGCTTAGTGACATGTTTAGGGAGCGAGGGTGGAGGTTGAATTTCCAACACTGTTTTCAAAGTGATTGAAGAAAATACGTTGTCACCATTAGCATTAACAGCCTTCTACAACCATGCCACGAGATAATGGTTTTGCACAGTTGAGCACACGTACTTGCTATATGGCGGCAAACTTTGAAGAATAAAAAAAACGTTCTGAAATTCGCAGTGTATAGCTATCCATGATAGTGTCTCTGAAGAATGTAGTAGGCAGGGAGATTTCTATTGTGGAACCAGCGATCTTACGAAAGTTTAAATCCATCAGTGCTGTTTTTCATGTCGATTTCTAAACCTTAGCAAAGGAAGAGATGGCGATAGGAGGGATCACGTTCACCACCTTTGACCTCGGCGGTCACGAGACTGCGCGGCGAGTGTGGAAAGACTATTTCCCGGCAGTTGATGCCATAGTCTTCATCATTGATACATGTGACAAAGACCGGTTTGAGGAGTCCAAGATGGAGCTGGAGGTACGTACATACTATCAAGTACAAATGAAACTTTGCATACAGTGCCACTGTCCGTATGTACATGTATGCACTGTCACAATGCTTTGTAATGGGTAAAGGAGTAACTGCCCCGGTTTGTGCCTCTAACTTGCTTATTGTGGGACCTCTAACAATGAAACTTGGTACACTGGTTTACGTGGTTATATATACACGCCATAGCAGAGTAAGTAGTATTCTGTATAGTGATGTAACAAGGGAGGATGCTGCACATGTATGTAGTTGACTGATGGACACTCTTTCTCCAAACCACTCAATTCAGTCATCACATGCATGTTGTGGGATTATGTAGCAGCCCTTCTCACACTTCTTTCTCTTCCTTCTTTCTATATAGCTAGTATGTAAGTAAAGAGTGAGCTGTTATTTTACATAGTATGTGATTGGTATTTCAGGGTCTGATGTCAGACGAGCAGGTGGCCAATGCCCCCATCCTGGTCCTGGGAAACAAGATTGATGTCCCTGGAGCTTGCTCTGAAGAGGATCTTAGGGCTATCTTCTCTCTAATCGGCAGAACCACTGGCAAGGTCAGGGTTCATCTACTGTTGACTGATGCGTGAAGAGTTGACTGGAATAGACAGTGGCGCATACAATGAGCAGTGTTACGTGCAAAAAGTTGTGTATGTACAGAAAGAGAGGGCCTTGCAACGAGGCTAGATACTGTATTTACTGTAAGTATAATACTTAGCTACATTACATAAGTGCATTGGATAACCTAAGAACGGTTATACCTTACCTGAAAATCTCTGAAGTGAAGTCAATTGAGATTAAAAAAACAGGAACCTATGCTAGGGTTGTTTGAAATCATGCTGCGTAAAGTTAGCTCACCAAAGATGCCATTTTGGTGGAACTACAATTTTGGAATGTATAGGCTGAATGTGAATGTATTATGTCGGTATTGTTGGTGTATAGGGCAATATTCCAATGAAGGATCTTCAGAGCAGACCAGTCGAGGTATTCATGTGCTCTGTACTAAAGAGACAAGGCTATGGAGAAGGTACATTGTAAACCCCACAGCGTTCAGAATGAGAATGTAATTTTTTCTGCCTTTTTAATTCCCATGCAGGATTTCGATGGCTGGCTCAATATTTATGATTTATAATAGCATGAGATGTTGACTGTATTATTATTTATACAATGTTGCACTTTTATTTTGTTTCATTCAACAGAAATTATTATTATGATGTCAATGTGTTGCTTGTAATTTTGATGATTTACCTTTTTGCACTGAGTTAGCTACCTATAGAAGATAAAGCATGAAGTGGGTGGGCGATGCAGGATATTGTACGGGGTTGGAGGGGGGCTTATTAAGAGTTTTAAAGGTATATAGAGCAGAAATATCTGTTCTCTGCTCTGCTGCACCCTGCCCTTCATGTGTGTGCATGCTCTAAACACTGCTATATACTTCGGAGCACGTGCAAAGCTAGGGGCCATTTGGGTATATTATATCATGCAAGAGCTACCCCCACGCCCTTCGCATTTAACTAGTATGGCGTGCAGAATACACGAAGATTCTACTGCTTGTTGAAATTCACATTATCTTCCCTGACATGACTGGTCATGCATAATGATGTATTTGACTGCTGTTCTTCTGGTGTGTATCCTACACCGGAACTATGGAGAAAAACCGAAAAGCGAGTTCTCTTCCTGGGCCTTGACAATAATTATTGCCAGGAAGACATGTCTAATCAAAATGAGACAAGCTAGTATTGCCACGGAACACCAGTGTATGTTAGCGAACATCATTGTGCCGTATGGGTCCGGATAATCTTTGTTGATCCATTACTAAGAGCGACCGAGTGCATTTTAATACTGTAACCAAAGCAGCAATCCACGTACACAGTGCTGGGTAACATCTTGTAATCATATTATAATATATATAATTATTATAATTATTTACAGCAAAGGAAACAGTGATAATCGAAGGGATCACATTCACGGTTATTGACTTTGACTGCCACATTATAATTATACTAGACGAGGATTGAAGGACTATAATCCAGCATTCGATGCCATAGTCTCCATCATTGATACCAGTGACAGAGAGAGGTTTGAGGAGTCCAAGATGGAGCTGGAGATATATAAATCCCATAGTTGGAAGCCTTACAACACAAGTACTACTACTTAAGGTAGTGCAGTTGTAAGCTAGTATCAGTTATAGGCAATAAGTGGTTAGGTTGGGTATATAGGACCACATAAGTGTGAAAATAGAGAATAGTTGGTTATGGGGAACAGTTGAGGAAAAATAGAGAACAGTTGTGCAAAGGACTATATATATACAAACCAATTAATCTCTAGTCATCTGAATTGCCATAGTGAATACTTTCACACTACACATGCAAGAACATCACAAAGTGGTTCAAGTGGTTAAGAGTTCGCTCGACAAAAACATGTTGCTTAGTGTCCTGGGTATATAGCAAAGTAAGCAGTATCCCAGTGACTATAATTATATAATATTATTATAACAAAGGAGGATACAGTAGCTACATCCAATAGTTGACTGATGATCTTTCTCCAAGCCACTCAGATTCAGTCATCACATGCATGCTGTGGGATTATGTACATAGTATGTGATTGGTATTTCAGGGTCTGATGTCAGATGAGCAGGTAGCCAATGCCCTCATCCTGGTCCTGGGGAACAAGATTGATGTCCCTGGAGCTTGCTCTGAAGAGGATCTTAGGGCTATCTTCTCTCTAAATGGCAGAACCACTGGCAAGGTCAGGGTTCATCTACTGTTGGCTGATGCGTGAACAGTTGCATGGAATAGACAGTGGCGCATACAATGAGCAGTGTTACATGCAAAAAGTTGTGTACAGAAAGAGAGGGCCTTGCAACGAGGCTAGATACTGTATTTACTGTAAGTATATATAATACATAGCTACATTAAACAAGTGCATTGGATAAGCTGAGAACAGTTGGTCATAGCTACCTTACCTGAAAATCTCTGAAGTGAAAGTCGATTGAGATTTTTAAAAACAGGAACCTATGCTAGAGTGGTTTAAAATCATGCTGCATAAAGTTAGCTCACCAACAGGCCTTGACGGAATTTGCTAGCATAATTTTGAGCAAAACAGGTAGCAAAGTAAATAAGCAATTCTGCTAGCAAAATGGGCTGTCAATTTTACCTATGAAGCAAAATAGGCAGCTTTGCTCTGTTCCTGCCAGCTGTACTCAGACATTTTTAATGGAAATTTCTACAAGAAAATTGCGTACAATAAAAAGCAAAATAGGTACACTTATATAAAGCAAAATAGGTAAAATATTGAGCAAAAAAGAAAAGCATAGAAAAAAGCAAATTTTGTCAAGGCCTACTCACCAAAGATGCCATTTTGATGGAACTACAATTTTTAGGATGTAGCTATAGGCTGAATGTATTGTTGGTGTATAGGGCAATATTCCACTGAAGGATCTTCAGAGCAGACCAGTTGAGGTCTTCATGTGCTCTGTACTAAAGAGACAAGGCTATGGAGAAGGTATAATATACATTGGAAACCCCGCAGCTTTATAAAAAAAACTTATGACGCGGAAATCGCGTAAGTGCGAATTCTCTCGTCGGGAACTGAGGGCACGTAGGAAGTCTTGGGGCATATGTATAGCTAGGTATTGGCCTCTAGACTATTGCTAGTGATTTTGAAGCCATGGTGAGTCATTGTCGCTGAGTTTTGAGGCGTGTTGTACGTGGATCACGTGAGATTTCACTCATGTCATCCCTATATAGCTAGAGCGTCTACCGACGCTCTGATATATAATTTATTATATATATATATACATAGTAGTAAGATGTTGACTGTATAATGTTCGCATAACGTTGTTATATTTATACAATGCTGCACTTTTATTTTGTTTCATTCAATAGAATTTAATTATTACAAGTGGAAAAATCATTTCTTCAAAATGAAAGTAGGATATAGGGATGACTTGAAGCACCAAAAAGGAAGAAACAAGGGGTCATTACACACCAAATATGCACAAAGCCACATGACACCATCCCTATATCTTTGTCTCATATTAAACTTTGCCTATGAACAATAAAACAAAGATATAGGGATGGTGTCATGTGGCTTTGTGCATATTTGGTGTGTAATGACCCCTTGTTTCTTCCTTTTTGGTGCTTCAAGTCATCCCTATATCCTACTTTCATTTTGAAGAAATGATTTTTCCACTTGTTTCCACTATTTTTAACAGCTTATATGACAACACTGCATTTTCAGTCACTCTGATGTTCATGGGTATGTTGTAGAGATAACTGTTGAAAGCAGAAGCTAATGGACTGCTCTTACCTGAAGCAGTGTCTCTAACAAGGACGCGATTAGGTTGTGGCACATATGGTGGTGGTTTAATTGGGCAGGCTTCAGAAATCAGACTACAATGATAGCTATAACCTGGGGGACAAAGAATGAAGGCGCCTGGCAAGGCACGCGTAACACGGCGCAGATTACCAAGTTGCTCCTCGTGCAAATCAACAGCAAAACGCAAGCTAGCCACTTACAAATGTGCACACTGACTTCTGGAGGATGAGAGTAGTTTTCTCTGAAGGCATCCAGTCCTGGCTTAGTGTCGTTCATGGACCAGGTTTACGAGACAAAATGCGCGCGCACCGCATTTCGACCAATTGTACTAGCTACTGAGGTGCAGTACATGTCCTCCCCCTCCCAAGCATCTCTCTGTGCTATATATATATAGTCTTCATCATTGACACTCGTGACAGAGAGGTTTGGGGAGTCCAAGAATGAGTTGGAGGTGTGTGTGAATCCCACACTTATCGTGCTACACCTATAATTATTATACCTACTAATTTCTTTGCCCACTGAATTAGCAGCATCACAAGTTTATTGGTGGGTGCTTTACTTGCACATGCACATGTGAACAATGTGGATACAGCAACCAATGTCATGTGGGTGAAGAGATCAGTTTCAGTTCACGTCTGCCTGCGTCACGTGTATCACTTGTTATACTCATCCACATAATCTTAGAGAAAAATTAGCTAATGCCAATGCAATAGATTTAGCTACCTTGCTGCTATAGGCTTAACTTCCTTTGTTCCTGAATAATCATCTGGAGTAACTGCGATACCCAGAACATGTACTGCGACTGTGAGATCCACGACTAGCAACATCTCTTTCCACTGGGCTTGGGGTGCTGTAGTGTCGATAGCCAAATTGTTCTGTAGGTCCTTGGATAATAGGAGCGCTCGAAGCTGACCAGAGTGAATCAGGTTGTGAAAGCCAGGTTTGCAGAGTGGATCCAGTTGGAATGTGAAATGTGCTTGAGAGAGGCACGCCTAAAAACAAATTGTACTGTTTAACATGAGGCTTGTGCTTGAACCTAGGATGGATGAATGGATCTTCCACATCATGAAAACACCTAGGACACATTAGCTGAGTCCCTCCAAAACATTCAGAATAGAAGATGTAGCCACACTCTACAATGGGGCAGATGAAACGACCAACCCCACACACCCAGCGTTGAGGAAGGGCATTGAACTTTGTGTGACACCTCATACATCTGGATACTGGCTTATTGCTGGGGACAACCCGCCACCATGAAACGTCACATCTTGAACAGTGGAACTGACGAACCTCCGTCAACATTTGTTCATAGTGTTTTTGCAACACTTCCTTTGTTAGTGGTACAGATTGATGTCCAGGCACTGATGAAGCCATGAAACTTGCAGCTGCAATCGGCTCCTTCATAAAAAAATTAAAAAAAGGACATCACAATCACCAAGAAGTATAGAAGAGACCTGTCAATGATAGCAAAGAGCGCAAAACAGATCTAGTTGGTGTGCTCCGTGAAAGCCACAGGGGCAAATTATTGGGGTGCACATACGTACGCAAGTGCACCACTTTGCCACAATATGAACAAAGTGACTCTCTTTGTTGCCATATGGGTAAGGAGCATGGTAAGTGAGGGGCAGCGAAGAATTCTTGCGTATATAAGTTGGTGCAAGTAAATGGGCGTTAGTTTGAACGTTTCAACGACTGGTGTATAGAGCAATAAGGATCAACAGTTAAAGGCATACTTGAAACTCTTGTAGAATAAGAAACAGTGCTTTGCCCACACCCTCCTCAAGACCAGCAATAGTGAACTCGAGACCATGTGGCCGCCGTGTAAAGTGAATGGAGACCTCTTCTTCCTTGGTCTGGGACTCTATCTCCTCGCAAAACCCTCTCACCCGTCGAGACTTTAAAGTTCTTAACTCTGACTTCAGTTCATTATACTTTATAAAATAGGTTAGCTGCAGCATTAGAAATATTGTCACCCTTAGATAGCTACATAAAGTGTTCGTTCTCACCTCTTCTCTGACATATTGTGGTGGATCGGGCATAAGAGATGATTCAAAAGACTCTTTATTTAAGTGACTGTCACCACATAATTCTTCAGTGTTGGGGGCTGATTCACCAGATGTTGATTTCAGCACCTAAAACAGACAACCAATGAGGCAGATAAGCACACATACACTACAGGCATGCACACCTGTTTTTCTATGGCGTGACTTTAATATCATCTAGGTATATAATTGGGAGGGCATTGAAATTTGATATGTCCAGGAGCTAAAACAGATCCCTACCCATGTATCTCTATCATCACTCTACTCTCTTTTTGGTCTGACAAATTCCCGGAAGTACGTAATTAAGCACAATGGGCAGAAACTACTATCCACTGTAATAGTATTCATGAGGGTTTGTACAACTATCCAGGAAGTGGGTGTAAATGACAAATTGCAATTTTCTCTAGCTACTAGACAGAAAAATTGATTGCCTACCTTGTGATTTGATTTTGATGGTGGCTAGATTACACAACTTTGAGCGTGCTATACCTAACTATGCAGTACTTAATCGCCATTAGTAGCTACTGGACGGGATGCAGAGACACAAACCCAGCAACGATACTTGGAATCCTGAGGGTAATAAAATGCTCATCCTTACCTTTTGCTGTAAGAGTTGAAGAGCTGTACAGACCCCTTCTTCCAAACCACAAATATGAAATTCTATCTCACGTGACTTCCACTGGAACTGAAGAGTGACTTCCTGATCACTGTGTTCGGACTCAATCTCCTCACATAATATTTTCACTGATTCGGGCCCTAAATCCTTGTACCTTGGGTTCAGGTCGCGGTGTCTGACGGTGTAGGTAATCTGCATTATGGCAAAAAGAGTTAGCTGGAAAATAGAAAATTAATAATGTCGCTACCTCTTCTCTTCTGCTGTTGTTGTTGTGAACAAAAAAGTCACGGACTCTCGAAAAAGTAGATGTTTGTTGGTCCAGATCACAAAAAATGAGTGAACGTGGTACAATGCCGAGTTCTGCCCAAACAATGATTCTGGGCAGTGTTTGCTCCATGTGGCTGCGAATGGTGCGAGGAAATGCTATCGTCAGTACGACTGAACTCGAGTGAAGGTTTTCTAAGAGAGTAACATAGGGTTCCAAGTTCGCTCTCTCAGTTATGGACTCCTTAATCTCTCGTGCATGATAGAGTGAACATTCCTCCCCGTCCATATCTAGAGTGACAGTGAGTGCACTGTAATTAGAAGGAATCTGGCATCTTTCTGTAACAACAGATTTCAAACGTTGAACAGATGTGGCCTTTTCAAATCTATGCAATTTGTGTTTGTATCTTGCCATTTGCCGCTTTATCTTCTCATTACAGTAGTGCACCACGATGTGCTCCAATAACGCATAGTCAACGTGGTTCCAATATGGATCAAGGATTTCAAAAACCTTTAGAACAGATTTCGCTTTTCGAATCTTCTTTCTTTCCTTCTGTAGAAAGTGGTGTGTCTTTCCCAACATCGGTAAAGTTGTGAGATCAATTTTGAAACTGTCAAAATCAGTCCGTGACATTTGCTGAGATAAGTGGACATTTGCACTGATGACAATGGCACGAAACCTTCTCTTGAAGCTGGTTACTTTCTTTGCCAGTTTCTGATCATTCAATTTGGATTTGGTGCGAGACGGACTAGGAGCAGGCTTTAAACCGGGAAGTGGATCTTCAACAGGATCCAACTGAATTTGAGGTTGGACGAACGTTGTCAACTCAATGCCTCCAGCACCAGGGACACCATCTTCAGACGTAGTGGAAAAAGATTCAGATAATTGGTCGAGTGACACAGGAGAACACGGTGCATGGTCAGCGATAGGATCACCGGCAGAGCGGCAGTAGGTTTTCTTTATCCTTGCAGCGAGAGCAGTTTTCCCAAGCTGCGCGGAGCTGAGCACGTCCGCGATCACGTCCCACGACAGGGGACCCTCAGAAGCCAGCCAGGCCTCCAAGTACTTTGTGATACACGTGAGAGGGTCGTTGAGAGGGCTAGCGTCGATATTGCTGAGAGTGGCTGGTCGGACCCCGAGCTGCATGCACAGGTAGCGAACCTCCCCTCGAGAGAGAGAATCGAGCGCTCGAGACAGTTCTGCCAGCTCTGGAGCAGGACAAGACATGGCTCCAACTCCTGGGGTGTGGCTTGTAAACGAGGCTGCTATATAGTGCTAATGCACGAACGCAAAAGTACGTATGCAAAGTGGGCGAGATACGGTTACCATTGCGGGTACTAATTTTAGCGTTTTTGCACTGAGTGTTTTTGGCGTATACTAATTTTAGCGATTTGTCAACATTTTTCAAGCGAATTTTCATTGCGGCACAATTATTAGCGCACATATAATTAGCGGTTTTGCGCTAAATTCGCTAAAATTAGTACCCGCAATTATTAAAATTGAACGTGACGTCACATCCTGAGTCTCCGTTCGGGCTCCACAGCACGCGCAAAGCTATATAGGGGTATAACAAGAGCTACCCCCATGCCCTTCGCATTTAGCTAGTATATATGGCGTGCAGTATGCACGAAGAAGCTATATACTGGCTGTTGAAATTCACAATAAAATTATCTTCCCTGACATGACTGGTCATAATAATGATGTATTCTTTCTCTATTCTTCTGGTGTATATTATCATAATTATACCGGCACTATGGAGAAAAACAAAAAAGCAAGTTCTCTTCGCAGGAAGACATGTCTAATGAAAACAGGACAAGCTATTTCAGAGAAAACTGCTTGAAATTTATGACCTTCATTGCCCGTAAATAGTATATAGTATTGTTTGTGAGACGAACGAACATTGGAGAAGTGAGATATTGAGTCACAGACAGACACACACACACCCAACCACCGTACCCTCGCTGCGCATGCGCGCCGAGGGTAATAATAGTAACATGTTGACTGTAGAATGTTTGCATGTTGTTATCAATGCTGCACTTTTAATTCAACAGAAATTATGTGTTGCCTGTAATTTTGATGATTGGCTTTTTAGGAGTATATCACCTCTGTATAAACTCTCCTGTTGTTGACACATGTAGTTAATAGGCTCTTGTGAAAAATACAGGCAGGAGTCACTCAAATTGGATGGTATAATACATAATGGGAAAGAGAGGTGGAGCGTAATGCTGTTGCAGCACATGCTCCAAACGCCATTTCACGTGGGCCTGGCTTTACCGTTGACCCACAGTTGAGGTCTTCATGTGTGTACTCAAGAATCAAGGCTATGGTGATCCCAGAAGGTTTGATTTTTCGCAATCTTCGTGCAGGGTTTTTCGGTGGCTTGTCCAGGACATTTAGCACTTATAATAATACTACCACATTCCCCTAATATAAACCTGCCCCCTTTCTTGTATGGTTGGATCGTCTGTTCTTTCATGCTCTATGTTACAGATGAGAACCCCTGTGACCCTGCCAACTGTAACCCATCCTCAATGTGTCTGCTGAGGGGGGGTTAGTGACACACTCAGTGTTTCCGCAGTGCCTAGGAAGGTATTCTAACGTTCAGAGGCAGCACCAACAACCATAGCATGAGATGATTTTAACTTTCCATACAAAAATTAGTGTATGTTACATCTTTATCTTGCAAGACAAGAAGAGCCCATGCTACTATTGGTTGATCCATGACTAGCATACCCACAGCTGGTGGTGGCACGATAACGTGTAAATCTCCCTGAGTAGTCAGCAAAATCCGGCTGACTCAAACTTAAAATAGGGTGGTACTGGCGACGGGTTTGCAGGGGTAACGATGGGTGAGAATATGAATCATCACTAGAGGAAACTTGCCGGGGTAACGATTGGTAAGGTAACGAGCTGGGGTGGGCACGATAACATGTGACCCTCCCTGAGTAGTCAGCGAAATCCTGCTGACTCAAACTTAAGCTAGGGTTGTACTGGCGGTGTGTTTGCAGGGGTAACGATGAGTAAGAAGGTGAATCATCACTAGAGGAAACTGGAGAGTAAAGTGGATCACCAGTGATTGAAGAAGGTTGTGGTGGGCATCGTGGAAAATGTACACTTAATGAAGTACGGGTTTGCCGGGGTAACTGTGGTAGAGAACACCAGGGTTTATCATAATAGGAAAATGGATTATTAGCGAGTGAAGAAGGGTGTCGTGGATAACGCAGCAATGGAGAACTGGAGCAAGCACGGGTTTGCAGGGGTGACAATGGTGGAGAAGGTGGGGGTTCACCATAAGAGGAAAAATATGGATCACCAGTGAATGAAGAAGGTTGTGAGAGCCATGTGTCATAAGTGGATCCGGTTGAAATATGATATTGACTTGCCCAAATTTGACCATAATATTGTTTTGGTTCAATATCGGGATGGATGTATGGTCCACCAACAATAGAGAAGCAATCAGGACATTCTCTGTGAGCATCTCCCATACAGTCAGTGTAAAAAACATTTTGGCAGTCTGTGTTAGGACAGGTGAAAAATCCTACACCAAATTCACACGATCGAGGGAGAGGATCAAATCTGAGGTGGCAGTTTTTACATCTGGACACTGGCTTGTTGGCTGGAATGACTCTCCACCAACTTAAGTCACAATATGGACAGCAGAACTGGCGAACATCTGTTTGCATTAGCTCATCATGTTGTTTTAAGGCTTCCAGTGTTAGAGTAGGTTGTGGACCAGGTATTGACTGTAATGATGAGCTCATGGTGGCCTTTGTGATTCTTGAAATTGAAACCTAAGAGCATTTACAAGTGTAATAATAAATATTTGACAGTCATAGCATTGTAGACACTCATAGGGAAATAATATTATTTTATGAACGTCTTGTTCATAAGATAATGACAAGAATTTCTTAAGTACCTATGTAAGCCAGGGCCAGCCAATTTTCCAAGGGAAAATAATACGCTTTTGGTCATTATTGCTCCACAGGTCATTAGGTTTGAACGAGCGTGATGTTTCTGTGGAACCGTTTTGTCCTGCGAGCATAGGGTGGTACATTTCGTGGGATAAAAGCTTGTTCTTAGCCTTTTCATGATCCTACCACATTTACCTTACCCAGTTTGTTAATTAGCTTCCGGTTTTTAAATCACAAAATTCTTCAATCTGATTCAACTGCCACGAATCGCGAGACTGAGATCTCAGGAAAAAATTAACTGTGGAGAAACACCCGAAATGGGTATGTGTCTAAATAGGGCATTCTCCCTAAAGAAGGCACACTGTATATAGTACTATGTTATAAACCTTAAATTCCTTCTGAACCAGTTGTAGTGCAGTAGCCACGCCCTCTTCCAGACCAGCTATAGTGAACTCCAGACCGTGGGGCTGCCACTGGAACTGAATGGAGACCTCCTGGTTCTGGGTCTGGGACTCTATCTCCTCACAATATCCCCTCATCAGATCTGGCCTTGAACCGCAGAACTTTGACTTTAGATCGTGGTGACCGAAGGTGAAGGTTATCTGCATAATTAACCAAACAATGAAAAGCACTGAAGTGCAAACCCTCGGCGCATTGTGACGCGCACGCGTAAGTAAACGCATGCGCCGTACCACTAATTGATGGGCTGTGTTTAGTTTTAGCTGTTACTCGTGGTCACTTGCCAGCTCGCGCAGAGTCTGACGCGGGCTAACTACACTACTAGATAGCATGCGAGAGGCGATACACGCCCTGCGTTGCATCTTCTGGTGCCTCCGAGGTAAGCAGAGCACGCGGAGCGATTATGCCCGCCCGTCCGTTGTGTATTTGGGCTCTGCAACGGAGCAGTTTCAGAGAAAACTGTACATATTTTCTGACCTTCATTGCCCGTTAAGTAGGTTGTATATATCCTTTGTGAGACGAACAAGCACCCGTGAAGTGAGATGTAGAGACGGACAGACAGACCCAACTACCGTAACCCTCGCTGCGCATGCGCGCCGAGGGTTAATCAGCCTCAGAACTATGTAGTTTAACCTCACATGGGGATACACTTTTTTGAATAACACAAAAATGGTGAGCCAATCATGGTAGTCTGGCAGGGGGAGGAGTTAAAGAACCTGGTACTCATTGTTTATGCATTCGTGTAGCTTCCTTATTCATGCATGTGCCGACATCCAGATATTTCAATGCATGTGAGAACATTACTACTGGCTGGCATGCCTACTACATCACTAGAGCATGACTGTTCATAATTGGAATGCTGCTTATGAGTAAACCATGACATTTGAGAGTGAAACTGGTAAGACTGTTTAGTTGCCACCAGATATTAGGTATTTTCAATGAAATTCTCACCTCCTCTCTGACATTCTGTGGTGGATCTGGCATTAGGGAAGACGCCTCATCATCCGGGAAATGATGGAACTCGTGGTGACTTGAAGATTCACTAGATGAGACAGTCTGCCCACTAGAGACCGGTTTCAGCACCTTTGTGTTGTATAGTAACATACCCAGGAAGTCATTGTGTAAACTACAGGCACTGCATACCAAGCTCAAATTACAAGGGGAAAGATTGTGTGGAATCCAATGGTGTCATACTGTAAAACAGGTTATAACACCATTTCCAGGGCTCAGGTGAAGTGAAATAGGCAGTCCTTATAGGTGAGCAAGGTTAGCACCACCTATATAGTCATCTGAAGGTGCCATATTCACTACTGTATAATTATTATGCTATGTGTAGAACCGCTATAATATACTATCTACATTTGGGGCATCTACATGTATATACAATACCTGTTCTCTCGTAATGAAACGATTTCTGATAGAAGCTAATCTTGAAACAAACACCTGCTGTCGTGGCACAGAACCAAACGTAACAGAGTCAGGTGAAATTCCAAGTCCTAGCAAGAAGTCAACGTCCAAGGCACTTTTCACGTGTTGACAACCTGCTGCAGGGAATGCGATTGTTAGAACGACAAAGCTGGCGTGGATGTCTTGAAGGAGAGCGACGTATGGCTCGAGATTTGCTCTTTCAACAATTGAATCTTTTATTTCTCGGACGTGATACAGTGAGCATTCTTCAGCATCCATATTCAGAGTAGCAGTCATTGTACTATATCCCTTGGGAACTGGATGGCTTTTAGCTGCAACTGACATAAACTGCTTGACTGATGTCGCTTTCTCAAATTTATGCAACCTTTTCTTATATTTTTCCATTTTCCTCTTGATCCTGTCGTCACAATAGTTCACCACGATGTGTTCTAGTAGAGCATAGTCAACATGGTTCCAATACGGATCAAGTATATCGAACACCTTCTGAACAGACTTCGCTTTTCGAATCTTTTTTCTTTTCTTCTTCAGAAAGTGGTGCGTCTTTCCCATCATGGGCAATGTTGTGAGATCAATCTTGAAATGTTCGATATCAGTCCGTGACATTATCTGTGATAGATAGCTGTTTGAACTAATTACAATGGAGCGGAATTTTGTTTTTAAGCCAGTTATCTTCTTAGCATATTTCTGACCGACAGCATTTGGTTTTGATTTTACCGAAGGTGATAGATCATTTGCAGGCAAGAGGGCGGGCTTCAATTGGGGGGGTGAATCAATGTCATACAGTCGTGGAGGTGTGGGTGTAGGATATGGTGTTGAAAACTCAAAGCCACTTGTACCAGAAACCTCATCATCACATGAGCTTGAAACAGATTGGGGAGAACTATACGATTGGGGCAGCGGGCCCGGACAGTAACGCTCCTTTATATTCACAGCCAGTGTTTTTTGCCTGAGTCTGCTTGTACTTAGAACCTCCACAATTCTTTCCCAGGACAACGATTCATCATACGCCAGTAAGGCCTCCAGATACTCAGTGATACATCGGAGGGCGTCTCGCGGATGACTGGCATCGATGTTGCTGAGAGTGGCGGGAGGAACTCCGAGCTCCACGCACAGGTAGCGGAGTTTCTCCTGGGAGAGAGAGTCTAGGGCACGAGACAACTCGGCCAGCTGTGGACGTGGCTCCGCCATAAAGCGAGCGTCTTGTCGTGCGGTACCACGCCCCCACGACGGTTAAGTTTGGGTTTGGATATACGCTCAACGCGCATGGGTAGAACAGATACTTAGATGTTTACAGCAATACGAGAAGGTCTGGAACCGTGGAGCTGTAGCATGACATTTTGGGCATACTTTACTCTTCTACTGACCATCATTGACCATGGTTAATTGAAATTATATCGCTAACAAGCTGCAATAATGTGACTTGAGTATAGCTAGCTACCATCAACTTTCGCTGCCTATTTTGCAGGTGTGACTCAGAATGTTTTCTGCTCCACTACGCCTGGCTGTGGTCTCAACGACCTGGAGGCTTCCACTATTCCAGACTGTTGCGCAAGGCCTGGAGCCCTGTCATACAAACCTACCCCTTCTTCTGAGTCATGCAGTCTATGCTTTGGTTAGCACTGTCTTGGACTGTAAACGGCGTTATTGTGCATTATGACACGCAGCGTATGGATGGGTCCAGAATATTGCTGAGGATCGCACCTCGGCCCAACCCCAGGCTCCCATAACTGCAGTGGAGGGTCAGGACATCCCTCTATACATCTTCTTCTCTAAGAATGGACCACTCATCAGGCATGCCTTTGCCTTCACAATTCAGATTTCGTCGAGTACTGCAGAAGGTGAGATGGAGCTTGCTGTCGTCAAACTATTATATATATAGTAACAAATGGAAATTACTCTGCTTTATTGTCATTAGTGCATGGTGAGCATTGTAAGCATAGTCAGTGAGCCATTTTTGGTAAGACACAAAGAAATGTGTTTGTATAGTGAAACCATTAAAGGAGAGCACTTTCAGGGGTTCTATGTAGTAAAGAGGCAAGAGTAGCTAATGCACATATCCTTCCTTTTATCCATCCTGAGGTGGTTGTGAGACTGTGGTAGACTTATATAGTGAGTGGCAAAGAATAGGTATACATAGGTAGCTGTGGATGCACTCTGGATACATTCCTGCCTTGACAATCTCATGTTGCTTTTTGAATCCTTCTTTTTTTTGTAGAAAATGTGGACTACACACTCACTCATGATGTGGATGTTGAAATCAGTCCTGCTAACAATGTTCCCATCTCAGTCACACTGTCATTGTTGAATGATGGAGTGATTGGAGAAGAAGTAGAGAATGTTACTCTGACACTGGTGAATGCGATACTAGCAGATGAGAATGAAATACTGCTCTATGACACAGTTATCATTAGTATTGTGGACAATGACAGTAAGTGCCTCGTGAATTCTTTGCCTTCTAACATCATTAACCCTCGGTGCACATGTGCAGCGAGGGTTACAGTATTTAGTTCGTGAGTGTGCCTGTCTATCTGTCTGTCTGTCTGTCTGTTTGTCTGTTACCATGTTTTCTGCCACCACGTGCAAGAAATCGCCCAAAGAGCAATAGTAACGGGTTCAGTGCTACACTGGCTTCAAAAAAGATGATTTTCATAAAAATACTGCGTTCGATAGTTATGGCGTGAAAACGAAGTGAACAAGCCAATATGCTTTTCATTAGCTCAGTAAACCAGCAATCATGACTGATTTAATAGTTAGTTGTCACATAATTTCCTATGCCATTTTGCATGCAAAACAAGAAACTTCAAATGAAAATGGGTCCAGCGCAATGCCTATTCTTAGGTATTTGTTGTCCATTTTGTGCTGTTTACAGCTGCTCCTCTGAGCCTACGCAAAATATTATAACACACCAAAATAATGGGAAGCAGAATCTCAGTAAAGCCTTGTTCAGTGACAACATGAGAGTTGAAACTATATACAACTCCCCATGCAGTAACAATAGGGTTTCCCAAGAGAGAAGTGACCATCACTGAAGGCGACCGTGAGACTGAGATCTGTCTCGTGACAGAAGGAGTCCCTGCACTTGACACGGCTCTGGATGTTACTCTGATACCTGTTACTGCCGATGAAAAAGGTAGACGCCTTTACTCTAAGATGTCATGTGTGTCACGCATGTAACAATAGACCATGTGATGCCAAGAGAAAAAAGATGCGAGCTCTGGACAGCTGTTTCGGGCTTGTTGGCCCTCATCAGCAAAGCATACCGCAAAGCATACCGCAACTTCTCTCTCTGGCATCACAAGTTTATAAAGGCAAAGTTGAGCGCAGCACTTGTGGTTTTGAACTAATGAGATTCATCCCCACAAGGCCTTGCTCAGGCGCAGCACTTGTGGTTCTGAACTAATGAGATTCATCCCCACAAGGCGTTGCCAAAACCGAATTCAGCATGCTGCATGTATAGACAGTCCTCTAGTATAGTTTTTTCTAAGAAGTAGTCCCTTATAGCCCACTTTTTATACTTCTCTTTCTTACATACGCGTGTGCAGTTCAATTCTCATGTCCAACCATGACTGATGGCAGTTTTGTTTTAGTAATCCCTTTTGGGAAAGTTTCTCTATCCTGTTTGTGTATATAGTAGTAATGGTGATGTCCCAAGAATACTTCCTTACGACTTCCTCTAAGCGTAAACACAGAGCTACTATGCGTGCTTACTCAGACTCACTAAAACAGTCAGCTTTGTGTGGGGATGTTTGATGGGTTGCAACTATATAGATCTGTTTGGTAGTGGTTTGAGTAATAATGGACATATTTGGTTATAAGGGTTGGAGAGTAGTCGCTTACATTCGTGGTGGCCAGAATTATTTTGTGGGGCCAATTGTATATAGCACTAAAGATTGCTTAATATTGGTAATCTAGTGACAACATGTGGACAGAAATTTGACCCTCACTACACAGCATTCTGCTTTTTTCACTGTTGTGATCATCATGTACTTTCCCAAAGGTCTTAGCTCTGAACTATGTTTAGAAAACTGTCTCTATACTATCGTCAGATCTGAATCTGTTGACTACTGAGGTGGTGATTGGTGCCGATGCCACCGGTGAGCCGTGTGTCAAGTTCTCAGCTGCAGTGGATGGCGACAATGAGGGAGATGAGATACTTACACTGATACTCAGTGGACCACCTAATGTCCGTCTGCAGAGTCACTCTCTAACTGTCTTCATCAAAGACTCTGATGGTAAAAAGAACAGGCGGATAAATAAAGGGATAGCAGAATAATAAAGGGATGTGAGATCTTAAAAGTAAAAAGAAAGTGTTTCTGTGCAAGTCTTTCAATGTTGTTGTGTAATGAGACAATATTATGATGGAAAGTCAAGGGTGCAAAATGTATGATTGTCACTCAGAATCCCAAAATATAGCTTACGTAAACATCCCTGCCAACCGTTAGTCACTACGTCATTGAAATCTGTCACCCAAGTTTTTCCATACTGTCACCTGCCAGCAGCCAGCCATCACAGGACTCTGTTTACTTTCACTGCTTTCACTGCATGCAGATAGGTTTAGAGGGTGCAGCTTTTGAAACACTGTACTACAGAGTTTTTTTTGCTTCAGCTCAGAATGTAGTGTTTGGCAACTGCGCTTGCATGTGCGGATAGCCTCCGTAACATCTGCTAGTACTTCAGCTTGCTCTGACTTGCATAGCTACCAGCAGATAAAAATCTTTGTAAAGGCTGAAATAAATCATTTTCACTAGACTTTCAAACATTCGTGCTCTGACCTATACAGCTACAGAGTCATGGGAGGTTACCAACCTTAAGCACAGCTCTTTGGTGCAGTAGCTGTGTTTATGCACATTTGCAAGTCTATACCCTGCAGGTGTGTGTCTATTTGGTAGTTATGACTACTGTCCCATTGTTACAGGAGCGAAACAGATGTTTGTCTGCTCTAAGGCGTCAGATTGTTCCGACTCATTCACCACTGAGAGTGTGGCTGATTGCTGTGTAATGCAGGGGTGGCCTCACTTATCAGAGAGTCGGTAGACTCTCTATATAGGGACGACACGGGTGAAATCTCACGTGATCCGCGTACAAAACGACTAAAATCTCGGTGAGAATCACTCCCTAGGCCTTCAAAACATACTAGCAATAGTCTACGGGCCCATATCTACCTATACATGTCCCCCAAGACCTCATACGCACCTTCAGTCGTCCACGCGAGAATTCGCTCATACGCGATTTCACGATTTTCGTGTCATCATCATATTCTTCATCTTCTTCTTCTTCTTCTTCTTCTTCTTCAGACCCGCTAGCTCCTTACCGGAAGCACTTGAAGCGTTGATTTTTTCACAGAACGTCTCCGAATTTGCCGGAGGTGTGCATGCATATCAAGCGATCGCTTCTTTCTTGCCGCAAGTCACTACGGTAGATCGTTGAGCTCTTCCTCGGTAGTCACTGAACAACGCCATTTGTTGCTAACTCAGCATCAGTGAATCGCATGCGCCGAGGAGGGCGTTTCCAATGCGGCGCGCGCGCATTTTGTCTCGTAAACCTGGTCCACGAACGAGACTAAGCCAGGACTGGATGCCTTCAGAGAAAACTACTCTCATCCTTCGGTGTCTTCTGTAAGTCAGTGTGCACATTTGTAAGTGGCTAGCTTGCGTTTTGCTGTTGATTTGCACGAGGAGCAACTTGGCAATCTGCGCCGTGTTACGCGTGCCTTGCCAGGCGCCTTCATTCTTTGTCCCCCAGCTATCATTGTAGTCTGATTTCTGAAGCCTGCCCAATTAAACCACCACCATATGTGCCACAACCTAATCGCGTCCTTGTTGGAGACACTGCTTCAGGTAAGAGCAGTCCATTAGCTTCTGCTTTCAACAGTTATCTCTACAACATACCCATGAACATCAGAGTGACTGAAAATGCAGTGTTGTCATATAAGCTCTTAAAAATAGTGGAAACAAGTGGAAAAATCATTTCTTCAAAATGAAAGTAGGATATAGGGATGACCTGAAGCACCAAAAAGGAAGAAACAAGGGGTCATTACACACCAAATATGCACAAAGCCACATGACACCATCCCTATATCTTTGTTTTATTGTTCATAGGCAAAGTTTAATATGAGACAAAGATATAGGGATGGTGTCATGTGGCTTTGTGCATATTTGGTGTGTAATGACCCCTTGTTTCTTCCTTTTTGGTGCTTCAGGTCATCCCTATATCCTACTTTCATTTTGAAGAAATGATTTTTGCACTTGTCAAAATACCAACGGAACATGCTCCAAATGTGATGGTGAGTCTTTCTCGTCCAATATTTACAACTATTAAACTGGCACTTTTTTACTCAGTGCCAGGTTGTGTAAGAGAGCATGAAAGTATGTGTGTGTGATTCATAGTTTTTTAACGAAGTGTTTTACATTGATTTTCACATTTCTGTAGTTGACAAGGCTAATCAAGATGAGACTAATAATGATGGGGGAAACTCCTCCCATCTGGAGATAATACTACCCGTGGTGATTGCAGTACTCATCCTCATATCTCTCCTGGTAATTGGTGTACTGATAGTAACTTACGTTCTGAAGAAGAAGGGAAACGACAAACAAACTTTGTGATTATCTCATCTTCGTTATGCTACAAATTTTTTATTACATGTCAGTACATATAGTTTACACAGGGTAGATACAAACTTGTAATGTATGTATAATTATATGTAATCACAAAAGCCGGATAAACTTCTGGTATTAACTTTACTAGTTCAGTAATCGTGTTATCATGTGCCTCAAAGCAACTGTTATATGTACGAATAATCAAACACAACGTAGCCTGAATAGGCATTGAGGCGTACTCCTGTAGAAGATGCAGAACTAGTGTACGGGAGATACCAGGTGTGGGTACTGGAGAGACGATCGTCAGAACCAATATCTGCATCCCAGACACTCACTGTGAACCTCCTCCAAACGTTATTTCCAAAGTCTATGTTCTGATTCCAACTGGGGCTCTCGTCCCCTTGGTCTGTATTGGTTTTCCTTGTAGAAGATGTTCCATAGACATTGTAGGCTTTGATTTCTAAGTACGGGTCGCTGTCTCCTGCGGGCCAAGAATCTCGATCGGGCAAGGAACGACCATAGCGAGCTTTTATTCTGAGCCTTCGTTCTCTGTATTGACACCTGTCACCTCTGTACAAGCTTGGGCAGTAACACGTGTATTGGGCACATCCGTCATGACAATTTCCTCCATTCTGACATGGATTTGGACTGCACTCGTTTCCATCTCGGGTGAATTCAATATCAAAGTACAAGCTTGAAGAGCTAGTAACATGGTGCCTCATATTCGAGTGGCGTCCAGCTGAGAATGTGAATTTCTGTACAGAAGACATCTCATCATCAGAAAAGATGTCATCATCAAAAACCTGTACCGTAAGGTAGTTTATGAATACACATCCACTCATTGTCAACCATGTATTCCATGTTGGATTCCTTGTTCCACTCTTAACACTAGTTGTCCGTGTTGTACGTTGCAAATCAGATTTGGTTGCTTTCACTTGTACATACGGGTCAGGGTCATTCCATATTGGATCGGTATCGGGGAGATTACTAGCGCTACGAATCATAACTCGCAGGGAGCCACGTAGGATTGGTAAGAGCTCGTAGTCGTACCATACGTACCTGTCACAAGCAGTATTGGTGCAGTATTTTTTCCAAGATGAAGACCTTGGCTGATATAGCAGTGGAACTGTCACTGACATCCCCATTGAGTCATCATCATTACCAAAATCTTCGTCCCACACTCTGATCCTAAAAAACTGCCAAGCATCGTTTCGAAATAACAATTCGTCGTTCCAGCTTGGATTTCGAGTACCTTGCTTACAAGGTGTTTGTTTGCTGTATTCACTGCCAGTAGAACTGATAGCCCTTACCTTTACATAAGGATCTGGGCTACCAGTGAATATACTTGTATCCGTGTCTTCGAGATTTCTACCATAGCGTATGTACAGCCTTAGAACTCCCTCCTGCCCTTGACCGGGACACCTGTAGAGGCGTTTTACCTGTGTAATATCACTGGAACTAAGTTCTGTTTGCCGTCCTAGTTCATGACAACCCCGTCTATTGTACGCACCAGTGTTTCTGACACTAATTGAGAGGCATCCGTCACAGCTACTTTTCACAAATGTATTGTTTCTGTAGTGCATTATCGAGCAATAGTCGTATTCTGAGCCCTGATAATCAATGTGCTTCTCATTTCGCTTTTGAAAATTGTCTCTCTTGGAGTATATAATGTTCTGCCAGAGTATAGTCACATAAGAGTCCCTGTCGGGTCTAGACTGCTCGTGCCACAATCCTAGAGCATGGCCTATCTCATGCAGAATTACGCGCTGTGACATTGCACAGTCAGTAGTCAAATGAATGTACTGTCTGCCCACATTTTGCCCAATATTACTACTGCAGTCATCACTGCTCCAAGCAAATTGGATGTAATCACTCTGGTAAGACCTTGCAATAAAGCGTATGCATGTTGCATCAGACCAAGCTTCCATTGCATTTCAAATACTCCGAATTTCATTGGTACTAAAAGTGCTACTTATCACATAAGGAACAGTTTTAAGGGGCCATAGATCTGATACATTACTTGTAGCTGCTCTTTTACTAATAACATGCCCCCCAGGGATATTGCCAATTAATTCCTTTTCCATTGTCTCGTTTATGTCATAATAGTTACGAAGCTTCTCAATGGATACCCGAATATCACCTTCGAACAATATCTGGCCGTTTGCTAATCCATCATCCGTCAAATTACCTTCAGCTGCGAGCTCGCCTTCTCCACTGCTTGAAGTGAAGTTGCCATAATCTTCACCAAACAGTGTGCTGTTTCTAACTGAGTTGCGAGGATCCTCCATTGGAGCAGCATCCAAGTGTTGACAAGACCTCAATATAACCATGAACACAAGAACCCATAGTCCTAAAAAGAACACAATGCTGCATTATGTCAAAGAGAGAGAAGGTAAGGATTATACCCGTCATCTCTGATCCTTGGTTTTGAAATCGAGAATGAACTTGCAGATTTCTGGTTCTTTCCTAAGTAACCTATAACGAATGTCCTTTAAATACCTAGCTGATGCACATGGAGCAGCTGGTATTACGGTGCGTCTTCGTTTGTCAGCAAAATAGCTACCATGAACTACAAACAATTACACACAATTAGCTAGCACTGCAAGCTCTGCATATTATATATAGACATAAGCTCTATGTCTATATTATTGCTGGCTTGTGTTTACTGCTGACTTGAGCCCTTCTCTTGTGATTACACATTCAGCAGATTGTGTCTGTTCATCTGTCAGCAAAGAGCAACTACATGCAATTACACACAATGAACATGGGCAGACATGTATGTACAAACTTTGTGGTTACTACCCCGGTCTTTTGATATTCAGCACAGAGTGTTTGCTGATTCCCTTGGCCTTGCTTTGAAGGCAATCCAACTACACTTAGGACGACTCTTTTTTATGAATTGTCGTGACTGGTACTGTAACCCACAACACTCCCACAACTCGATTCTCTAGATTAAGCTATCAAGAAAGCTCAGTTTGCAGTGGAATTATAATACCGAACACAACACAAAGACAAATGACACGGAATATTATGTAGGAGAAAACCTTTTGTAGTTAACGCAGCCAAAGATGTCCCTACTCCATAGATGGCGAGTAATTCAACTACACACAAGAAACAAAGAAAATGGCCTTGATGAACCCAGGACACTCTGCTCCCTCAATGTCTTCAAAACAAAGGCCAAGGGAATCAGCAAACACTCTGTGCTGAATATCAAAAGACAGGGGTAGCTAGTAACCACAAACTTTGAACATGTACATCCATGCTTGCCCATGTTCATTGTGTGTAATTGCATGTAGTTGCTCTTTGCTGACAGATGAACAGACACCATCTGCTGAATGTGTAATCACAAGAGAAGGGCACAAGTCAGCAGTAAGCACAAGTCAGCAGTAATTCAAGAAGGCACAAGAATGGGCGTGTATCGACTCCGCCTACTACCATAGCTAGCTATCCTGTGTCAGTCTCTCTGCGAGCTAGTATCGGGAGACCACGAGTAACATACTAAAAGCCAAGATCATCAGTTAGTGGTATATACCACGCATGCGCAGTTCACCGTGGGTTTGCACTGTAGTGCATTAGTGGACGGATCCATAGATAAGGGGACACAATCCCATGTTTGAAGTGTGAAACGAACAAGGTATTAGAGCATCCCTGTCTTTGGAATGAAGTGTGTACACCTAAAAGTTTTATTGTCCCATCTGCATTTTATTAGTAGCTATCTCTGAGTGTAAAGATCAGGGAGATCACTGTCAGTAACTGAAAAAATATTCCACTAATCTGCACGCAACCACTGGGTTGGTTGCCATCTTCCAATTTTTTTACCGTATCTTAAGTGAAGCAACAGAAATCTTTGCCTTCCTGCAGTTGTAAAACTGAGGACCTGACTGCTATTATTCTGGGGCTAACAAATACCTAACTGAGGCCTGCCTTTCCTCACATAATCTGTGCAATCGTTTATTTTAATGATAATGCAGGCTCTACCCTGCATGTCAGAACAAAGATGTAAAGGAGTATTTAGTAAATTGCATGTGGTTGATGGTATATAAAAAAGAAAATGGAATGAAAGTGCTAGTTATGCCCATTAGAGCAATATTATTACTATGAAAATCCAAGTAAGTCCACTGCAATGCGTGACTGCACTACTGCTGCTTGATCCTGCAAGGAAAGAGTTGCACACCAGTTAGATCTAAAATGAGAAGGTATATACTTACCACTAACAAAGACTGAAATTGACTGGTGAACTGTGACGCCCTCTCCGTTTCTGTCTATTCCAGTGAGTGTACATTCATACTCCCCTTCGTCTCTCTCTCCTATGTCCGATACTGTTAGATGACTAGTATACACTACGCCAGTGTTGGTTTCAGCAATCATTGTTCTGCCATCGTCATTGGTGGTTATAGTGTGGGGTCTTCCCCATGTGAGTTGAATCGAATCCAATGGGGAATTGAGGGTGGCATTGCAAGTGAGGACCACAGATGATCCCTGCTTCACTTCTCCTTGTGGGCTTGACGAAAGAATTAGCGTTGGTTGAGGAACTGGAGAAAGAGTTGGAGGACATAGAGTTGTATATATTGCATGCTGATGGGTTATTCTCTATTTCACTTGCGTGAATCATCCTAGATAGTACAGTGGAACCTCTTATAAAGGACACTCTAAATAAAGAGCACCTCTTTACCTCCAAATGAAGGAAGCATAATAATAGTGTATGTACAATTTTTGCGGTCGAAGTGTGTCCTTTATATTCCCTGTATGTACTCACCTAAGCCAAGTGTAATTGTACTGGTTGTGGGACTGCTCAGATCAATGTGTTGATTTCCGCCGACAATTGAGAGATGACATGTGTACTCTCCCTCGTCCTCCGTGGCCACCTCAAAGATTGTGAGAACACTCACGTAGCTTCCCCCAGCACCCGACTGGGTTGCAACATATCCTTCCCGAGAGCTGCTAAGTCGAGGTCCACTCCAGGTAACCTTCACCGACTCGATGACATCATAAGAAGAATCAATTTTGATGTCGCAGACAAGAGAAACAGGCGAACCGAGACTTATATTCAAATTCTCAGGTGGACGAGAAGAGAGGGCAAAGGTTGGACCAGGAACTATGTGAACAAGAAAAGCGAAGCATCAGCATAAAGTTATAACATTCGTGTGACAAACTTACTGATTACTGTAAGACTGTGGCTGATACTTTGTGATAGAGGCTCAGGCAAGCCTTCGACCGCCAAAACTGATCTGCAGTGGTAGATACCAGCATGCAATGCCAGCACAGGGCTAACAGTGTGTGAGACGTTGAGACCAGGACTAGTAGCAATGGAGTCCACATCCCCTTCTTTAACCAGCTCCATGTAAGATTGTGGAGAGAGCAGTGGCAGTATCCGAGCTACTGGAATCACTTGGCAACCAAATGTCACAGAGCCACTGCCCATGGCAACACTTGGTGCCGTGATATCTACCACTGGAGGTGGTGGATCTGCAGAAAAGACAAGTTTATTTACCACTGTTTTTCCCCAGCTGTAAAGTCATAGTCCCTGATCCCAATGAAAAGCACTAAAGTGCAAACCCTCGGCGAACTGCGCATGCGCATTGATGGGCTGGGCTATTTGTATGCGTTTACTCGTGGTCCCCCGCTCGTAGCTAGCTCGCGGAGAGTCTGACACGGGCTAGTTTACAGTAGTAGATAGCATGCGGGATTCGATACATGCCATTCGTTGTGACTTCCTGAGCCCCCAAGGTACACAGGATTGAGCGGATCAGATCGCGGTAAGCCCAGTGATTATCACATGGCAATAATCAATACGCATGCGCACCACTAATGGATGGGTTAGGCCGGTCTGGGACTGTGCCAGTTTCTCGCGCTCGAAACCGCCATGTTATTAACCCTCGGCGCGCATGCGCAGCGATGGTACTGTACTTGGTCTGTCTGTCTGTCTGTCTGTCCGCGCGAGTTCTCGCACTACAGGATACGAGGCGGGCAATGAGTGGCACCAACAGGTTGTGAACAACGAGGAGATGATATAAATGTGGCGATTTTCCTGAAACGACTGCGTTCGAGAGCGACAAACTGGCACGGTCGCGGACAGTGTTGCGTGGTCCAACCCATCAATAAGCGGTGCGCATGCGTATATTAGATGCGATCAACGCGGTATGCTGGCCGGCTCACCCCGACAAGATCCGCTTGCTCTGTGTACCTTGGAGGCACAAGAAACCACAGTGAATGGCGTGTATCGAACTCCCGCATGCTATCTACTACCGTAGCTAGCCCGTGTCAGACTGTCCGCGAGCTACTAGCGGGAGACTGCGGGTACGCGCCAGCAGCACGTCCATTAGCAGTACCGCGCATGCGCAGTTCGCCGTGGGTTTGCACTTTAGTGCTTTTCATTTTTCATGCGCTTGTAGCGCTGAAGTGTTTGGTATCGCTCTTAGGCCGCCTCGTAGCCTGTAGTGCGAGAATAGTTGTGGACAGACAGACACACACACAGACAAACCCGTAAGTCCGTAACCATCGCTGCGCATGCGCGCCGAGGGTTAATTACTAATGTCCCAGTATAAAATAAGAGCTCACTCTCCAATACTAAGCAAAACAGTCTCCAAACAAGAGAAGAAACACTTTGGTGGAAAAAAGGCCTTCACTTTCGAAAGTGCCGGAAATATTCCGGATTATCACCAAAAATGCAGGAATTTTGAAGTGGCCCTAGCGATATCTCTAAAAATCTTCCTGCATAATATGTAGAAAAATCAGAGGGTGGTGCAGGAAAGTTTCCTACAATTCTTCCTACACGTCCAGGAAATTTCCTACACACATGTAGGAAATTTCCAGCACAAAGTGACCCTGATTTTGACAATATTTCCTGCACTTGTGGCCTATTCATAATAATAGGACTTCTTGTTTTGTTTGGAGCATGTTGCAAATGAACTATAAATATAATCCCTGTAAGATTGAAGGAAAAATTTCCCTTACCAAATATGTTAATGGCGACTCTTTTAAAGAATCTGTCTCCAAAAATATTCTTTTTCCCAAGGATCTTCATGTTGCACACATATACCCCTTCATCTTGCAGCTGAATGTCAGTTATGGTGAAGTTGCTGGAGTAAGTCAGTCCGGCTCCGCTTTGCTTGTCCACGTAGACTTCACCTTCAAGAGTAGGCAAGTGTCCAGGTCTTCTCCATGTGACTTGGACTATGTCTGTCGACTCAAAGTAAGGGTCTGTGCTTATGAGAGGGTCAAATGTTGCCTGACAGGTGAGAGTAACTGTGGACCCAATGATCACAGAGTCTGCTTCCGGCTCCTTGTGTATTGTTACTGTATCAGGCCGAACTACACAAAGAGGATTGCACAAGATGATGACATGGTTGGTAGATAGAGGAAGTAACCTCTATGCTACTTTCAGCATGATCTTAGTCTGTAACTAATGCAGGTCAATAGATATTTACACACACGCACCAGGTCTTCTATTCAGGTATCCAGGAAATATGCAAGTCTCCCGTTAGCTATTTAGTGTTCATGGTGATGTCAGAGTGTCTGTCCCAATGGTATGTACTTGAACATGCTATATATTATTATGCACTTAGGAGGACTTCAATAGAATTGCCAGGAAGTGTGCGTGACTCCAGCTACTTGGTGTGTGTTTGATAACATATTGATATCAGAGTGACTGACTTACCTTCCACACGGACTGTGTAGTTGTCACTGCGGGAGCTCATGGAGATACCTACTGCCTCGATTTCCAGCTGAGCCTCACAGTAGTATTGATCGCCAGCTTGTGACGTCACTACCGAGTCCAGAGTTATAGAGATGCTGAAGCTTTCTTCACTTTCTAGCACCATTCCTTCAGGTCCAATCAGTTGGAGTTGGAGGGGCACAATGAGATAGGGAATTTTAGACACAGAGCACTCCAGAGTCGCTGAATTGCCAGGAATTACAGCAAATGGAGCAATGAGCTCAGCTTCAAGTTGTGACAGAGCTAAAGGAAGAATAAATGGAAACGACAGTAAGCTGATCAAACAGAAGACATTGAGCATATATTGTTGGTGAGCAAAGCAAGCCCACCTAGTCACCAAAACATTTGTTATATTTACCTTCCACAGTGAGTTCAAAATCGTCACTACGTCGATAGGATCTATAAGGCGTAAACAGTACGTCACACCTCACAGTAGCATTGTCTGTGACATCCAGTGGGAAATACTCAATTGTGGTGTTGGTGAAGGCGACTCGCTCTGTAGACGGCAGAGGGCTACTGAGAGCCAGGCCTCCAACGACCCACTGTACATTTTCCACCACTGGAATATCGATGCCAGGATACAGTCGAATGTGACATGTCAGGTTGAGAGCAGTTCCAGCATAATATGGACCATCGTGGGTGGCTCTCACAGAAAACAATGGTGCAGCTACATTAGAACGATAAAGTTGATTGATAAAGTTGATTGTTTCACTGTTTAGTTAGTTATACACTTACAAAAGATTGAATAAAGGTCCCTCACACGTGTGGACGGATAGGGAAATCCCTCTAATTTCACAGTACAGCTGTATTCGCCATCCTGTGAGAGTCTGAGAGGTTGAAACCGCAGTTCGCTGTGTGTGTTATTGGTCCTGACGGGAGTTGGTAGCTCCCCAGGACCAGTCCAGACGAACTCCAGTGTCCCATTCAGATCACCATAAACCAATACATCACATGTGAGGATGTAGGGATAACCAATATATGCATTGCCGGCTCTTTCTTCTCTGTACACGTCTATCAGACGCACGTCAACCACAAGACCTCCTAAATGAACAGTAGTGAAATGCTGACATAAGTATAAATATACGCCGCATATCATTTACCTAACGAGAATTCAAGTGGGCCAATGGTTAGACTGGGAAATGCCGTATGAGCAGTGATCTCAAACATGTATCCATCGTGGAAGGGGTACTGGTTCAGTTCTATCGTGACGGAGTCAGCAGTGCCATTCAGTCTCATAGTCCCTCTGGATCCTCTCCCATAGACAAGGGTATGGAACTCTATACCCTCCGAAGGTGTCCATGACATTAGAACGGTGTTGACACTGTTTTGAGTCAGTGTTACATTTGACGGAGGATTAGGTACTGCAGTATTAGAGGTGTAGGTGTAATTAAATGGAACTTCAATAGGATGAAATTACTTACTGGTAGCATTGATAGAAGCACTAGCACTTTCAGGAGAAGCATTTGACACGGTGCATGTGTAGAAGCCCTGCTCAGTGACACTGAGAGTGTGTCTGTACCCTGTAAAGTCCTCTCTGAGGGCAGTCACACCACTTCCTATGACAGTGGAATCTTTTGTCCACGTCACATTGGCTGGAATACCGCCAAACGAGTAGCATACGAGAGTAAATTGGAGTGGTTCCATGCTGTGAATTTCAACATCTGATGCCTCAACAGAGAGTTTAGCTGTAAAACAAACGTTGTCACCACAGTCTTATCTACACTGGATCCTCAATAGAGGACAGCTGTATGACACTTGGTTCTGCCCCATACCAATGCATTATTACTCCCTCTAAACGTGAAACACCCTTGAATAAAAGACATTTCAATGTCCCCAAGTTGTCCCTTAGTGAGAAGCATAACTAACACAGTATACTTACAATTTCGATTGATTCGTAGAATTTTATAGTCTCTCTCAGAGAATGTAAGGCCGGCTACATTGACCAGGCAGTTGTATGTCTCCACATGAGGGTAGCCGAAGGAATCGACCACAAACTGACTGATGAACACTCTCTCCTCAGGAGAGAATGTTGTAGCGTTAGGAGATGGTATTGGAGTGTACCATGTGATTGTTGGGGGTTCAGTGAGGTTCAGAGGGCCTGTGATGGTCACATGACACGAGAGCCTTACTACCTGCCCAAGGTAGGCACCGGAGCTTGGTACAGAGGCTGTCACTTCCACGAAAACTTGATCTGGGAAAGAAAACCATTGACAACTAGTGTTCATGCATTCCGTCTGAGTTACGTGTACTTACTGAGGGTAATATTAACTGGTCCAAGCACACCCCTAGAGATGTCGGTTATGGCTGCAATTCTGAGTGAGTAGGCGTTGCTATAGAGACTGTGGAGAGTGAGGGAAGTGTCCTTGGTACTTGTGCTCCCTGAACGTGTTTGCTCGAAATCATGGTAAGTCACAGCATAGAACTTTACTCTGCCAGCAGGTGACCACGATACTCGCACGTTCCCACTTCCAGTCTGAGTTACTGTCAAGTTGGTTGGTGTTAGTGGTGCTGTTGGTAGAAAAGAAACGTGAACCACTGTTCTTTGATTCTAGGTACAGAACATACACATTAGTGTTGGTCAAAGCCTATCATATCCTTCCATTTGCCACATGCACACCATTATATTATATTGCTTAATAAACTACATAGTGTGTGCGAATACGTTGCTCCAACATACTTGTTGCATATAGCCGGCCGCTCTCTCTTGTGTTTGGTACTGTAGCTTCATTGAACACCTCACAAGTGTAGACACCTTCCTCTGTGACATTCAGTACGTTGAAGTAACTTGATTCCGTCACTGATGTAGTTACTCCACCCTCTATCGCAGTGGAGTCTCTCTTCCATGTGACAGTAGTGGCAGGCCACGAGCGAACTTGACAGGTGAGACTGAATAAAGGGGGCTGGGTCTGGACAACCTCAACTCTCAAAAGGATGTCACTATCTCTTGAAGCTGTTGCATGGAATAAGTGCAAACATAAATCTACTACTACTTTAGGTCTCAGAATACTTCTAGTTAGTTTATTGTAATCTAGTAGCCATTTGAGTACACTTTCTTGTGGAAAATTAGCAATAGCATAGATGATGCACACACACCTCGAAAAACGGTGATGTAAAGGATGTCCTTGGGGCCACTTCTTGCAATACTGGCAACGGTGTCAATCTCACAGCGATAGTTGCCGTACCCAGAGCCGCGTACACTATTCAACTCAACTGCACCATTCACAAGACTCTGCTGGAGAATATTTTGACTTCTGCCCACTGCGACCCAGCGGCCACTATGGGGTCCGCCGTTTTGGCAGCACGTAGCGTTCAGGTCCGTATTACAACGTACACTCACTGTACTGTTGTTGTTTAGGAGTCTTCTGTGCGGCACTGCGCTGTTGTTGGGCAGCAAGTTTCCTTCGAAAGTGATGTATGGAGCGGCGGGTCTCTGCCCGTCACCCTTACAGGCGGCCAGTAAGACCGCGACTGCTATTGCGAAGGCAAAGCTGCTCCCCATGTGCGATCCACGGAATTATTCTTAACTTTGATCAGTATTTTTTAAACAGCTATCTTGAGTTTGAAATCATGCTTTTCAGCTTATAACGACGCGGAGCAGCGAATTTCCAGTCTTCGCCGGATGCGCGTGCCCACGCATGTAGGAAATGGGTTCATCCGTTCCAGTGTACTTTGGCTCTGAACTTCCGGTTTCACAGATCATTGTTACCTTTTAATACATCTGAATCTGCTCCCCCTAGTTCGAAATTGCTGATATTATGTTGGTTAAGAGTATAAAGTTTCCGTCGAACCATTTTAATATCTGCGATTTTGTTCAGTTCTGTAGTCATTCAACTAGAGCTGCCCATGGTTTAAAGTTGAAACACTCTCTCTGTAGGAGTGACTTTGAAGGGAACTTCCATTTTAACCGAATTCCTGAACTATAGAATGCCTTACCCTCATTCGATATAACGCTTTCTCTTTCTGCAATTAGATCAAAGATATGAGAATATTTCCGGGACCATTTCATGTCCACCTTCAAACATTGTTCGTACATACCACTATCTTTGTCCTTGCTCTAAGTGTTCAAAGCTACCAGTCAAAATGCATTTTAGTGATTCTTCGTAGTTTGATGTTTTGGTTTGTGTTTTGTTTATTTATTTTTGTTTGGCTGCTGGCTTAATGCCTCCAGTCCATCAACACAGCTATAACTTCACTATAGTTTGTCACCACCTGTGTTGTAAAGCATCATAAAAATATGGAAAAGCACTAAAGTGCAAACCCTCGGCGAACTGCGCATGCGCGATACTGCTAATTGATGGGCTGGGCTATTAGTAGTATATATGCGTTTACTCGTGGTCTCCCGCTAGCGCGCGGAGAGTCTGACATGGGCTAGCTACGGTAGTAGATAACATGCGGGAGTCGATACATGCCGTTCGTTGTGACTTTCTTAGCCTCCAGGGTACACAGAGCGAGCGGTTCAGGTCGCAGTAAGCCCAATGCGATTATGCATATTGGCTTTTTCGCTTGTTTTCACGGCATATCTCTAGAACGCTGTCGTTTCAGGAAAAACGCCCTTTTTATTTTCAGGCTCGTGTAGTTCTGAAGCCGTTGGTATCGCTAATTGGCCACCTCGTAGCCTGTAGTGCCAGAATAAGCGTCGACACACAGACAGACAGACAAACCAACTACCGTAAGCCTCGCTGCGCATGCGCGCCGAGGGTTATAATAATGCCCCCGCTTCAGCTTCAGTTTCCTATACACCCTGCAACTCTTGTCAATATCAAACGCTAATGGTACAACGACAGCTAATACTGAAAGTCTCTAAAATAAAACTAGAAATGTATTCTGTTAGCTACTGAAACTACGCAGTGTAAGTTGGTCCATCAAAGAGTGAAAGAACTGTATAATCAAACATGATGTAGCCTTTATATAATATAGGCATTAAGGCAAACATTGGTTTCTGAAATTGCCCTCTATGGTAGATACTGGGTATAAGCCTTAGAGAGTGGATCACCTTCTTCTTTATCTTCATCCAAACTGTCACCGTGAACCTGGTTTATGTCCCTACTCCAAAATCAATGCTCTGGTTCCACTCTGGATCCTCACCATTTCTAGAGATTTTTTTCTTCATTTAGGGTGAATTCCGTATTGGTCGTATACTACAATCTGTGAGTATGGGTCGCTGCCACTAAGCTTGTCATCATCTGCTGGATTCGACGGACTATATGTGACCAAGATAGGTATCCCCTGTTCTGTTAGTTTACAGCACCTAAGCCTGTCAAAAGATTGTCAATATTGACAAAGTCTCTAATGACACAACAATACAACTAGAACTATATTATTTGCTAGCTACTACATGATAATGCAGTGTCAATTTCTTAGTCAAAGGTAGAAACCACTCATCAAGTGTACGTATAATCAAATACGATGTAGCCTTCATAAGCATTGAGGCGAACATTTGTGTCTGAAGAAGCTCTGCCCGGTTCTAGATACCAGGTTTGAGTTTTAGAGAGTGGATCATCTCCCCAAATCTTATCTTTATCCCAAACTCTCACCGTGAACCTGGTCCATGTCCCAACTCCAAAATCGATGCTCTGATCCCACTCTGGATTCTCATCATTCCAATCGGTTTTTGTCTTCATCGGGAGTGATTTTCCATATTGGTCATGTGCTACTATCCGTAAGTATGGGTCGCTGTTACTATGCCAGTCTTCATCTGGTAGATTCTTGCCATTACGAACCATGATGACGAGTCTACCCTGCCAATATTGACACTCATCTCCTGTGTATGAATGGTGGCAGGAGCAGGTGAAACTTGCGCACCCCTCTATGCAAGTCCCTCCATTATGACACGGGTTAGGACTGCACTCTGTTTCATCCTCGTTCAACTCATAGTCTAGTAAGAGGTAAGAGTCGCAAGAACTTGTGACACAGTGCTTGACTGAGTGGTAGCCTGCAAACACAGCAATAAACTCTAGCTCTGACATTTTATCGTCATTGGACAGGTCTTTATCCCATACTTGGACACTGAAAGCGACAAAAGAACATCCGCCCATGTCTAGCCAGTCGTCCCAGGTTGGATTTACGGTACCTTTAATGCTATTTGTTTTCATAGGAACAGTAGTGTCATCAGGTTTCCTTGCCTCGATCTTGACATAAGGATCTGGGAGGTTTGAACGCCCATCAGTATCTGGAAGATTTTTAGCGGAGCGTACTTTCACTCTCAGCGTACCATGAGTTGGGTTCAGAAGCATGTAGTCATACATCACATATTGGTTGCATGGAATGTTGCCACAATATTTACGGTTGATGGAATTCCTGGGATTCTCCAGTAGGGGTACTGTTACTGACATTGTCGTGGGTTCATTGGCAGAGGTTGTACTGTGCTCCCACACACTGATTCTGAAAAATTGCCATTCCCTGTTGCTGAAATGAAGCCACTCGTTCCAAGTTGGATTCTTAGTTTCTTTCTTGAAAAGAGTGTTTTGTACATACTCATGACCAGTTGAATCTACCGCTTTAATCTCCACATATGGGTTATCACCATCTTCCAAATTTTTACCGTCTCGTATGTGAAACAGCAGATACCCTTCCCTTCCTGGGGCTGGGCAGTTGTAGAGGCGATTTATCTGAGTGATATCACTTGGACTTAGTTTAACCCTCTGTCCTAACTTAGGCCTGCCTTGCTTCTCATATTCCGCATCATTGTTCACTTCTATTGTCGTGCAAGCCACACCTTTGCAACCAGGTTTGTCAAAAGCAGTGCTGGGGTAGTGCATGATAGAGCCATAGTCATACTTAGAACCTTGGAAATCAATCACTTTTGCAATTTGCTTGTCAAAGTTAAAGTCTTTACGTTCCAGGATGTTTTCTAGATGGACGGTCACATAAGAGTCTCTGTCAGGTCTGGACTGCTCATGCCACAGTCCTAGAGAGTGTCCAATTTCATGCAAAATGCTACCAAATCCCCTGATGCATGAAGCAGTCAAACGAATGCGTTGCCTATCACCGGTTCGTCCCACATAGCTGCTGCATCCATTGTCCTTTATAAAGTGTATATAATCTTCTTCCGTCGATTGTTCAACAAACCTCAAGCATGTAGAGTCTGACCAATTATCTATTGCTCTCAAAATCCCCTTTCTCTGCTTTAGTGTAAACGAGTCGCTTATCTTATACGGAACGACGTTATTCTCCCATCGGTATCCTTCTTCATTTCTGACATCCTGTTCATCGACTAACTGACCTTTGACCAAATGACCTCCTTGCTCATGAACCAATTCCTTTATTTCATTAGCACTCAAATTATAGTGCTTAAGAATGTTAGATAACGGTGACTCGATGTCACCTTCAAAGAAGTATTCCATGGTTTCTGGAACTGGCTCAAGTCCTTTCCCAGTATGCTGGTTGCTGGTTGCCTGGTGCTTTCTCATGCCATCAGTTGCATCTCTCTTAATAATGGCATTATCTTCATCCACAACTCTCTTTGAAATTTCAGTTGGAAGGGCATCCACAGAAAAACAAATAAGTATGGCCACAGTAAAATACAGCAACCCTGCATAATAAATTACACAAAACGAGAAGTAAACTTCATTTATGCAGTCACTTTCAAACCAAGCACCTTTTTGCTGCATCTTTTGCAATCCACTATGCAGTAGTATGCGATTCTGCCGGCAGTCAGCTATTACAACCTACTATTCTTCTGCTTGTCGTGCTGCTATATATGATACGGCATGAGGTCAAATTACACCCGGTTCATGCCAATGGATGTCGTTATTGTATGCTTATGTATGTTCAGTGCCTCTTCCAGGACCACTTCTGTATGTAGCATGTAACTGATAGCACGGTTGTTTTCCTAGCTACAACTGGTTCTGAGAATATTCTTGACTCCTACAGGATCATTTTCACATAGTACACATAGTGGCGTAGTAAGTGACATAGTAGCTTGTACAGGCATTACAAAATAATTAAGATGGAACCCCTCCAAGCCTCTTGAGGATTGTCTGTTCATATTACACTGTATAGCAACTCGTTTACATCCTTGTCTGTCACGACTTGCTCAGCTCCCAATGAAAATATCGTGGGGGAGTTTGTGCTCCAATACTGCAATGCATATTTTCAGTGAAAGAGACTGTTTTAATTCTGAGAAGTGCAACCCCTCCTGAGCCAGTTGCAGGGCATCTGTTAACATTTCAATGTAGGTGGGTTGCACAGCTTACCCCTGTTTATCACGACAACCAGCTCTCCTGGTAGCAAAATGAATAGATGAAAAATCTCAGGTGATGCGTGTACAAAAAGCTTCTGAGGTCAGTGAGAAGAGCCAGATAATGGTTAAAACAAACAGTTACCATTCTACACCCTCCTTCCATCTTCTTTCCTGCTCCACCCATCTGAATATTGAGAGTCTGGTTCTTGTAGACACGTGAGTGATACAGTTTTCCTTACGTTTTTGATAGTGTTGCATCACAAAAGTTTTAAAGTTGTGCGTCCCTTATAATAATTAAACTGCAACACCTGCTACATTTTCCACCCTTACTTTAAACACTCATACCTTGAATGTAAACATTCACTGTAGATAGTCAATTAAGTAGCAGTAGTAGTGCCCATCCCTACAGAACACACACATCACTAGCATGTAACTGATAGCACGGTTGTTTTCCTAGCTACAACTGGTTCTGAGAATATTCTTGACTCCTACAGGATCATTTTCACATAGTACACATAGTGGCGTAGTAAGTGACATAGTAGCTTGTACAGGCATTATAAAATAATTAAGATGGAACCCCTCCAAGCCTCTTGAGGATTGTCTGTTCATATTACACTGTATAGCAACTCGTTTACATCCTTGTCTGTCACGACTTGCTCAGCTCCCACTGAAAATAGCATGGGGAGTTTGGTGGTACAAGACTGCAATGCATATTTTCAGTGAAAGAGACTGCTTTAATTCTGAGAAGTTCAACCCCTTTTGGGCCGCTTGCAGGGCATCTGTTAACATTTCAATGTAGGTGGGTTGCACAGCTTACCCCTGTTTATCACGACAACCAGCTCTCCAGGTAGCAAAATGAATAGATAAAGATCTCAGGTGATGTGTGTACAAAAAGCTTCTGAGGTCAGTGAGAAGAGCCAGATAATGGTTAAAACAAACAGTTACCATTCTACACCCTCCTTCCATCCTGCTCCACCCATCTGAATATTGAGAGTCTGGTTCTTGTAGACACGTGAGTGATACAGTTTTCCTTACGTTTTTGAGTGTTGCATCATAAAAGTTTTAAAGTTGACTACGGCACGCATGCGCAGCGAGGGTACGGTTCTGTCTGTCTGTCTGTCTGTCTGTCTGTCTCCCTGTCTCTCTGTCTGTGTGTGTGTCTGTTACTCTTCATCTCACTTCTCAGCTGTTCGTTCATCTCACAAAGGATACGACCTACTAGGTATACCAGTAAAGGGGTGTGTCTCGCCAACAGGCCTCATTCGCTTCCCCTGGTGACGTAACTGCTATTTTCACTGCGGTTTAGCCGGAGTTATAGCAATTTGAATTTCGCGCCGTTTTGTCTTTTGCGCATGCTCATTGAGGAGCGTGCATATGCGCATATAATACTAAACGGCGCGAAATTCAAATTGCTATAACTCTGGCACTCAGGCAACGAAGGTCAGAAATTAGAACGGTTTTCTCTGAAACTGCTCCGTTGAAAAGCTAGAGCGCGAAAAAGCTTACCGCGGTCTGATCGATCCGCGTGCTCTGCGTACCTCGGAGGCAGATGATGCAACGCATGGCGTGTATGGCCTCTCGCATGTTATCTAGTAGTGTAGTTAGCCCGTATCAGGCTGTCAGCACTGCACGAGCTTTCAAGAGACCACGAGTAACAGCTAAAACTAAACCAAGCCAATCGATTAGTGGTACTTCGCATGCGTTAGCTTACGCGTGCGCGTCACAATGCGCGGAGAGTTTGCACTTCAGTGCTTTTCATTAAGGTAGAACCCATCCAAGCCTCTTGAAGGTTGTCTGTTCACATTCCACTGTATAATAACTTGTTTACATCCTTGTTAGTCACGACTTGCTCAGCTCCCACTGATAATATCATGGGGGAGTTTGTGCTCCAAAACTGCAATACATAATATTTTCAGTGAAAGAGACTGTTCTAATTCTGAGAAGTGTAACCACTTCTGAGCCAGTTGCAGGGCATCTGCTAGCATTTCAATGTAGGTGGGTTGCACAGCTTACCCCTGTTTATCACGACGATCAGCTCTCCTGGTTGCAAAATAAGGAGATGAAAGATCTTAGGTGATGCGTGTACAAAAAGCCTCTGAGGTCAGTGAGTAGAGCTAACCCCAACAGTTAACATTCTACACCCTCCTTCCATCCACATATCTTCTTCCCTACTCCCACCCATCCGAAAATTGATTTTCTAGTTCTTGCAGACACGTGAGTGATACTACGTTTTTTATACTGTTGCATCACAAAAGTTGCGTGTCCCTTATAAAACAGCAACACCCGCTAAACTTTTCCACCCTTACTTTAAACACTCATACATTGAATGTAAACATTCACTGTAAAATGTCAATTAGTAGTATATTATGAATAATTGGTAACCATTTCAGTCGATGACATAACAGTCAGAGTAGTAAAGTTCTTAGTTCAACAGCGGCTCTCATCAAAGTGAGAATACTTGAAATCAGTGGCAAACAGAGAGTCGACTTTGTAATCTCTGTAGCTGCCTTCAATGACTGGGTCATTCACAGCTGGGTCCCCAGCCACCTCATAGATATCTCCAGCCTGTCTGTTCCCAGCATAGTAGCAGACCCTTGCCTCATATTCCCATGTAATATTGTACTTGACACCCACAAAGCTCCGCGGGGGAGAGTTCGGATGGTCCACCGTGATGACATAGTCGTTGCTCAGCTGCTCTCCACCTATCAGCCCAGTGTATGAGCTGATTGTGACTGGCACGTTCCAGAACTGACCTGGAGAGGTTGTAAACAAGATGATGACATCATGACGTTGTTACTTTAAAACTTCGGGGAAAACTCTTCCGCAAATCTTACATGATGATTGTATGGTTTTGTAAAAGCAAGGAGTTGGGGTGTCAGCATTTCATGCTTACCAGTGCAGTAGCTACATGCAACAAAACGTAGGAAAAGAGTGTGAAACACAGAAGTGTGTTAGGGAAGGGTATAGCCAAGAAGAAAAGGAAGTGAAAGGAGATAGGGAAAGAAATAGTTAAAACGTAATTTTGTACCAATCAGTCCATGGGACTGCTCATTGAGATTGAGTCCACGCCGCACCACCAATCGAATGAACCTGATATCAATAAACTCCATGGTAATAGGGTCCTCAACCTGCCCATCCCTACAGAACACCCACATCACTAGCATACTATCGGCACAGTTTGGAACCGAGATGCGAACTCGAGACGAAGTAGGGTACGATCTCACTGTTATACCATCGAAACTACCGCCTGATGGTGGTGGAGCTCCATTGACCGTAGCACTACATGTGTCCAAATCGACCTGAATGTTCCAACAGGTGTTTATTCCCCTAGCTCTCACTCCAATCCGAGTGATAACATTGAGGTTTAGGTTAGAAGGAGGAGCAACTGCCCTCTGATAGTAGCCGTTGACTGAGGTACACTCGTCGGAGATGAGGTTGAAGTATGCGTTCTCCTCTCCATGGACCTCGTAGCACAGTGACTCCACATTATCAGTGTTGACAGATTCAGCAACACCAGTATTCCATATGGGCACCGTCATCAGAGGATCTCCAGTCACAGTGTCATTGACAAACACTCCACCTAACAAAGAGGTCTATTTTAACGCATAACCGTGCACTCAGGGCAATGGGCAGAGACAAGAGTACGAAGGGCTGAGAACCAGAATGGTGTAACCCACAAAGCCTTGACATGAAATTACCATTAAAATGTGTTTTGTAAGAAAACAATCTTTGCAAAATCCTATATATCCCACTTTTTAAAGTTTACCCTACCCATATTTTCCCACATTTTTGCACTCTTTAGGCGATTTGCCATACTTGATTTTGGGATATACCACTCTGGTTCTCGGCCCTTGATATGTACACACTTCCGCTATTTCATACTTCTTTTATGGTTCATGAGAAAGCTGTGCCGGTTCAACCATCTAGACATGGGAATGTGGCTGTATATAAAGGCTTAACTTAGAAACTGTTACTAAAAATATATTTTAACTGCATTTTTTCACTGGGGCCTTTTGAGCTCAGTGACTTTTCTAAAAAAACCCTTAGTTACTGTTGCATTTCTTAAACTATACACCATTTCCCCAAACACAACCCTTCAGCTCTCGACACAAACCCTAGGACTTGGACTTTTTCACTGACATCAATAGCTGAACACGGAGTTTGCGACTTACTGGGGCAATCGGCAGTGTCATCAATTATAATTCGGGCCTCTTCAGGCTGAACAACAATGACCTGCCTCCCAGAGTTCAGTGTAAGCCTCGAGAAGAAAAACTCCTGCTCTGGGAGCTCACAGACGGCATCATCCAGTATCTGAACCCTATGGCATTGTCTAGTGTCTCCAGTGACAAACACCAGCTCTCCAGCGGAGGAAGCATAATCTATTCCACCAACTGCAATAAGAGAGGGAGTTAGGGAGAAAGAAAGAGGGGGAGAGTTTGTGTGTGTGAGAAAGAGATAAAGTGAAGAGCCTGATTATGTCAGCTAATAAGGTTTACGGGCAGATCCGTCCACTGTCTGAAATAAGAGAGTGAATGGTCTTGGAACCGGTCCTCCAACATCTGGCTCATACAGAATGACGCAGAGCTCCACAAAAGTGTCTCCTTCTGGAGTTGTGTAGACTGTTCTCTCGTATCCCACACGAATATCAGCTACTGAGGAACAAAAGAAGTAGGCAGCGGGTAATAGTGAGCTCACTCCAAATAGCTAACTTGTTGAGCTTAGGAAAAAAATTATTATTGACATTGAAAGTGTGTTTTTTTTGGTACTCACTGTCATCGTCGCCTATCTCAACTTGTCCATCGACTGGGTTCAGTTCAATCCTTGGGTCCAGGTCCGGTGTTCGCCTCAGAGTGTAGGTGAATACTTCATCTGGCTCATCCACTGTGTCATCTATTATCTCGACATCAACACATCTTCGTGTCTCGCAGGCTTCAAACGTCAGTGTCACATCAAGTGGCTGATAGTCCATTGCTTGGACTGTGGACAATGAAAAATCACACTGTGTATAGGTACACACAGTAGAGTCTACCTGCAGTTCCATCAGCAGTAGACAGCAGGACTTCAAATGGAAATGCAATCGGACAGTCTATTTCAGGGAACGAAACGTTGACACAGATTTGAATCAAACCGACATCCTCCTCCACGCTGAAGAAAGTCTGCTCCAGGCCCACCACGGCCACTAGAGAATGAGACATTGTTATAGTTATTCACACAATTATCCATCACCGAATATAAGATACTGTTATACTGAGCTGCTCAAGACACAATTATCCATAACAGAATTTAATAATGGCAGTGCCTATGTCAATTCATTTTTGCAAAGGCAGCATAATTGTTTCGATAATTCCGTCTTTAGTCTAGGTTCTATAATATCAGTTGCAGGCAATGTAATATGGGGAAGCCCCACCAATGAACTCACTGTCATCATCCACAATAAGGATCGAGGCCTGGTCATACATTGGTTGAACTGTTGTGAGGACTGTGGTGAGTTCATTGTCCTTCACTCCAAGACTGAGACCTGCATATTCATCCAGCTCCAAACGTAGGTCATCATAGATGGGTTGACTGTAGCAGACAATTCTCATCAACTCTGTAATCACAGTATCGTCAATGATATTGACAATGCGGGTTTGCTGGGCATAGTCAGATCCCTCTATCATTGCATATCGACTCAGAAAGTCTGGAGGATCAGGAGCTGGAGAAAATAGATCACTGTGTAGATATCCGAAACAAGGGAAGAAAAAGAAAAAGAAAAGGCAAAGCAACACATTTGCTCCCAGGATAGCTCTTTTGTTCACAGTAAAATTTGCTGCCTTGGGGTTGGATTCGAACCCTTTACACTGTTATGTCTATAGGCAGAGTGCTCTAACAAATATGAGATACTTGGTGGTGCAGCTCAACATACGGGGAAAAATGCAATATTCACAATGTACTCTAACTCACTAGCCAGAGGGGCATTGGCCGGGATATAGACTGAGCTGGAGTTATCCATGACAAACACATTGACAGTTTCATCGAGAATATCAATTTGCGGTTGAGTCAGATTGACACAGACACTCACTGACCCCATGCTCTCATCAACAGTGTACACTGTGTTCACAAATGCTACAACAAATGGGTCTAAAGAAAAGAAGAAGATTGCTACATATTTGGTCAGATTAAAATAAGATATTACCATCGTCATTTGTGATGCACACAGTATGTTCACAGAAGAAACTTGTTGCTCCTGTGTCGTCTTCATTGCACGTAAACAGCTCACGACGACCCATGACATCGACGGGGAGAATGCGAATGCTAAAGCATTCATCTGGCTCAGCTACAAAGTCATTTCTGATTTGTACTCTAAGTGGTGGCAGTGTGTCCTCCCCTGCTTCCAGGTCAATTGTTACTTCTATGGGGTCAGTTGGCAGGTCTCTGCTCCCGAAAAGGGCGTCAAAGTCTGGGTTAATCTGGGCTATTAGTGGCTCCACAATGGCAGTGCTGCTTGCTTCCTGATAGCGGAATGTCATGATGTGCAACCTCTCAGCCGTCCTTATGTTAGATACACCAAGGAAGAGGGGGAATGTATCCACATTAGGTATTTCACCTTCTGATACTGTCTGACTTCTATCATTGAACCCAATGACCATGACTGAATATAGGGAGAGGCAATTTGTACCTTTATCATTACATCTTGTTGCAGAAATTTTACAGAAAGTGGAAATCTCCACACCTATGCAGATGATGTGTGGATGAATGTTTGTCTTAGGCCAGGAGAAGGCAATGGGAGGTTTGGAGTTAAACAGGCTCGGAAACTGGAAATGAAAAGCATCGAAAAGCTGGGGTGAATTAACAGATAGGGCAGTTTGGTTAGTTTGGACAGTGTGGAGAGGTTAGTTATGAAAACTGGTTACCCCCTCCCTTCTCCTGACCTAAAATAACATTCAAAATCCCCTGAAATTCACAAACAGTGTAGATAGTACTGTGAGCGATTCCTGCCTAGTCCTGCCCAGTCTCTCGTATAGAACATAAAGAGGCCATACAATTTCCACGTACCGTAGCTGTATGTTGAGCTCATTTGCATAACCACAGTGGTTCTCTTTAAAGACGATAGAAAGAGGCTGCGCTAAGCGCTTTAGTTTAGTCCAGTTGTGCGGTTTTGACTTGTAAGCAACAACGGCCACGTCAAAGCTACCTTTTTTGTTGCTGGACCCCACGCGTAAGTTTTATAACTGTCCCTCTGGCTCGCTTTCTCTCCCGGGCCATACCCAGCGATCTCGAATGCAGCGTGTGAGAGTAGCAAGAAAGCTGACAGTCACTGAATTACTTGTTTTCAATTGGCTAGCTCTAGCCCTCTCCGCATTTTTACAAGTGGTGTGGGTTAAAAAAGGAGTTTTGAAAGCTTTTAAATTTTGCGGATTCTCATTGGTCAGAGCCTTATCACCAAATGTCATCATACAAACACGTTATACGATGGCTTTGTATGTGGTTTACTGGTTGCACACTTGTGGCTTCAGTTTTGATAGACCACTGCCCTATCCAAACTGGCCACTCCACTCGTGTACAACCAGTAGACCACCCGCCGCTATCGTACAACCTAAACAATTATTATATATATATTATAATATGGTCAGCATTTATACACCTAACAAGTAGCACCTGCTATAATATAGCTATGTTGCCTGTAACTGTATTGTACTTACGGTCATTGTCTGTGATTCTAATTTCAGTTGCTCCACGTCGTCCAAAGCAGTCTGTCTGCCCCTCTTCAGCCTGGAAACACGCGACGGCGTCAGGAACATCGGCTCCGATTTCAGCTATTATTGCAAAGCTCTGTTCGTCTTCATCGATATTGTCATCCACAATCATGAAAAATTGAGATACTTGGAATGTTCGGGTGTTGGCCGGTATCGTGACTGTGGTTTTACTTGTGCTGAAGTCATCAACTACAACAAGACAGCAAAGGTGGGAAAGATGTGTACCATATCCATGAGAACACTATACAAGGGCACACAAAGGTTTGGAGCAGACTTTCACTAGAAGTAGTCTACTACCACACTACACTGAGTAAGTGCCACTTCAAAAGTACACTATCTGTGAAGCCCTACTTTAAAGACTCACTCAATGAGTAGCTATTCAAAAGGCGGGAGGCACTTCAGACACATAATATCGTAGTAAAGACTGGAGCATTGTGGTTGCTCTACTTTAGTAAGCAATACTACTGTGGGAAGATAGTAGGTTTTGCTGGGGGGTCCCATTCTCAGCAGACCTCAAAGGGATTGTGTTCAATCCCTACTTACTGAATGGAGTAGGAGCAGCCACACTGGTCAAGTCTTTACTATGTATCAAAAGTGCACCACTTCCTTTGTATATATGCAGCTGGACATTGAGTGTGCAATTACACAACATACATTAGCCTTTCTCAGCACTAGCTTCTTTTTAGTGTATAGTGTGCAGTATTATGTTTCCACAACAGAGTATCAAATTTCTAGCTATAGTAGGCACCTGCTGTTGCTCTAGATGCATTGGTAATGGTATCAGCATTGATAAAGGTTCCCAAACCCTCAGTTTCAGCCCTGTTGACTGTAACAGGGCAGAGGGTGACAGTGAAATCTCTCTGACATGCCCTAAACTGGAGAGTGATTGGTGTGCTTAGCATATTATCTCCTTCCTCGATAGAGTAGTCAGACTCTCCAAAATTGATCTGCAGCACTACAGAACACACCAGGCATGGGAAAACACATTTTACAAGATTCTCAAGTTTACTTCCGCCTGACTAAAATCAGCTTACACTCTATTACAATAATATAGCTGAACTGAGCAGAGTTAGCTACAGCCAACCAATAAAACTACCCTTTGACTGGGTAATACTCAATATACTCAGGAGGCACTGGTCCTATATAGCAGATACGCAAGAGATCGAGACATATCAGGAGGACGCCAGAAGGCCTCTTGTTCACAGCATGTTCGAGCCCAACTCAATAATATCCCATCATTCCACGTGCACATACACAATAATCACGTGATACAGAGAAATATTCAGGTCAATAATACATAACACTACTCAGTACCTAAACCCAGTCATACATCTATGAGCAATATAATCTACACGTAGCTCAAAATTTGATGTTGACTCCTGAACTAACTCATTACGTAATCTCATTAGTTCATATGCATGAATCTCATTACTGTATGGACATGAAGATTTGTGAGACTCAGTCAGAGTTTGGAAAGAGATTAGTCACGAAAGAGAAGGCATAGTCATGTGCAAGGCCCGTAACGCAACACACACAGACTGACAGAGGTATAGCTATACTCACAATCATTGTCAATGATGTTGACTATTGCACTATCCCTAATGAACTCCCCTGCTCCCTCCACACCACCGATGAGTTCAGGGTTGTCAGGAGTAAATGTGAGTAGGACCCTGTCGTTAGTCTCCAGAGCGAGCTCATCATTGGAAATGAACAGACGGATCTCAGTAGGACTGTCTGATACACGGATGGGCGACAGCTGCTCAAAATCCGTTTCACCTGCAGATGAATTTATGAACTCAGCACGTTTGTAATAATGACTTAGCAGAGAAGATAAATTAAGACTTTATCTACTTCAATCTGTTTTTTGGTACAGGTCCATATACTATACTGGAAATATACATTTCATAAGCTAACTTGCAGTTCCATCTGGATCTGTAGCAGCTGTGATAGTTCCGGTGACAGTAAGAGTACTCAGTGATGTCATTCCTTTCACGTTTAGTTGGAACATAGTGTCCAGTCGAGCGTCCTCATCCACATCGTAAGTGGCCTGAAGGAATCCGTGCACTGCAAACAACAGACAACAGCAACAAAATAAATGCTAGCTCTATGAACTTTGTTTAGGAAAAGGAGGAAATTTAAATACTGCAACAGCCTAGCTAGAGTGGTCCATGTGGGAGCAGCTAACAGTGGGCACCCCTGAATTGGATACACCTTATTAGGACACGTAATGGACACTTTCTTCTATCACTATGGTAATAAGAGATTGCTGATAACAACAACTGGGGGCAGTAAAGGAGTAGGGTAAACAGCTATGAACCCTCATGCCCCCTTTAGAACATACCAATACACTGGGTGCATGTAGTTCCATCACTGTAGGAGAGACCATCGTTTGTGTCAACACAGCAGGATCTTAGGTCTGTTGCTGGAACTATTTCTCCTGTGCAGACCGTAGTGGTGAAGCACTGAGCCAAACCTGCAAATTATGATAAATACTTGCTGATATATTGGCTGCAAATTCGTAATGGACAAACAGAGAGCTTTTCTTCCACCATGAGTCAACCATCAAACTTTTGGCATGGTGGCTAGATATGTTTGCACTAGTAGCTATCAACACAATCAGATAAAACATAGGACGATAACTGCTGTAGTAGCTATATAGCTACCTTCATCAACAAAGAGAAGCCCGACTACCGCAGCCGCCGTGAGAAATATCTGCAGCATCTTATGAACACTGCTGAGATACGCAATGAGCCGCAGTAACAGTCCCTCTGCTTGCTGTGACCCCAGAGCTCTTTTATTGGCTCTCAGTGATCTGTTTCGCGCATGCTTTTCCGTAATGCACGCTGACTTCCGTAAACACAGCGCTAGCTACCAGTGCATAATTGGCTGTGCTGTCCGTTACGGTTGACTCAGCTAGGCTAGCCGTACCTGTTGAGTAGTAAGTGCGCATGCGCGCGAATAATACCGGAAAAGTCCGGAGTCATCTAACATGCTGCGATCCAGCGTCAGCAAAAGCTGTGTTCTCCAATATCAAAGAACTACACTGGGATCGCTCTGAGTGTCTACGTAATAGCCAATTAACGGTATATAGAAATAGGTACGGCGAGAGGATATCAGCGCATCTAGCTAGAGAGCGCTTTCGAGCACAGTTGGGCTGCGTGCTAACGGAAAAGCACTAAAGTGCAAACCCTTGCCGCTAAACGCGCGAGTTGTAGCATCGCTGTATACTGGGCCATGCGTCATCGACGGAGCCAGTAACACGAGTCTCACCGTAACACAGGGTAGTTGCATTAGCGGTTAGAGCAATTGCTCAGGTGTTTCAGGGGCTCTCATATTTGCTTTATTCAATCTATCCGCTCTTCTGTGCTTCATTGCTCTCGCAAGGCCGCAACTACAAACTGCTCGCCGCCTGAACTATTACGCTACATTGCAAACATACCTTGCTCAGCATGTGGAAACAAAAAGAACAGAGATAAAAACTGGCAGAAGGCGTATATATACAACCAACGTGGCGTAGCGCATGCTCCGGCGAATAATTTACATGACGCGTGCGCGCTATAGAGAGGGCGCGTGCGCGATCGAACGCACGTTGGCTTTTTCGCTTGTTTTCACGCCATATCTCTGGAACGCAGTCGTTTCAGGAAAATCGCCACGTTATTAATATCCATCTTCTCGTTGTTCACAACCCGTTGGTGCCACTCATTGGCCGCCTCGTAGCCTATAGTGCGAGAACTCGCGCGGACAGACTGACAGACAGACAGACAGACAGACCGACAGACCAAGTACCGTAACCCTCGCTGCGCATGCGCGCCGAGGGTTAACAATCGGCTCGTGGCCTACAGCGCATGCTCAATCATCATACCCAAGAGTTTACTGAATAAAGTTCGTGGTCTCATTATGCCGGCGGCGGCAGACTGAGAGAAAGCAAGGACCCTTGCGGTAATAGCGACAAGATCTCTATTTTGCTCATCTAAAGCGAGTTGGCTAAGTTCAAGGATGAATCCCGTGCAATTGCTTTCAATTTTGCTGGCCCTCTCATCCGCTATTGCACATCAAGGTGAGCTGCAAATTTAAACCTGCCAGTGGTTTGTTAATGGCAATGTCAAGTGGCACCCTTGCATTTGCGTTCTAAATGGAGTTCTTTACACGTTGGAAAAGAGTGTGCATTCTAGCTAATAGCTACATATCGTTTTCACCCACTAAGCTCCCTGTCACACCATGTATACAGTGTGCGCATCACGTGTTGTTAGCGGCGAGGTCAGGTCGATGGATGTTCTGATCCAGTATGAACCTCACACTGTCTTTTGTGTTTTCCAGGGCTAGGGTGTTTTTCCATGGAGCCATGTTGCATTTGTGAATCAGAATGTAGTTGTAAATTCAGTTGAAGTGGAGTTCATGCGAAGGGGGAATCAGAATGGTGTATATATAGCATTACTCATCTGTATGTCATGATCTGTATGGAAGACATGTGCATAGCTAATACTGAGTAATAGAATGATAGCAAAGGCAAAGCACCAAGACCTGCACTCCACAACAATACCGCGTGTAACATGCACACCTGAGATCACGCTAAGCAAATATTATTATGTGTCTGGTGCTGCCTTATCTGATCTGGAGACAGCATGGTTATGTATAGTTAGCGATGGCGGGGCGCGTGGTTTACTGGTTTTTTAACACTAGTGGCCAGTTTGATAGGGCACGAGGGGCGTAAGCCCGAGTGGTCTACAAACTGAAGCCACGAGTGTACAACCAGTAAACACAAGAAGCCATCGGATAACGTGTTTGTATGATGACATCCCGCGTGTAAGTCTCGACCAATGAGATCGACAAAAGCTTTCAAAATGCCCTCTTTTTTATTAACGCACAGCACCCCCCCTCGCGTTAATGCCGATAGAGCTAGCGACCGCCTCGGGATCGGAGAGCAGCTGCAATAAGCGCTTTTAGTTTTGGTCAAGCTGGGCGGTTTGTGCAGAAGCCATGCTTATTTCTCGAGAGTTCACGTTTACACAGGTACGTCAAGCTATACTTTTTCGCTGCTAGACTCCACACGATTTCTGTAGCTGCCGCTCTGGCTCGCTTTCTCTCCCGCTATATACCCAGCACACTCTCGAATGCAGCCTTGCAGTAGCAAGAAAGCTGAAACTCCAATACTGTCCAGTCTAACGGGAGCCTACGCGTCGGGAGCAGCTTTTCCGCTAGTTCTTTCAGACCGCGTAGAATTAATACTAGAGCAGTTTCTGGCCATTCCTCAAGCCTAAAACACCCCTTCTGGTAAAGAAACAGCAGCACACAAAGATTGTAAAAGCCCCCCATTGCATACACGCTGCGAATTTCCTACTATCGTATAACTAACCATATACCCACTGTGATGATGCAAATGAGTTACATCAGCTAAAGTATGGGAAATCGTATGGCCGCTTTAATGGTATAATGAAAAAAGCCAGCAAGCACAAAAGCAAAAAAAAAGCAAACAAACAAGTCAAAAAGCAAAGCAAAAGCACAAAGCCTAAAAAAAAAAAGCCCAAACAAAGTCACCCCAAGTCAGCAAAAAAAAAGCAAAAAGCCTGAGAAGTGCAAACCCTCGGCTCATGTGTGACGCACACGCTAAGTTACGCCTGCGCCTTCCACTAATTGATGGGCAGGGTTTAGTTTTAGCTGTTACTCGTGGTCTCTGCAGCTCGCGCAGAGTCGACGCGGGCAACTACACTACTACATAGCATCGAGAGGCGATACACGCCCTGCGTTGCATTCATCTTAAATGTTCCAACCGAACATTTGTACAAACTGAAAAACACTCTATGAGAGTTCGTCCACATATACTCAGAGAATGGGCCCCGCCAATGGACTTTGCTAAGCAACTGCCGAACTAAACCAGAAACTTCCCCTCGCACTTCCCCGAATAGTGGCGTTAATCATTGTATGACTAATCCATACTAGACATAGTACGTAGTAGATCATTCTAGAGTGTATCTCCATCTGACGGCCCAGCAAAAACGGGGGATTCTGGGCTACTAAAAAATACACTAGTTTTGCTATAAAAGACGAGGGAGAGCCCTCACTTTCAGGCTACTGATTCCTCTACGAGTAGCTTCCAGTGGAGGAAAATCGCTGACAAAAGCAAAAGCACAGACTTACGAGCAGCAGCCGAAAAGGACTAAAATTGGAACAGAACCACACCCATAATGCGCAGGAGCTACAACGTGCAGTCTCAATACGAGAGAGGGGTGTCGCCGAAAAACCACTTTTGTTCTTTTTCGACACGGAAACGACAGGTCTAGGTCTTGACTCGGCTGAAATAAATGCGAACTTGACTGGGAAGGTCATAGGGGTGCCACCATCTACGTCACACAGCCTCTCATTCTCAAGCCTGGTCCATACTTCTCGTAGAATTGAACATAGAGGTTGCGTAATTATTCACTAGCGTGCACACTTTACTGGGATGCAAATTTAGTTTCTAGAAAGTGCAAATTCTTTCCTCAAAATGCCTCGTACAGGTACGCAACGAAATTTGAATTTGATAGGAATGGTTGCAGCAAGAAAAGTATGTTACTATTCCCATACTCAATGTAGTGAAAGTAGTAATGATAGTTGGTTTGTCTCTTATTACGCTCATGTGCCTACACAAATGCAAAATTATTGACACCCTCAGCTAGGGGAGCAACGAAATTTGAATTTGATAGGAATGGGTCAGCAAGAAAAAGTATGTTACTATTCCATACTCAAACTGTAGTCGAAAAGTAGTAATAATAGTTGGTTTGTCTCTTATTACGTTCATGTGCCTACAACAAATGCAAAATGTTGACACCCTCAGCTAGGGGAGCAACGAAATTTGGACGAGATAGGAATGATTGCAGCGAGAAAAAGTATGTTACTATTCCATATCCAATCTGTAGTCAAAGTAGTAATGATAGTGGTTTGTCTCTTATTACGCTCATGTGCCTTAGAACAAATGCAAATTGTTGACACCCTCAGCTAGGGGAGCAACGAAATTTGGACGAGATAGGAATGGGTGCAGCGAGTAAAAGTATGTTACTATCCATACTCAAACTGTAGTCAAAGTAGTAATAATAGTTGGTTTGTCTCTTATTACGCTCATGTGCTATAGAATAAATGCAAAATTTTTGACACCCTCAGCTAGATGCAAATCAATTCCACATAACTATGTTGCATCTGCGAAATTAAACGAGCACCCTACCAATAGTCACACTCTCATGCAGCACTCTATTATAATGGACCGTTCTGGCACTATATACGGTACGCATGTAACGGCGACAGGTAGCTCTGTCTTGCTTCACGAAAGGAAAGCTGTGCGCTGACGGCAAAATTATGCAGCCCGAACATCGCGGGGCAAATCCCAAGTTGGGTCGCTCCCGCTCGCGCCAACAATGTTTCAACATTCTTCTAGTAATGGCGTGTCTACTGCTATGATTTAATCTCTAGCCGTGAGCTGACGGGCATCTCCAATGCCATGCTGGTGCAGAGTGATGAACCACTGACGGTGGTCCTACCTCAGTTCTCCGTGGATACACAGCACAAAGGAGGAGGTGGCACGACGTACTGGCTTCCAGTACTATCCAGGTTAATGCACACTAGGACGAAGACGAACAGCATTTGTATGAGCGAACACGAGTATTACTGGCGTATGCAACAGATAGGATGTGCACGCATGACGTAGACTCACGTAGGTCATTATAGTAGGGTAGTAAGGGTTGATACGACATATGAAGTAGTGCGGCAATTAAGATGACTTCGCTTGCCAACTAACACTCTAGAGTGCTTGCACTTACCAGAGGCTGAATTGGGATTGCAAGGGTACACTGTGATTCCACGCTCTTTAAAGCGTGGGACATTCTTCAAATGAAGAGGGATGGCTCGACAGCACCAAAAAGGAACAAACAAGGGGTCATTACACAGCAAAGATGCACAAAAGCACATGACACCATCCCATTCACGCTCGTTAAGAATATGCGTATATGTATGTAGCATACACTCCCCCCAAAAAATAATTAACGTTAAAAAGGTTTACGGTGTCAAACACCTACAATACATAGGCCGGTATGTACACACTAATATGCCCTATCCCATCCCTACCTACTGTGAGTCCGTGCCTTACTTCCCAACAGTTTAGCTGCCCACAGAGGCTTGAGATTCGACTTGCCAATTCTACTCGCTGAGATCGAGAGGAGACCAAATAAACTGACGGCCTCCAGCTCTGTTTGAAGAAAACATTCACTTTGCTGATACACTTCAGTGCCTACAACAGGTCAGATCACTACTATTATCCGCATCGACACGTGCGTAACTATTGCACTTAGTCGAAAGAGAAATTAGGAAAAGAATGAAAACCAACCAATCTACGTGTGATTGTTTTCTCTATGAAGGCTAAAAAGGAAGGACACCCCGCCCTTCAAGACGTACAGAGTTTGAGTTTGGCCAAACTTACACTCACACTTTGCACCTGAAAAATCACATCAAGGTATGTACATAATAACATATTACTACAACGAACGCCACACATTTTTTAGCGATCGAACGTGAGTAGTTCTATTTTTCATGCGTACTTAGAATCACGCAAAATTTTACGGTACGTGCAGTGCCCATTACACATTATAACACAGCAATTCCTGCATTCAGAGGACTAGGTAGACTCGCTATGCATGCCATATGTTTCACATTGACCTCGCAGGTCATCGAGCCCTTCGTGATGTGGAAGCGATGGAGGATATATTCCGCAACGAATCCGTCCACAATCTACTTACATCTCTGTCTGTACAAACAGCCACAGTTACGATCCAAAAATGGAGGAAACAGAGAGAGCTAAGAAGAAAGAAGAGAAGCCTAAGGGATTCTCTGGGACAAACGATCACAGACAGCCAAGCTCAAAGTCTATTGAAAAAAGGTCTCGGTTTTTCAAAATTATGTCGTCTTCGGGCAACATTTTTAGTCGACGACGACTTTCAAAAGGAGCTGCAGAGGAGGAAGGTTGGGAGCCAAAACCTCTGCAAGATCCTCACAACGGCAGTGCCAAAGACATTACCACAGTCCTAGCATTACAATACAGTGGTTGATGAAGTCGACTTTTATATTATAGTGACTATTATAGCGACGTGTATCATCTGTGAAGTACCAGTGGCGCATAACTTTTGTGATTTAGTAGCAAACTCTGCTTTTAAAACTTTTCTGGGGAGGAACTGAGGAGAGCGGAGGAGAAGAGAATGGAGATACAGGTTGGTTCGCAGGGTGCTGCCTTTCAGATGGATTGCTCACAATACACGTCACAGCAGAGAGAAAACATGTCGCAAATGGTTTACTTAAAGTTTTCACATTCAAAATGATTCCCGCTGTACGTTGCAAAACATTGGTGGCAATCAAACGCCAAATATTATCAACAACTACGTTCAATCAACTGCATAAATGCACTAGTGACTTTTGACCTTTTGCATGGTGTTGGAGACGTTAGCCTCGGTTGGTACATTCTTCATGATGACAACGAGGTCGGAGGCCGTGTTACCGGAGAGGGCCGTCCCCTTCTTGTAAGACCCCGCCCCTCTCACCTCGTCCAACATCTACATACCAACACACACACACAGAGATGTATCTCAAAGGGAATGTGGCAGTATAATTATAATGGTTAAATTTACAAATGTAACCAGATAGTTAGGTTGTCTACTAAATCTTGTAATAACTCGAGTTGAACAATCTATGGCAACACACTAGGAGCAAGAGTCTCACGTGCACAACGAGTTTGAACAATCTATGGCAACACACTAGGAGCAAGAGTCTCACGTGCACAACGAGTTGAACAATCTATGGCAACACACTAGGAGCAAGAGTCTCACGTGCACAACGAGTTGAACAATCTATGGCAACACACTAGGAGCAAGAGTCTCACGTGCACAACGAGTTGAACAATCTATGGCAACACACTAGGAGCAAGAGTCTCACGTGCACAACGAGTTGAACAATCTATGGCAACACACTAGGAGCAAGAGTCTCACGTGCACAACGAGTTGAACAATCTATGGCAACACACTAGGAGCAAGAGTCTCACGTGCACAACGAGTTGAACAATCTATGGCAACACACTAGGAGCAAGAGTCTCACGTGCACAACGAGTTGAACAATCTATGGCAACACACTAGGAGCAAGAGTCTCACGTGCACAATGAGTTGAACAATCTATGGCAACACACTAGGAGCAAGAGTCTCACGTGCACAATGAGTTGAACAATCTATAGCAACACACAAGGAGCAGGACTTCGTATCGTCTCACCAGTTCTTCTCCTTCTCCGGTGAGAATGAGGTTCTCGAGGATTGTAGAGACTTTACTGCAGAATCCCTGGACTCTGGACTGCATGCAGTAAATGAATGGCAACGACATGCTACGTCAAGTGTCAAATGTTCAATTAACCTTTTACAGTGGGAATATACATAATACAAACTCAACTCAGTAATAACTAAAATTTTACCCTTCTCCAATTTTTTTAATAGGGCATGATACAAATATTTTACTTTCCCAAAAATACATATACACATGATGAATTATTATACTAACCTGTTCATCACCAGATGGTGTTATTTCCTGCACTCTCTTTGTCAGCAGCTGCAATCAACACGACGGCACGATTACTCAATGATGTAATCACTGGTCACATGACGCCCTCACCTGCGTGAGTAGAGTTTTGTCCATGAGCGGCGCGGCCTGGGGGTACACACTCCCCACTTCAGACCAGTCAAATATCGGACGTATCAGCGGAAGGGGAGGATAATCCCTATCATGTGACCATGTAGAATATCACATGATTATCACATAAAGTTGCATAACTACAGTTGGGTGGAACCCCTCTAATCCAGACACCAACGGGAAAGAGGAAAGTGTCCATATTAGTGAGGTGTCCTCTTTTTAAAAGCAGGAGGAAGCTGTTTCTGATGGAGTATCCTTATTAGGTGTCCTCATTTCAGTGGTGTTCTTAGAGAGGGGTTCGACTGTATTTCAACTCACTGAGGGTCGGGTTCCCTCGTCCTCCATCCTCCTCCACCTCCTCGTCCCCGTCCCCTCCCTCTTCCTCGCCCTCTACCACGCCCTCTCCCTCTCCCCCGTCCTCGAAACCTACCACAATGAGATATAGCACCTTCAGGTGCGCTCTAAATAGAAACCGACTATGGAAAGCGGGCTTATTACAGTTTTAGCTTGGAAAAACTCACGACATAGTAGAGATGCTGCTGGTAAAACCACTAAATTCTCACACGGTGCACACACAACAAAAATGTAAAATAGCGCCACGTGCGAAAACGAGCCTGCATGCAGGGAACAGAGGTCAAGGTTTAACGCTTAGGTCTACGCATGCGCATGCACGGTTAAATTTTGGCGCGAAACGCGAAGGAAAAACAATGGAGGAGACGAAGGCCCTACAAGAAGAGAATGGAGGAGAGGAGGGAGGTTTGGGGGCGAGAGGAGAGGCGGAGAGAGAGACGGAGGGCGGAGATAAGGAGGCAGTCGCGGAGAGGGAGGGAGAAAACCAGGCAGGAGAAGATGAGCTGTCACAGCCAGAAAAGGTGACACCTCTACCTTGAAATGTTGCATTGAGGCTTGTATGACGTTTGTATGTTGGCTGAATAACTGAATACAGTGAAACCTCTAAATAAGGGACACCTCGGGGACATCAAAGGTGTCCTTTATTCAGAAGTGTCCCTTTTGTCGGAGGTGGTATAATGAACTAATGTATTAGTATGGGGCAAAACCAAGTGTCCCTTATAGAGAGGTGGTAGGTTTTGCTAAGACCTGTATCATTAAGGTGTGATTTTTGTTCTCATAAGTCCATAAGAATTTATATGGGGGTTATAATACTAGGCGCTACATGATTTTTCTGCATATTTAAGATGCCCATGGCATCCAAAGGGTTTTAAGGTATGATTTTGTTCTCATAAGTCCATAAGTATTTATATGGGGGTTATAATACTACTTTATACATGATTTTTCTGCCATGGAATCCAAAGATATAAGGTGTGATTTTGTTCCCCTGACTACAGCCACCATCATCGTCAGCCGCCAACAATAACTCCAGATATCTGGAAAATGAAGGGTCGACTGAGAAGAAGATGAAGAAGAAGAAGCGCGACACCCAGCCAGCCTCCAGGAGAATGACAAGAGTATGTCAGTTGGTGATTGTTAGTAGTGTTTTGTGTCTAGGTTTGCCTTGTGTTGTGTTGTAGATTCGAACCCCTACCAGCTGAGTTGCCCTGGTAGCTCAGTTGGTAGAGTGCTCGCCTAGACTGCAGAGTGTCATGGGTTTGAATCCCACCCTGGGCAACTCTTCTTCTTTTCTTTGAAAAGAAAGCGCTGTCCTGGGTGTAGTTGACTTGTTTGCCTTGCCTTTCTACCTCGCTACCAAGTTGTTGAGACATGCCTGACACGCCCATGCATTTGTGTGTGTTTGTGTGTGCATAATCGGGTATGGTTCAGATGTATGGGGTGGGGTACTGTATATAGCATCTTTCAATGGCGTCCAATGGTTTAACCCAATCACCACCACCAACACCCAACTTGGCTCGCGGACACAAGCGACTACAAATGACCACCCGTGTCACCTTACAAACCCTCTACTGTCCACACATTGTACCCTTTTCAACAGACAATCCCCATTACTTCGCCATTTGCACCAACCCAACTTATCAACTTGAGCCGCCCAAAAAAACAGAATTGGTTGCCAATTTTCTCGCCAACTTGTCGGGCGGTTTTCACGGCTACATGTCCTGGGTGTGTTCGCCTGAGAGGCGTTTTGTTGGTGGCCGTGGCAACCCAGCCTTGTTCTACAAATTGGTACGAAAAGGTTAGAAATTGGGCTTGAAAAGTGGATGTGTGGTACGTCTGTGGGATAATTGCTACGTGTCTTGGAGCAAATGTTCGTGTAAAAAGATAATAAGATTTGGCCTACTGTATGCGTAGGTTTATGCAGTCTGTCTCTCTCTCTCTCTCTCTCTCTCTCCTCTATCCTCTCATTTCAACAACCCTGTATGGACTACTATTCCAAAACTTGGGAAGCAGTTTTCTTGAAAACAAAAATCTTAACTCTCTATGCACCAACTGGCCTACCTCCTTTCTAAGCAGCGGGCATTTAAAACTTTGACAGCTTTTCCCAATTGTTCTTGAACATTAACCCCGCCAACCTCTTCATCTCCACAGGCAGAGCGAGCTAGACTGGAGGCGCTGGCCTCCTTCGGAGGGACAGACCTGGCCTCGGTGGCCGTGAAGAAGAGAGACCTCAGGGAGGAACTGCAGAGAGACGTGAAACTTATGGAGCAGGGAGAAAACAAGCAGAACAGGGTTAAACGTAGATCCAGGTAACTACATTAGATCCGTTGCAACAGGGTTATTAAATAAAGAACTAGGCAGCTACGTCACAACAGGGTTAATTTTAGGTCCAGGTAACTACATTAGGGTTATCTAGAACCAGGTTACTTTGTCCCAGAAGGGTTAAATCTAGAATCATATCACTAAGTCACAGAAGGGTTAAATCGGCATTCTGAATATCTTGACTATAGCTGGAGTGTGCAGTGTAAAAGAGTAGGGTGGCCTAAAATTCTACTTTTAGCAAGAAGGGGGGGAAAGGACAGACAAACCAACCATTCTGAATACCTGACTATAGCTGGAGTGTGCAGTGAATAAGAGTAGGGTGGCTCAACCTTTCGTACTTTAAGCAAGAGGTGGGAAGGGAGAAGGACAGACCAACCAACACATTCTGAATACCTTGACTATAGCATGGAGTGTGCAGTGTAAAAGAGTAGGGTGGCCTAAAAATTCGTATACTTTCAGCAAGAAGGGTGGGAGAAGGACAGACCACCACCATTCTGAACACCTTGACTATAGAGCTGGAGTGTGCGTGTAAAGAGTAGGGTGGCCTAAACATTTCGTACTTTTAGCAAGAAGGTGGGGAGAAGGACAGACCAACCAACCATTCTGAATACCTTGACTATAGCTGGAGTGTGCAGTGTAAAAGAGTAGGGTGGCCTAAACATTTCGTACTTTCAGCAAGAAGGTGGGGAGAAGGACAGACCAACCAACCATTCTGAATACCTTGACTATAGCTGGAGTGTGCAGTGTAAAAGAGTAGGGTGGCCTAATGCATGTTTTTGACAGTTAGTGAGCAAGTTAAATGTGTGCAATTTCGATGTAGGACGCAGCAGAACTCCAGCGATGGTGTGAAAGATGTGCTGTTTGGTGAAAGGGCGGTGACAAGAAAGAGAAAACTTGAGTAAGAACCACAGAACTGTACGGAATTCATTTTAGTGGGCTGTGGTGCATGACGGTGTGTGTGTAAGAATACAATATTACTATGTGTATACATATTGGCCATACATTATGTAAGAGCCAATGTCTGGGAAGAGTTGTTCAATAGTTTGGTTTTATGGTGCATGACTGTGTATCGTGCAAAAACTGTCGCACACATACATTATACGTTATAGCACCACATGAAGATATTAGACCATGTGATGCCAAGAGAATAAAGAAGCTGCACTATGGCCATACATTATGTAATTACAATATCTGGGAGGAGAACTGTTTATGTTTATGTATTGGACTTATGGGAATTCAGAGGGATCCATATCGTTACATTGGCCAGCACCTTCTCTCCCTTGTACCGCCCCATACAACTGGCTGGCTCTGTGCATACTACCTACCTCTCATTAGGCTGCTTGCTTCAAAGCTGTTTGTTGACATGTGCTGTTCTGATACCCGCTGCGGGAGGTGTGCATTACAGGGGTGTGGGTCGCTGTGTATTCAGTCCACGTGCCTAGTTAGACCAGTTTTGGCATTTGAGTGGCATCGCTTAACGCCTTTTACGAGACGCTAACTCGTTTTGGGGGCTTCTTTTGGTGTGTTATTACTACGAAGCACCCTCCCTTGCTATTTCTTGGTATCTCTCTATTCTTAGAGTTTCGTCAGGCGTGGTTGGCTCAGGGCCACGTGAACCGAAGACGACTCGCCGAATGACTAAAGCTGAGAAGGCTCGGTTGGATGCACTGCAGAGCTTCGGAGGGTGTGGTTTCAACGATGTCCTTGCCACGTCGAAGAGGAAGATAGCCAGAAACTTTGAGATGAAGGCGGAGAAGGAAGGGGGAGAGGAGGAGGGAGAGGTGGAGAGTGCCGAAAAGGAGGAAGGGAGGGAGGGAGAGGAGAAGGAAGTAGAGGGTAAATTGATGGAAGAAAAGGACAACAGTGTTTCTACAGTTGAAACCTGAAACTCATGATAAAAAGGAACATTTTCATGTACTGCATCCTTTATTTATGTTTTGCAGTCGTCACAACTTACCGAATACCACTATACCACTATACTAACCTTTCATGCTTCTATTATTGTTCTCTATGGTTTTTTGCGCATGCGCGGTTTCGAAGGTGCGATATAAAGGTAGGTGCGCGTACGCTGCGGCGCGGGGAAGGAGAGAGCGGGGATCGGAGATATGGCAGTTGTTGAACGGAGTACTGTGTCTCTGGCTGTGCTGCTACTGACGCTCTGTGGACAGTTTCCGAGTGCAGTTCCGCAAAGTACGTTGCAACATCCGCATGAAAATTGGTGCATGGGCGAGCTTGTAGCTACCGAAGCATACTAGTCTTCCGTTTTCTGCTCGAATTGAGTGCAAAAACCTATTAGTGCAGACCAGAGTGCAAGATTGCTGCAAATGAATGCTGGTAAATAGCCTGCAGAGATCACAGGTCTTTGGCTGCATGTGTTAGGGAGAATTTAAAAAAAAGATAGTTGTATTAGCTATGTAGAATAAAATAATGCAGGTTGCTTAGGGCACAATAATTGCAGAAGAAAACCTTTATGTGCCAAATGCATCATGATCTGACGTAGCTACATGTATTCACACCATACACACACAATAATATTAGCTATATAATTATATTGCAACACTTTAGGATTGTGTCATTAATTGTGAACACGCATGTGAATCCGTTGCAAACAGTGACAGCCAAAGAGGAGACCTATAGTCACCAGTCTTAGCAACCGAAGCCGGCAATTACCCGGTTGTTAAGATCCATTGACTCATCATAATGAGATCTTTTCCACCCTGTCCCTGTACGACATGGTGCTGTTGGCACTCTGTCCACTGAGCTGACTGGGAGGGTGATCTAAGGATAAGGGGCCATTGTTCCAGTGGTCTAGGGTGTTGTTGATCAGAAGGTGTGGAGTGAGGGGAGGTGGGGGGGGGGTGGGGGGGGGGGGGTGGGGGGGGGGTTTTTTTTTTTTTGTTTTTTTTTTTCTTTTTTGTTTTTTTTTTTTTTTTTTTGTATAGTGTTTTTTTTTTTTTGTGGTTGTTTTTTTTTTTTTTTTTTTTTCTTTTTTTTTTTTTTTTTATTTTATTCTTTTCTTCCTTTTCTTTTTTTTTTTTTTTTTTTTTTTTTTATTTTTTTTTTACTTTTCTTGTCTTTTTTGATTTTATTTTTTTTTTCTCTTTTTTTTCTCTTATTTTTCTTTTTCTTTTTTTTTTTTTTATCTTTTGTTTTTTTCTCTTCTTTTTTTTTTTTCTTTTCCCTATTTTTTTTTTCTTGTTTTTCTTTCTACTTTTTTTTTTTTTCTTTTTTTTTATTTTTTTTGTGTTCGTTTTTTTTTTTTTTGTTCTTTTTTTTTTTTTTCGTCGCTTTTTTTTCTTTCTTTTTTTTTTTGTTTCTTTCTCCTTTTTTTTTTTTTTTATTTTTTTTTTTTTTTGTTTTTTTTTGTTTTTTTGTTTTTTTTTGTCTTTTGTTGTTTTCTTTTTTTTTTGCTTTTTTATTTCTTTTTTGTGGGTGTTTTTTTTTTGTTTTTCTGTTTTTTGTTTTTCTGGTAGTTGTTTTGGGGGTGTTTTTGTTTTTTTTTTGCCTTTCTTTTGTTGGGTTTGCTTGTTTTTCTGTTTGTTTGTTGGTGTGTTTTTTGTGTTTTAGACTTTGTGTTTTTACTGGGCTTGTCTTGGTTGTGGGTTCTTTTTTTTTATTTTTAATTTTGTTCTTTTTTCTTTATTTTTTTTTTTTTTTTGTTGTGTCCGCCCCCGCGTTCTCTCCTCTTGGAAGAGACATAAGCAAGAGGGAGGGGATATGTAAAGGCATAGAATAGTATTTCTAATGGACATAATTTATTTAGAGATGAGGTAATGTTATGAGGGTGATTATCCCACTATTCACTGACAATTTGTACTGAAACAGCTTCAGAACTGGAGAGCTAGCCAAACACTATCCTGCCATTCAACAGTACACAGCCACACCTCATGTTCTATGACTAGCTAGCTAAACATGCTACGGGTTTACAGTCTTTGTTTTTTGTTTTTTGTGCTATTTGTGTCTGTCACAGATGAAGAGGTCTCAAGTATGCCAAGTCCTCCCACAAATGTCTATTTCACTGCAACGTCCGATGGAAGAGGTGCCCCTCTAATAAGAGCCACTTGGAGCAGAGAAAGCTGGTGTAACGGGTCGTGCGGCTACGTCGTCACTTGCTGTATCCCTGGACAAGGGATAGAGATCAACACTACAGTTTGGGAGTCAAAATTGCCACACTCGGAAACAATCAGGGTCAACGTCACAGGGGTCAACCCCGCAACGAGATACGTGTGTAAAGTGGCAGCGTTCAATGCGTATGGGATTGGAAACACCGGATCTAACGTTTTTGTTGAAACAATGGAGATTGGTAAGAGAAAAATCTTCTTTACTCCTATAATATCACTGCAATACGTACAGTGAAACTTCTGAATAAAGGAAACATTGGGGATGTCGACTTTTTAGGGACGTCCCTTATTAGGAGGTGATGTAATGCATTGGTATGGGGCAGAACAAAGTGTCTGCTATAGAGGTGTCCTATATTCAGATTGTCCTTTCTTGGAGTTGTCTATCCTTCTTTTCCCTTCACTCACAGCTCCCCTAAACTCCCCAACTGATGTCTATGCTTCTGACATAGGCACTGATAGTTTCCGTGTCAACTGGCGCTACAGCGAAACTCCGCCCCCTGGCACTATCAGCAGTTTCAAGATCGGACTCTACTACAAAGACAGCCGTTACCCCAGTCGCCATGGCGAACACATCCGTGACATGACCTTTGCCCTCTCGGAGATAGACAGGTGGTCTTTCACGTTTTCGTACCTTGTGATGTACCTTGACCCCGGGATGGAGTACAATGTGTTGATTAGTGCGATGACATCAGCAGGGGAGGGGCCTCCCGCTAGGATTGGACAAAAGACAATGAATACTGGTAAAGACACTGCATGATTTCAATGACCTCATCCTTGTAATTGTATATAAGGGCTAAATTTAGAAATGTTACTAAAGACAGAACAAAACAATAGGGGCACAGTGAAGAATGTAATTGACTTCCGTTTTTAGTAAATTTGGCCCTTTTATACTGCCACATTCCCTTTAAGAAGTGCAAATCCATAATTAGTCAATAATCGTTCTTTGTTAGCAGTTTGAATACATCTCCCTCTCATACTATGGCATCGGTGCTAACACACTAAGCTTTCAATTGTTAATTGTTATGTTCTCTCTCTGTCATGCAGTACCAATGCTTGTTCCTCACGAAGTGACTGGTAATATTGCCTCCTTCGTTAGTTCCGAACCTCCCGCCTTCTCTGTGTCCTGGTCGGTACAAGACAGAGATCATCACCTCCTCCACAGTATAGCTGGGTTCGTCATATCCTGCTACGCCAACCGCACCGCCTCAACGGAGCCAATCAGAATATCAGAGCCTCTATTTGTCGCGGAAGAACCACCAACTTGCAGGGTCCGTTGTACGGACTGGTCTACTTCCCCAACACCTGTGGAAGTGGAGTCAGCCCTGAGGTTGAGTGCAAAGTAGCTGCCTTCAACTCGGAGGGAGAGGGAAGGCAAAGCGAGCCGGTACTACTGGCTTTTCCCTGCTCTTCTGGTGAGATCAAATAAATCAAAACATGCCTCTCCTCTCGTTCCTTGTTCTCTCTCGTAAAGGGAATATGATAAGGACAGTAGGGCCCAAATGCAAGAATTAAGTTTCCATTTATAATGAAAAGCACTAAAGTGCAAACCCTCGGCACACTATATAGAAATGTGGAACCCATACACAAGTGTGGCACCACCACAATTGATGGTCTTGACCATGCATCAAAAAGAACAGCATGTTATGCACTATTTCCATGGATTATTTTCAAAAAATGGCAAGCCCCATTTCTGTTTGAGGCCAAAAAATATATAAGGTTGAAAATTTGCCAACCTCTCTATTAATTTTCGGATTACCTGTGGATTGTTTAGTGCAAAAAAACAAATCTAAGGTTGGAAAAAAATTTTAAAACGGCCAGCCCTTCATCTCTCCAGACAGACGTCTACGGACGCAGTGCTATGCCCAACTGTACGCTGCCCTTTGAGAAATCACAGGACCTCACGATCAAGAGAGGGGGTGCTTATCCATCAGACCACCACCATTACTTGATGGGAACAGTGTAAATGAAAAGCACTAAAGTGCAAACCCTCAGCGAAGTAGGCTCGCAGAGAGTCTGACACGGGCTAGCTACAGTAGTAGATAGCACGCGAGAGTCGATACACGCCATTCGTTGTGACTTCTTATGCCTTCAAGATAATAATAGACAGAGCAAGCGGACCCGGTCGAGGTGCCTAGCGCCTGTGCTAAATATAAGCGCATGCGCATTATCCGCCAGCGATAAAATGGCGACTATACCGGCTGGAAGCGCTCTAGCTCTGCAACGGATCATTTTCAGAGAAAACCCCACATATTTTCTGACCCTCGTCGCCCGTTGGGTAGATGGTATCGTTTCTGGGACCAACAGACACCCGAGAAGTGAGATTGAGAGTAACAGACAGACAGACAACAGACAAACCCAACTACAGAACCCTCGCTGCGCCGATGCCGATGGGCACTAATTGATGGGTCAAAGAGAAAGTCGGCTCGACTGCTGTATTTTCTAAGGCGTCTTTCTATGCCTTAGCTCTGTGACTGACACTGTTTTGTTCGTGTGTATGGCGTGGGAGACCCTCTGACGGGTGTGGGGTGCCTACCAGGGATTTCGAGCAACAGGCAACTGCTAGACGCGGACACGTGGCGTCTGTATCGTGGACGTCATGGTGGGATGGGTAGCCCCTTTGGTTCGTGTTGCCGACAGTCTGTGATGGTATCTCACCTCTGCATCGCCCCCGCAACCCTGATCTACGGTGGTATGAGGTTACAGGCAAGTCAACTTGAGTGACTTCAGCCCTGTTAGACACGAACGCGTGGCATCTGTTGGATGTCATGGCGGGATGGGTAGCCCCCTTGATTCGTGCTGCCGACAGTGCTGTCTTTGCCTATCACCAGACTTGCCGTTCTCACCTAAACCCCTATGTCTCTCAATGTTCCATTATTTTTTGTGTGCGTGTTGTGTTACGTTTGATGATTGATTGAATAACAGTTTCTAAATTTAGCCCTCACGTACCTACTGTCACAAACCGACTTCATGACTGATCCACAAACAGATTCATGCAAAACACTACAAGATCATTTCACTCTCTCTCTCCTCTCCTCTTCCCCCTGCAGAGAGCCCAGGAGTGCTGGAGTCGTCATTTCTCTCCAACGGCACCTCCTCCCTGGCCCTGGTTCTCTCTTTGTCCCTCCTGGTGCTGTGTCTCCTCTCCATCTCCCTCCTCCTCTGTATCCGCACTCCCTGCTCCAGCAACCAGCAGCGAAAGAAGATCTCAGACTCCATGTCCGTTGGTGAGACGGCCAAGATTGATCGCAACCATTCATACATTCAGACGGTCAAGATTGGTAGCCTCAGATTGCAACCATTCATACATTCAGACGGTCAAGATTGGTAGCCTCAGATTGCAACCATTCATACATTCAGACGGTCAAGATTGGTAGCCTCAGGTTGCAAACCATTCATACATTCAGACGGTCAAGATTGGTAGCCTCAGTTTGCAACCATTCATACATTCAGACGGTCAAGATTGGTAGCCTCAGATTGCAACCATTCATACATTCAGACGGTCAAGATTGGTAGCCTCAGATTGCAACCATTCATACATTCAGACGGTCAAGATTGGTAGCCTCAGATTGCAACCATTCATACATTCAGACGGTCAAGATTGGTAGCCTCAGATTGCAACCATTCATACATTCAGACGGTCAAGATTGGTAGCCTCAGATTGCAACCATTCATACATTCAGACGGTCAAGATTGGTAGCCTCAGATTGCAACCATTCATACATTCAGACGGTCAAGATTGGTAGCCTCAGATTGCAACCATTCATACATTCAGACGGTCAAGATTGGTAGCCTCAGATTGCAACCATTCATACATTCAGACGGTCAAGATTGGTAGCCTCAGATTGCAACCATTCATACATTCAGACGGTCAAGATTGGTAGCCTCAGATTGCAACCATTCATACATTCAGACGGTAAAGATTGGTAGCCTCAGATTGCAACCATTCATACATTCAGACGGTCAAGATTGGTAGCCTCAGATTGCAACCATTCTAACACTTTCCATACAAATTTTCGATGAGGTAATATCAAATGTAGCTGAGCAGTAACCTATACCAAAACCAAATTGTTCAAGCATATAAAACTGTCAAGAACAGGTGCACTTTTTCAGTGTACATGAGCATATTTGTGATGCAAAGTATATACAAGAATGAGTGACATATTTTGTGTTAATCTGTTCATTCAGATGATAACTATGTCCCAATGGCCTCCACTGAAGCTGGCATCAAGTCGCGGTGGTCAGGTAAGAATTATTACCAATGATGTCATCATTATGTAATCCACCACTCGTGACCAACAGTGGAGAACTCGTCGGTGGTGATGGGTCCTCGTACCAGCTCAGTGGGTGTGATCCTGATCGACCCCCCTTATGACGAAATCCCGGCTGACCGGACGGACAATCTGTATGACGAGATTCATCCTCGTGTCTCGCAGCTGGCCGGCTCCACCAATCAGCTGGACTCTGGCTCTTCTCTGGACAGTACGTATACTATAATAATACTGATAATAATACAGTGGACTATGGGTGTAATGCTAGTCATGTGTATAGCCCTTCTGAAGTGCTGTTTTCTTTCTCTTTTCTCGTATATAGCGTGAGCTGTTCAGTTTTCATGTGACTTGTGGTCGCATTGCCCAAATACTATTCTTCTATACCTCACTGTATCTTGCAGTTTAGTACACAATTGAGACTATACCTTCTATACCTCACTGTATCTTGCAGTTTAGTACACTATACCTTCTATACCTCACTGTATCTTGCAGTTTAGTACACTATACCTTCTATACCTCACTGTATCTTGCAGTTTAGTACACTATACCTTCTATACCTCACTGTATCTTGCAGTTTAGTACACTATACCTTCTATACCTCACTGTATCTTGCAGTTTAGTACACTATACCTTCTATACCTCACTGTATCTTGCAGTTTAGTACACTATACCTTCTATACCTCACTGTATCTTGCAGTTTAGTACACTATACCTTCTATACCTCACTGTATCTTGCAGTTTAGTACACTATACCTTCTATACCTCACTGTATCTTGCAGTTTAGTACACTATACCTTCTATACCTCACTGTATCTTGCAGTTTAGTACACTATACCTTCTATACCTCACTGTATCTTGCAGTTTAGTACACTATACCTTCTATACCTCACTGTATCTTGCAGTTTAGTATCTGAGATTAGCACAAGCTACAAACAGAGTTATAAACAGACTTTAACCTGTGCCTATGGGACCTTACTCCTGTGATAATGCCCCGATCTCTCAACCCACAGGACCTAGCACCATTCGTACAGGCCACACACACTCCCAGCTGAAGACTGCATCTACAGACAATGCCAGTTCCAGCAGTCAGCCGAGTCTCCAGACCATTCCACTCCCGTCCCCATCCCACGCTGAGCCCGGAAACCGAGATTCTACCATGACTCAATATATTGAACTGTCTTCGTCTCTTCTAGGAGGTGAAGGAAGTAATGGCAACGTCATTCGCTACAGCATGGCAGACAGCGGAGTCAATATGACATCACCCAACATGGAACCCGGTTCCGAACTGCCACGGAATGGAGACGTGGAAAATGTCAGGTTCCGCCGCTACCCGTACTTTGTGACCCAGATTCCTCCGAGTGGCTCGGGGGTGGTGACGCGAGACGGAGATTCCGAGAGTTCGTACTACAATACCATGATCCCATTCTCGGTTCTCGGTACCGGCGACAAGGAGGGAGTGGAACGGAGTGGGGACACGAGAGGGCTGACTGATGTGGACACTGAGAGTGGAGTTGGAATGGAATCCCAGGTATTTGGTTATGGGCTTTCACCTCCATTTCTTGTGGAACTTCAGTTTATCGTGACAACTCACTGAATTGTGCTCTGTTTTTTAGTTTACACTTTAGATCAGTGTTCTGTGTAATACATACATTGTCTATAATTGATAAATATGCATGAATGATCATGCAAGCTACATTCAGGTTCAGAAACGTAATTTGCTACATTTATATATATATACAGGTGTCAGAGAGGAGTACAACGGGTCAGTGTTCGATGGAATGTGGCCATCAGGGAGGGACGACTGTGATATCCACGGTGGGGAAGACAGAGAAGGGAGGGAGAGGGAGGAGAGGGAAGAAGAAATGGAGCGGAGTTGTCGAGAGGGAGAGTATCTGTGAAGATGGCATGGAGGAGAGGGAGGAGGAGGAAGAGGGGGAGGAGGGTGCGAAGGAAAGAGGAGAGAAGGACGGCGAGAGTGGAAGCGATGATGAGGCTGAACCAAAGGAGAGTTGAACTGTGTACCAATAATCATTGACTGTGAACGGAACTGCTTCAATGATGTATAATCTGCACGTATTACATGTTTCGCCTTATGCGCATGCGCAAAACGATATACACGTTTACCGCAAACAGATGTTCTTCAGAATTTATGCAAGATGCGATAAACGTCGGTTTGTGCACTGATTACTCGCTCTGTCTCGTTTTTGTGGGCCGACCAATCTTGGTATATATAACACTACTAGTCGCCGGCCGGTGTTCGATGTGACACGTGAGAAAATGGCTGGAAGGTGCAGGTCTCTCGTTCTTCTTCTCTTTATGCACGTCCTGTCAGGTCAGTAGCATCTCATTGAACTAGCTATGGCCTTGCTGCATGTGCTACGTACGTGCATGTGAACATCGGGGTGAACTGTATACGGCTGGGTTCATGCTAACTCGTTCCCCCGAAAATATGAAGTAGAGATGCAAACAGTAGCATAGCTGTGTAGCTAGCTAGAAGGCTTGAGCTCGAGTACTTGGGATGCGCACGTTGTGCACAGACGTGCATAATGTTTACTGCTGTTTAGTGAGTGCATGCAATGCATACTACTATACTATACTCCGTACAGCTAGGTCACACGTTTTCTGTTCCATACGTAGCTTAAATGTCAGATGTGCCACAAATTGCCATACATACCAAGTATCCCTACCCAACTATAACTGCTATGGCTGCGCAAGCTCAACATAATTATATACAAGCTAGATACATGTACCTCATTGAGAATATTCTTGTATGTACCTTTGCAAACGTAGGACAGTTGAAAGTGGGGGGAAAGTAGCACTTAGTTGGGGAAGGCCTGGGAATGAGGCTGAGTTTACTGTGGGGAGTTTTAAATGTTTGTTGCAGTAGTTTAACATATCTGCTCCTATATGAGCCTGGTATCTATTGAGCAACGGCTGCAGCAGACTTTGTGGTTGTATGTCAGTCGAGAGTTTCCCTTGTGTTGTGTGTTCAACTAGAGTTCTCATGGGTAAAAAATTCCCCTGTGTTATGGTGTTGATACACACCCAGTGATGTTAATACTACCTTTCTCCCTTTGCCTTCTGTTACTCTCTCCCACCATCTCTCTCTCTCCCTCCTTCTTACTCTCTCCGTTTCTCTCACCCCCCCCCAATATGGCAAACTAGTTAGTCAGTGTAGTATGCTGGCTTAGCTTCATTGTGACGATTGCCATTCTTTTTTTATTCATTCAGCTACGTACATAGCTATCATGTGACCTAAGGGATCACTGCTTACATGTAGAGCTAAAGCTTTCTTTTCCAGTCGCCACTTCCTCCACTGCTGTGTTAGTTCCAAGCTATACGTGTGACGCAGGAAATTATATGTAACTGATGGGAGGGATACAACTAGTTGTTGTTTTCGCAGCACTACATAGCAGTACTATCGCAAAGTGTATTATCATCACAGTATGTATACACAAGAGACCAGGTCTATCCACTAACACAGGCTCTGCACAGACTGTGCCGTGCTTCACTGGACTTGGTTGTGGTTCTGGTAGTGTTGGCCTACAGGTTTCAGCATTGGCCTGCTGTAGCATGGCTGATACTCTCTCATTCAGACGTACAGTGGACGCCGAATCATGCTTTACATGTTATGGTAAGCTATACTGACATCAGTGTTTGGAACTGATTTTTTTGGTTCTATCAGGGTTTGGATGGGTACAGAATATCAGCAGTGATTTGACATCAGCTGAGCCTCAGACTGAAATAACTGCTGTGGAAGGACAGACTGTCTCCCTGACACTTTTCTACACTAAGAATAATCCACCAAATTCCCTCCGAATAGACTTTAACATTCAGACCTCTGGTTCAGCAACAGGTATTTAGTTATGTGTTGTTTGTCTTATTTATTAGATGACTGTTGTACTGTTTTGCATGTTTTGATGATTACTGTGTTTCTCCTACAGAGGGAGTGGACTATGTTGTCACTCCAGATCCAGCTAGTGTTTTCATGGACGAAGTGTCACTGCAGTTGGTCCCAGTCACAGTTAATGTCACTCTAGTCCCTGATGGTATAGGAGAAGAAGGGACTGAAGACATTGTACTCACTCTAGTGCAGCTTCCACCGTTCGAACCCGAGCGTGTTCTCATCAACCCAACAGTCAGGATCCGTGTCGAAGATAATGACAGTATGTATAATAGTAGTTGGAAATTATATCACATTGTGATAATGCACTATAACCTTGTTCACAATCTCAATCACCACAGTTTCATACGTTCCAGATTAGAGAAAATAGCCAAAGAGAAGCCTTATATGTCGTCTTCTATTCTATCTTATCTTTTTCCTCCTTTCTTTCTCTGTATAGTTGAGCTGCTAGCCTACATACATTAATTAGTGACATGTTTTGTGCCATATCGGAGTGTTCAGTGTGTATGTCTCAGAGTGTCATTTTTCAAGCCACAACTTGGGTTCAACATGACATCCCTGCAGCTTGCTTTCCTTAAAAGTTTTGTGCAGATCCCGATGCTATTTTGAAGGCACACGGCTTTGTATCTATTCAGATTCTGCCAGTGCACCATCTTTAAATGGTATATAGCACACTGACTGCACAAAGCTGATGCAGTAGTGGCCAGCATGAGTGGGTGTGTGGTTTGCCTGCCTTCACTCTGTTTGACAGCTAATGTCACCCTTCCCTCTGTACTCTTGCTACATGAAGGGTAGTACACTAGTGCAGGTGAAGTTTTGCATCCTATAAGGAAAGCATAGTAGGTCAAGGTTTAAGGGGAAGAGCCAGCAAACCCTTGTCAAGCCCACACATCCAATGGGCAGAAAATAAGGTCTAATGGGATAATGCTGCCACAATCTCTATAAGTAGCAATACATTTGTTGGCGAGCGAAGTGAGCAGCTAAATTGTTGCGTGTGTTTTAGAATCACATACAACATTACTGTATCATAATGACTGAATCAGTTGTTATCTTTCATATTGAATTGCGGATTTGTTTCATTGTCACAGTTCAGACTGGGTTCAGGACGCCGGGGGATGGATGTATCCCAGAGGGTGTGTTGCAGGAGATCTGTCTGACTACTGTTGGATCTCCTGCAGTGGATACTGTGCTAACTGTCTCCGTCACTTATGACACTGCTGGACCTGAAGGTAAGGGGACCATGTAGCTACCATACATTTGAAGGATAAATCTCTTGGAATACATGGCAAACTTTGCAACTCCCTTTGGTGTAAAAACTATTGTGTTGGCCCTCCAACCACATAATGCACAAAATATTCCCACTGTAATAACTCCTGCTGGCTATATGTAGAAATACACAGTTTTGAATCATACTCTAATTTCAGTTTACAAACTTAGCATGAACACATGCATTATGCTGTGTTGTGACCATGTGCAGACTTCGATCTGATCACACCACAAGTGACCATCACTGAGACTATGACTGAGCCGTGTGTGAGTTACCAGGCCATAGCAGATGATCTGGGACTGGAGGGAGTGGAGAACCTCACTCTGTTTCTTAGTGGACCTCCCAATGTACAACTGACTACTGCCTCTCTACACATCTGCATTCAGGACTCTGACGGTAAAGACTATTACAATGTACATAGTCTCCACTATACAAGTAACTTTTTCGGCTATGTTTACATAGTTGTGCATGCAGTGGAAATGCACAGATCAGCCTTTGGTCTTTTCAGCATCATAATAATTATATTATGAACAGTCTCACTAAAAGTCTGATCCACAGCAGCTATAAAACTCAGACCAACCAGCCATACATTATTGTAGTTACTCACATAACCAACTACCCCACCTAAGAAAACTCAGTTGCACATTGCATCATCATCATCATAAACTATTGATTACTTGTCAGAATTGCTTGCTTCATCAAAGAGACAATTTTACTTCATCTTTTTGTGATTTTCAAAGCTCTCTGATCAATAAAGGTTTTCTGTTTGCACTTCAGGTTGCGCGCATGCTACGTTCAGCGTTCGAGTCTTACGTAACGGACTGCATGCGCATGCGTGATCTGTTTTCGGATGCGTCCAAATTCTGCTGCTGCGAGGAGTGACACTTACTGCAGAATGTCACTAACTCTTTGGGTCCACGCAACTGCCCTCCTTTATTGTACCTTCCTTCACCAAGGTATGGCAAACTAGTGTAGTATGCTGGCTTAGTCCCAGCGATCATAGTGGAGTCGTCCGGCCGAAGTTAAATGATGGGAGGGCTACAACTAGTTGTTTTCGCAGCACTACATAGCAGTACTATCGCAAAGTGTATTATCATCACAGTATGTATACACAAGAGACCAGGTCTATCCACTAACAGGCACTGTCCCGTGCTTCACTGGACTTGGTTGTGGTTCTGGTAGTGTTGTGGAACAGGCTTCAACATTGGCCTGCTGTAGCATGGCTGATACTCTCTCATACAGACCTACAGTGAACAGCGAATCATGCTTTACATGTCATGGTAAGCTATATTGACATCTGTGTTTGGAACTGAACTTTTTTGGTTATATCAGGGTTTGGATGGGTACAGAATATCAGCAGTGATTTGACATCAGCTCAGCCTCAAACTGAAGTAACTGCTGTGGAAGGACAGACTGTCACTCTCACACTTTTCTACACTAAGAATAATCCACCAAATTCCCTCCGAATAGACTTTAACATTCAGACCTCGGGTTCAGCAACAGGTGTGTGTATGACTGATTTTACCAACACTTTATGTATACCCTGTTCTACTGGATTCTCCTACAGAGGGAGTGGACTATGTTGTCACTCCAGATCCAGCTAGTGTTTTCATGGACGAAGTGTCACTGCAGTTTGTCCCAGTCACAGTTAATGTCACTCTATCCAGTGATGGTATAGGAGGAGAAGGAACTGAAGACATTGTACTCACTCTAGTCCAGCTTCCACCGTTCGAACCCAAGCGTGTTCTCGTCAACCCAACTGTCAGGATCATTGTCGAGGATAATGACAGTATGTATTGTAGTAGTGGGAGATTTTTGTCACATTGTGATGATGCACACACCTATAACCTTATTTCGCAATCCCCGATCACCACCCAGGAGAGCAAGGAGAGGTGGTATGGGAGATGGGAATGGTTGGAGTCACGGAGGGAAGTGGGTCAGTGGAGGTCTGTGCCAACTACACTGAAGCGGTCGAGGGATTCACCGTGGAGACATCTACCACAGAAGTCTTTGCCCGTAAGTCTACTACAGCAGTTCTTTATCTTTCAGTCCTCTGCAGTTGCTATAGTTTTTAGAGTTCTTTACGGTTATTTTTCAGTCCTCTACAGTTACTAGTGTACTGTAATAACAGCAGCAAAAAAGTTTTGTGGTTTGAGAGCCCAACAGGTTGTAAAACTGTGTACAACTGCTGGCTGTTTGTGTGGTAGTAAAGTTTGGTGGGCGGTGGCTCTTTGCTGGTGCTTTGATCTCACTCTTACTACCTCCTGCCTCCCTCTCTGTGGCTTTTACTAACTATTGAAGCGCTGACTACTATGGTTTCTTCTCACAGGAGTTTGCCGTTTTGGGTAGTATAGTAGACTTTGAACCCATGCCTGCCGAGCACTCTGCCTATACTGCAGTGTCATTGGTTCGAGTCCCTCCCAGCATATAGAAGACTAGCCTCTTAACAACAGTGCAGAGTAATGTCTGTGGCCATTAGATTAGTGGGGAAGGATATTAATGACTTACAGAACAGATGGCTAGACCTCATCTTTTATCTTCACGTTGGGAAAAACCAACATGTTTTACTTCCACACTTAGTTATCTTGCTATGTAGAGCTAATATGTTGCAAGAACTGAGAAAGAAGGCTTTTAGTGGGCGGGTGGGAAGGGTTAAACACAGAACAAGAAAGCCGTTGAATGGCAAGGGTCAAACGCAGGAAGAACTGAGCAAGAAATCTGGCAGGTGGGCAAAGGGTTAAACGTATCAATAACTGGTGAGTGGGCAGGTGGGCAAAGGGTTAAACGTAGCAAGAACTAAACAAGGATGCTGTTGAATGGGCGGGTGAGGAAAGGGTTAAAGAAAGGGAGAACTGAACAAGAAAGCGGTTGAGTGGGTGTGTGAGTAAAGGGTTAATCTAGCGAAAACTCAACAAGAATGCTGTGGTGCAACGGTCTCTAGTATACAACTTGCCCACAGTAGTGGGGCAGGGATTGAGTGGGAGAGATGGGGAGAGTAAGAACAGCTTGACTTATCAGCCGGACAGATGGATCCAGTCTCCCTCTATGTCAACTACATGCCTGCACTATAATAGCAGCCACATGAAGCAATGCTGAATGGGTATAACTGCACTGTAGTATGTCATAGTTTAGAGAAGGATGTGGTGAGCCCATGTGTTGACTGAATTGCATGATTATTGTGTTGCATGATTATTGCGTTTGTATGTTGCTGTTCTACTATTCGCTCACACCAAAAATGATGTTGGTGTACATTAGCATTACTAAGCAACTGCTTTTGTGCACGTATTCACTTAGTTATTGTTTCTTGCCTGCTGAGCTGCCCTGGTTTATATATATAGCACCATAGAAAAAATACTTTCCTTAAAAAAATATTTCCGAAGAGTTTTCTTGTGTGTCGTTGATTACCTTGCAGCCTCCAAGGTCGAGGAAAAAAACTCACCTTCTCGCCTTACACCTCGCATAAGATGCTTTCTAAAACGAGAGTTTAGGACACTTACTAATGCAGCAATGCTATGAAGCTCCTAAGCGGTGGACACTTTTGAGGTTGACATAATTTAATATACACTAATGAATGGGTATGGAAACAATTTTGGAATGATGAACACATAACACAGTAAATGAAGCACTACACCACTTACAGTACCCTGAAACGAGGACACCTCTTTAACAAGGACACCTGTTCTTTCCCCAAGAACAGCTCTTGCACTGAATTTAACCCCTGAAGTACTAATGTGGACAGTTTATTCTGTCACATTGGTGTCCGGAATAGAGGGGTTCCACAGACATTGTGTATATTTATAGTGTGTCAACATCAGCAAAGTAGAGACTACTATAATATACGTAAGGCTGCTTGCAGTGTTGGATCATTCACAATGTTCAACGGCTTGTGATACAGACTGTTTGCCCACTCTTCGCCCACTCTGTGTGTGCTGATTGCATTCCTCTGCTATTCTCAGTTACCGTGCACTTTTGACCACGTGTGCAACAATCAGGCCAAGAAATCCTCATGTAGGACTCTTCAAACCAGTTCTTTTGCGTATTTTTCGGTTTTCCTTGCTGTTTTTTTCATCTGCTCACTGACCTCCTTCCTTTCCCCTTCTTCCTCTCTCCCTCCCCTTTCTTACTCTCTCCCTTCCCTCTCCTCCCTCCCCCCCTCCCCAGTCAATGGATCAGACTTCCTAGCTCAGATAGGGCCCACGGCTCACCTGGTATGGAATGCAGGCTCCACAATAGCCTGTGTCTCCATTCCAATCATTGACGACGAGCGAGTGGAAAATGATGAGATATTTTACGTCAACATGGTCCGAATCGTCAACTCGCCCTCGGGGGATGATCCTCGTCTGGTGCCCCTGGCGATTATCATGATCATGGACGACGATTGTAAGCACGTTTATTGTTTACAGACACTTTGTCTCTAAGGGATTATAGAGTAATTAGTTTTTTTTTGGTATTTTTCGTAGTTCACCTTTTGCTTCTGGTTTTCTAACTAGTTCATGTTTCTTCTTTTTTTCTTCTTCTTTTCCTTCTCTCCCCCCCCTTCCTCCCTCATTCCTGCATCTCTCTTCCCTTTTCTCTTTACTATTTTCTCTTCCTTCCTTCTTCACTCCCTCCCTACCCCAGTGATTCCAATAGTTTTCACAGTAGACAGTATCGTCACCACCGACGACCAGCCAGCTGTCGAGGCGTGTCTTGAAGTCGATAACGAGCTCGTTGATGAGAATGTGGCCTATCGGATACCCATCGCCGTGGAAACTCAAGACGGAACTGCCCGTAAGAAATGATTGTTAGTGTTTTTTCAGGGAATGAATACTTTCAGCTAAGAATGTGGACCATATTTTACTTCAGTGCAAACCTACAAACCTTTTCCCATTCATCAGTTTGCCACACTATTCCAAAATCCTCATTCCCCCATATACCCAGAATACAAGTTTAACACTTGTACTAAACCTATTCCCATTCCCCCATCCCCACAATATGGTCAATGCAAATTTGCTAAACCTATTCCCCATTCCCCCACACCCAGAAGTTTCAAACCTATTCCCCATTCCCCCACACTCAGAAGTTTAAAACATATTCCCCAGTCCTCCACCCCGGAAGTTTTCAAACTATTCCCCATTCCCCACACTCGGAAGTTTCAAACCTATTCCCCATTCCACCACACTCGGAAGTTTCAAACCTATTCCCCATTCCATCACACTCGGAAGTTTCAAACCTATTCCCCATTCCATCACACTCGGAAGTTTCAAACCTATTCCCCATTCCCCCACACCCGGAAGTTTCAAACCTATTCCCCATTCCCCCACACTCGGAAGTTCCAAACCTATTCCCCATTCCCTCACACTCAGAAGTTCAACCTATTCCCATTCCCCCACACTCAGAAGTTTCAAACCTATTCCCCATTCCCCCACACTCAGAAGTTTCAAACCTATTCCCCATTCCCCCGCACTCAGAAGTTTCAAACCTATTCCCCATTCCCCCACACTCAGAAGTTTCAAACCTATTCCCCATTCCCCCACACCCAGAAGTTTCAAACCTATTCCCCATTCCCCCACACTGGGAAGTTTCAAACCTAGTTCCCATTCCCTCGCACTCAGAAGTTTCAAACCTATTCCCCATCTCCCACACTCAGAAGTTTCAAACCTATTCCCCATTCCCCCACACTCAGAAGATTCCCCATTCCCCATCTCCCACACTCAGAAGTTTCAAACCTATTCCCCATTCCCCCACACTCAGAAGTTTCAAAGTTTGCATAACCTATTCCCATTCCCAGAGTCTGACGTGGACTTCATGCCATTAAACAACATGACGGGAGGGGAGGCAAGTAGAGGTCTCCTCACTCCTCCAAGCCCTTCTCGTTGCTTCACCGTATCACTCCTCACTCGCCAAGACAACCAACTGGACGACCGGAATTTCTTCCTTGCCGTGATGCTCATTGACGGCGCAAGGATCAACCCTCTGCCGGAGCAGATACAGCTGCCCGCTGATCTAGAAATAACAATCCAACCTGGTAAGGACTAGTGCTCTTTGGCTACAGAGAAGTCTGAAATATATACCCAATTGAATTGTGCAAGTTAGAAAGAATATAAAGGCTTTTTTCAACTAATGACACCCTGTTCTTTCTCCAAGAACACACACTTGCATGCAATATTAATGAAGGGTTGGGAACCAGAACAATTTAACCTACAAAAGGTCCTTTTTTTACCCCTCTTGACATGATTAAAATGCGGTGACTAACTTGCAAAATCCCATATATCTCACTTTTTTTAGTATACCCTACCAATGGTTTTCAATTTTTGCACTGCTTGGGAAATTTGCAATACTTAAGACCACTCTGGTTCTCGGCCCTTCATTTAACCCCTGAAGTAAAGAAATCTTAGTAATATGGACGCTTTCTTTCTGCTCTGTTGGTATAGAGGTTTCCGCTGGTGCACTGAAACACATTCAATCTCACCATCCCCCCCTCACCCCTCACCCCTCACAGCTGCACAGATCGAAGTTGGAGACATATCAGACTCAGTCCTCAGTAACCCTCTGTTCTCTGTGACCCTCGACATGAAGGCAGACGAAGATGACTCTTATCTCTGCTACGAAATCCACGGAGACTCAGGACTGTACCTGAATTTAGTCTCCGATGCTTGTTTTTCAATCAACGCCGGCTACGAGACAATCGAAGGAGCCCCCACCTACAACAAGATCGATGCACTCTTTATAACAACATCAGATGCAGCTGGCGGGTGTAGTAATATCGAAATACTCTCGTCGGAGTCCTGCACGGCTGCGTATTTGGTCGGTAGTGACTACGGCCTGGTGCTACGAGAGCGTTACCGTAGGAACGGAGTCCAAGTCGAGTTTCTGGACGGTCGAATCGAGGTGACGTTGCCGTGCCAACGGTATCCAGGTGGGGGTATAAAGGTCGTCGTCAAGTGCAACGCGGAGTACCAGAACCCAGTCACAGAGGAGATGCTGCCGGTCAAGAATTTGGACCTTACATTCCGTCGCGGGAAATTGGCTTCTGATGCCTACCCCATGCCTCATGGTCTTCTTGGTGAGCAAAGGGTTAAATTTACAGTCTTTTTGGTGAGATGAGGGTTAAATTGATAAGGAAGTTGTTGTGTTGGTGAGTGTCCTGAGTTGTGAGGTGTCCTGATTAGTAAGGTGTCTTGATTAGTGAGGTCCTGTTTTGTGAGCTAGTATAGCGAGGTGTCCTGATTAGCTTGTCTTGACATGTCCCATATAAGTGAAGTGCCCTGATCAGCAAACACTTGACGTGTCCTGATTAGTGAGGTGTCCTGACTATGTTTTTAACTACTCTTTAGTGAGGTGTCCTGACTATGTTTTTAACTGCTCTAAGGTAATCACAAAACGCTGTATAACACACCACAGGTCAATTCTGGCGTCTGGACTTTGAACAAGAGCCATTCCGTCAGCAGTTTGTAGACGGGAACTCTCGCGAAAATGCCTTCGTCATGACAACACCGGTCGACCTCGGGGTGCGTAGTTTCGTCGGGATAATGTACCACCTCACCTGGGACCTCCGCGAAAAGCAGTGTCTCTATGCCGGCAGTAGGCAAGCTGGTACGTCGCGCTATGTCACATCGCCGGCCGATTCCGTCATTGAGGGATTGTACCAAGACTACTCAGTGAGTGGACGTTTCGGTACCGACTATCAGTACAGCGTGTTTCCAAGGAACGATTTCAACTGTGAGACGCCAACATTTGGATAAGAAACGTCACAAAACACTTTTGATAGGTTTTCCGAGAGTTTGCAAAAAAATTGTGAGACGGTGTCCCTGTACATGAAATTATAATTGTATGTATTTGTATAATACAATATGTGGCCCTTTACACAGACAATAGTCATTTGCTCTTTGACACAAATCAGCACAAGAAGCAACCTTGTATGTACAATGCACTCCCAAAACAAAAACAACGAAATTTCGCATTTCCATTCACTTGCCAAATATCATTCTGGTATATCGAAGAAAGTTTTTGCATATTGTTGCTGAAGCGAAAACAAGCAACTTTATAATCTGCAGACCTTTACACTCCTGTTACACAGCAGAAAAGGAACGATTTTGCATTTTTTGTAGAGTCATGAACCAACTATCCTCAATACTTTAACTACAGTTTGGAGTATGGAATGTATAACACCCTCTATTTTGTTGCACCTATCTTATCTTGCCCAAATTTCGCTATAATAGCCACATAAGGTGTCAACGATGTTTGCATTTGTTGTAGAGTCATGGAGTGGAAAGTAAGATAAACCAACTATCCTCAATACTTTAACTACAGTTGGAGCATGGAATAGTATCTCGCTGCACCTATCCCTATCTTGCCCAAATTTTGCTGTCCCCTCAAAAGGGTGTCAATGATTTTGTAGGCACATGGGTGGAAAAAGAGACAAACCAATTATCCTTAATATTTCGACTACAGTTGGAATGGAATGGTAACATCTTCTAAGTATCTTGCTGCACCTATCCCTATCTCACCAAAACTTCACACAAAATAAGGGTTGTTAACGATTTTGACATTTTTTTGTAGAGTCATGGCTTTTCGCAAAATCTCAATCCACAGAAATTTCGCCATTTGTTTGCGCTCGCATTCACCGCCCAAATGCAATCGTTCTAGTGTGTATATCGCAGAGAGTCGTTATAAAATATACCAATGTTAGCAAACAAGTGAAAAATCTAGCCTATTGTGAGACGATGGATATATAATAGACAAAAGTGAGGAAAAGAGTGATGTGGAAGGAGAATTTGGAACTGCGTAATGTTATAGCGGCCATGGGTCAGGGGGTGTGGCTTCTGATTGCTCCTCACTATTATTTACAACCGAGTGCCCATTGGGTGTGGCTTCTCTGGTTCTGGCAACCAGGTAAACACACTTGTACGTCATCTGAATCATGGATGCGGGGTTCTGTATGTAGGGACAGGGAACACCTCTCCTCTCTGTCTGCAGACATAACTAGAAGAATTGTTGGCAAGCGAGTGCCAGGAGTTCAATATTTTGCGCGTGTTTTCTGCTGAATTAAAATCACGTAGAACATTACGGTATGTGCAGTGCCTGTGCAGTGCCGTCACATAATAAAGTTCCAGCATTGAAACGACTAGGTAGGCTCGCTTTGCTCACCAGTAAAGTTAGACAGCAACTCCGTGCAACCTACATTATGCCGAGCCCGAGGACCCTTCTGAGAGGGGCTTGAGGGCTTTGTAATGCATGTGGGTGGGTGAGCTGTCAAACCAACTGACTCCAATTGATGCACGTGGGTGGCAAGGGTAGTGCAGGAAAATGGTGCTACGGTCAGAATTAATTCTACGAGAATTGGAAGACAGGCTCGGAGCTCTGATGTGTCACATATATGTATATATACATGGGCAGGTCCTACTGATATGTAGGAAATGACGGATCATTGAACATACGTATGTGTAGGGAGGTGACACATCAACATGTACTGAGTTCTTCCACCACTACTGGTGTGTCATGGTACATTAGAAACTCCACTCACCTGTGGAAGACCAACTTCTGAGAAGTCTTTGTCACTCATCAACAACAGAGCTTCGACATTGGACTGTGGAGGAAAACATGTGGTCACAAACAGTAAAGGTGGCGACAATATAGGGCTTGTGTGGAGGAAATTTTACACGAGCAAGCATGTCAGTTCAAAGTATGTGGCCATCATCCATTGTACTACTGCATCATGTTCAGTAGGTCATCCCTGTCTTGTCTCCTTACTAGGAGCCTTTGTCAGCTAGCCGGCCACGTGGGTGCGCGCGCTCATTAAAAATGAGCATGCGCATTGAAACATCTAAACGTCACTTGGCAACGCTACACAAACCGGCCCTACTTCCTTGACAACTTCATTTTGTCTTTTTTTGCAGCAGCGCTGCTTTCGAGCAGAAAATAAAGGAGATTTGTTGTTAGCCAGTCGCCCGAGGCAGTAATGTAATATAGTCGGCGTCGTCGTCTCTAACAGTAAAGTGCACGCTGTGAGTGTTGTCGCAGTGTAGGTCGTAGAGTGTGTCCAGAGCTGAGGGCGAGCGACAGTAATGTAGCTAGTTGTAGTGTCGTCTCTCCCAAG